ACCCATCGTCAAGTTGGTCTACTTGCGGTTTAGGTAGTGGAAACATCCTTAATAGCTTTTAAGGAGAAACGGAGATGATGGACTCGTTGGTAAGGTGGACCTTGAACTACTGGCTAGACTAAGGTGCCATTGAAGCCATCGTACACAAGAACAGGGTGATACAGGATCCAAGACAGGCAACTTATGCCGTCAAACGCCGAGCAGCAAAGCGCTATGCGGTATGGTTGTGTTGACGGTGGTGTTGATCGAATGGAGACGCAGCCAGGAGGCGTGACCATCTCTTGTCCCACCGCCTCACACCTAAAGTGACGAACAGTCACCACCAGCAGCAACTGTTGGCAGTTGTTTGAGTAGGCGCAGATGATGTAATCGACCACTTAGTTGAGTTGATTGGCCTGGTACATGGTGTGCCCGTGGCAGGCGGCAGCATCCTCGTTGATGTCGGCGGTGGAGGTATCGTGATCGCGCATGGGAGTCGAGTTCTGGAGTAATGGTGGAATTAGACAGCATGTACTGGTGAGTGTCGCCGCCAGCGATGGCACTTGTCAAACCAGGCCGGCAGTGCTGGGGATGTATTCAAGTGGCATATTGTTGAGCATGACAAACCCTGAGTCGTGTTGGGCGGCACAAGGTTGACGTTCTCATCAGGAAACAAGTTCAAGAGACACTTAACTGCACAATGGGCGGGGAAGCTGTTGGCCACCACCGTAAAGTGGCCGGTATGTGGAAGCCATTGACGCATCGGAAATGGCCTCGTTCAATGCGATCTTTCGTTTTCGTGATGTCGGCTTTGTGATTGTCCTTGACGATATTATGTAATATTGTGCAAAATGTGGAACTAATGATGATATTACGGTGTCAACCCCTCAGCAAGAATACTGGGTCCTTACCACGTACTCAATATACTCTACTTATAGTGCTTACAAGTAGAGTGGTGCGACACTATGTCGCAAGCGACATTACGCGTTAATGTCGTATGTCTTATTACAATAGTATCTGGGGTGAAAGGGGGCGGTGGAATCTGGACGCCTTACAATGCTGAAAAGTCTCGACCAGTTTTTACAGAGATGAGATCGAGGCTCTTAGCAAAACCTGCCACTAGCAGTAGCTTGGTGTGGGCTCCTAGCGTTACGCAAATTCACGAAACGAGGAGAGCATCGGATCTGGCTTGACGCGAGATGGTGCTGCACGGTGTTATTAGTTCTCTTTCATCGTTTCCGAGCCACTTATTACGGGTGGTGTAGTCTCAGTGATTACAACACCTCAAGTAGCCGAAGGCCGCGCCAGCATGACGACAGGGAGACGACACCGCTTGTTTCTACGTTATTTCGATGAGTTTTTAAGGTGTCAATCAGAGGGAAGTGATTAAAAATTGCTGCTAATTAAAAATCGCAGACGGTGCTCCATGTGATCTTAGTCACAAATCGCAACCACCGTAAAATTATGCTGAGAGGTTGTGTAGATTTCTAAGATTGACTAGAGTATGTATGTTACTACAAGTAGAACCGCTGACTTTTGCATGTACAGTCGCTAGCAAAAGGTTTTTCTAAAACAACATGGCTGGATCTGACCACAAAATTTTTGCGCCTTTTTTTCCACTCACGAAGAATTTGTGGAACGTGCTGACGTTGTCAGTTGATGCTCGTGATGCGGAATGTGTCCATTGTTGTCATCGGAGGTTACCTGTGGCGGCAGTAAGGTCATCATCAACATTAAAAGACGTACTACGCTCTGTCTTTTTGCCAGTCGGGGTGCTGGCTCAATACTGTATGGAAATAAAACATCTTCGTGGTGGAACCTATGCGTTGGTGACGTTATCGCAGTTACGACACAATGAAGCGAGGCTCTAAGCTCCTTATGACTCTCAGAAGAAGATCCAGCTCAGGCGTTAGATGAGTGTGATTGCAAAATTTATATAATCATCCCTCTTATTTTGTAGTCAGTAAAATTCGCATGATGGCTGACATCCACATTGTATTAACTTTCATTTTTCGCAAACAGGCAAACTTGGCTCAAACTTGAAACATTGGGATTTAACCCAAGCTCATTCTGCATTTACACACAAACTCTGTATGCAGGCGAAGATGCATCTATGAAAGGCTTCGCCTCAAATGCTTACTCACATGTTGGAAAGCGAAACCCAACGTGCAACAAATAGGTCCGGCAAAATGTGAAGTTGAAATTTGGGTTGAATTTTTTTTATTTTCATTTCTGGAATTACCTTGAGTCTTGAAGTTTCAACTTTAAAATTTCGAAACAATCGCGCTTATCAAATGTTTCACTCAAAACAAACCCCCGTATTCATGAAACACGTTATGAACAATGCCAATAACGGGATGGTTTTTGATTTAATTTGAAATTTTAATCTTGTAGTGCAGTATATATGCATAAATATAAATGCAGTCCTGCATGACTTATGGTAAGAGTAAATGGAAGTCTTGATAGGGGCCTGTGCAACGGGTGACCTTATGTAGCGGGACCCTAAAACTAGCACCATAAATTTAAAAAACTATGGTTTTGATTCTCTTTTTTTGCTGGACCTCAAGGATTTTATTTACAATGGTAGGCCAAGGTTGCAAATGCCAGGGCTTTCATGAGGGTGACCTTCTCAAATCCCTAATCTTAGCGAGAAAGAGTTCGAAGAAGGTTGAGACGGGCCTAGACTCATGTACTATCTTGTACGACATTATTAAAGTTTTTTCACTCGAAGACGTCCTTCGCGCAGTAGCCCATATTGTAAGCTAATCTTGTTCGCTTGAGACGCCACAGTGCTTGATCAAGATCGTGCTTAATAGAGAGGTAAGGTGTATCTCGTTTTTTCCCAATCAAAGTACGCTCTTCACAAGTATCGGGATGATGGAACTGCCTCCACCTCAAGGCAGTTTAATTCCCCTTATTCCCTCAAATAGGCGTGGTTATCTGCAGGCTCGAACATAAAACTCCCGAGTGTCGCACTGGGGTTTTTTTTTCAACACCCACTTGGTCAATCCCGGCCATGGGATTCCTTGCCCCCTTTGCCCTACCCTGGGACATGTGTGGGGCGTGTTGACACTCATGACGAGGAAGGCGATCACTGAGGACAGTTGTGCTGTTGCCTCTTGGAATCAGTGTGATCATAACCAATGAAGGGAAAAAGAATTCAGGCTCTAAGTTCTTTCCGCCTCTCGGGGTGTAACAGCTGAGTGTGTACCGCGCATTCAAGAGGGATTAACCTGCTAACTTGGAACGTTCATTGGTTTATCGACGCATCCACCCAACGACGGCGGACGAGGTTGTTGCCCTTCGGGGTTTCAAACCGAGTCAGCCTTGTTTCCGGTGGGTCTGCCCGCGAAATATACTTCGTCATGAGCTCAACACTCTCCTTCTTTAATATAGCTAATGTACAGCCACATATGGACTGGCACCCAGTCCAGACTGACGCAAACACATTTGTAGTACAACTTCGTTCACAGTCAACACCCACTGACCTCGCCACTTTGGTCGCTGGTATGGAAGATACAATCGCGCTACCATATGGCATTAGGTAACCTGCGAGTTGCCACTCCGCTGAGAGCCTACACCAAGCAACATCTCTGCCAGCTGGTCCCATGGCCCAAAATCTGTACCTGTTTAAGACTGCTTGAGTCTGCCTCGTCTCTACGTCTACACATCAGTGGTGCCCATGAAATCAGGGTTCTATCCACCACAAAAATCCATGCTTGCTGCTTCAGAGATGTCCGGATAGCCCACGCCATCTTCCCTTGTCACTGTGCCCACCAGCCGAACAGAAGCGTTCACAATTTTGAACACTTCGAGAAGAGCACAGTCTTTACTAAATTTGACAGTCGATGTCAAAAGGGGCTGGTTGGCTTAGTTATCAGAGCGCGGAATTGTTAGTCCCAAGACTGCAGATTAAAGCCCACACTAGGCCGTATCTTTAATTTATTTTGTTTCTTTCAACGAGCTGACTAGGTCGCGAAAACAATACAGTCTCATTCGAAGGTAAGCAGATTGTATGTTGTCTTTCCAATTTCGTTATTCATCAACATACGTTGTACGGTGGATCGGTAGCTCTCGCTTTTAAGCGCTATTAACAATGGCTTTACGTATATACAACGCTGCTGATTGCGTGGACCAGTGCAGCTCAGTCATCCAGATAAAGTACACCACAATGGCAGTGAACCGTGCTCGACATCCCCTTTCTGTTTTCTAGTCAATATGATGTTGGCAGACCACTGATGTAATCCACCAGTTGTTTAGGTGAACACATCCACTTCGGTGTGTCGTCTGGTCAAGTGAGAGGCTAGACTGCACGGAGAGCGCGATGAGCTATATGGGCATCGCGCGGTTTATAGAAAAATACACATCTTTTTACTGCATTCAATCAACTCGATACTTTAACTAGCTTTCTCTTTACCCCTATTTCAGGAAGCTTGGTTATAGTCGACCGCATTGTGTAGTTAAGATAACAATGACTGACTCAGTTAATAACAACACGTCTCAATTGGAGACCGATCAGAGACCTAAATCCCAACATATAAGAATACATCGCTCACATACTGCTATGTAGTTGCCTTCCATTGGCAGTTCTTTCTCATCCTCAATGTAATGATTGACTTTAATGGAGAATACTCATGTGGAACAATTCTATAGCCTTGAATCAAGTATGGGCTACGCTTTTTCCGTCTCAATGATGATTGCAATCTTAGAATAATTTGTTTTGTTGATCGTTTTAGATAACTACACCGCCAAATGAGCCTGACGCGGTACTTTTGCCACTTACTAGTGAGAATATAGAAGATGATTTCTTCGAGACTTGTTGCCTTTGCACCGCTATTATGGTTGCAAGCACCACACACCGCTCAACAATTGCGACAACTCTTGAAAATTTCGTTGTTGGGGTGGTGGATGGAGTATACCATTAGCACTACACTGTGGGATACACAATGTTGACAAATTTTGTAACTCACTGTACTACAGGTATTTCTAACTGGAACAATTTATTTAGTACACATAAAGAATCAGGTTGGGAACTCCCCAATACGAGGTCCAAAGTAACCATCGGGTGCTTGTAAAGTGGCATTTAACAAAGAACCCTGCTTTCCCTCGTAGCCATAACTAACAACGTCGTTGCCCCACCAGGCGATCAGCTTGTCATGATAATACACTGCAAAGAAAATAATGATTCCCAGGAACGCCAATCCTGCTGTTAATCCGGTCAGCAAGATGTAATTGTACTTAGACCACCAAGCTGGAAGACGGGTCCTAATATACCACATGAAGATAATGGCAAAATACAAACCCATTGTGTAGTAAGACAAGTTTGTGGGGGCATAAGCCATCATACCAATGAGGAACACCGTAGGCTGAAACTTTCTCGTATACTTCTTGGGTGCATACAACTTGAACAAGAGACACACTAACCCAGCACCGGCGCCAATGAGGAAACACCACTTAAAAATTGGATATAATTTGAACGACTTTTGCGGACCAATGACTCCCCAAATGACCAGCGCCAGGTAAAAAGTACCACTACCCGGACAAGTAAACTTCTGTTTGTTGGTAGGCAGACAGTAGTCCTTGATACCCGTCATCATCCACTCGAGCATCCCAAGAGAAATGAAGCAGTTGATGAAAGTGGAAAGCAATTGGGTTCGAAACAACGCCCGAGGCGGAATCAGGGAGTAGTGAGTCATTTTCTGATCGGAAATGTAGTTTTGAGCCTGGCCATCAATGTTATAGCCAATTGCCTTGGTGTACATGAGCGCCAAGCCGTTTCCAGGAATAGCGTATCCAATAATAAGTTCGACCAAAACGTTAAGACCGAATGTTGTTCCAGTTACTGCAGCCAAAATGGTCAATGGGACCAAGAATACGAGATTCATGCCCAAGGCGAAAAAAATGGTCCACACCGGGGTTTGCGCTGGATAAATTTTAACACACACAATTGACAAAACAACCGAAATTAATAAGACCACAAAGAATGTCCATTCGGGAACTTCTTTATAGCGTTTCATTCTGACTGTAAATGGGTCTTCAAATCCATCGAATACCAGTGACGTCCGCCAGTTGCGAAGCAGTTTGTAAAATAACTTCAACGAATGCCACATTTGCCGCCACTGTGACCCAAATTCGTACACCACCAGAAACAAATAGAGAGCAAAGAAGACACCATAAGTCATCATGTTAGCAGCGGAATAGAATGGAGGTCCCACTTTCTGATACTTCTCATTATCGAATAACAGCTGTTCGTTAATAACGGAAGACACATGAAACGGGGTCCCCTTATTGGTCCACAAACGGTTACTGTTGATCGGCAAATAGGCAGCCCATCTGTAGTTAGAGTAGTACAAGCCAACAATTATGAAAAAGCCGAGCAATGCACCAAGATAATTAGTCACTGTAGTAACAATTGGAGTTGAAAGAGCAGCATTACTGTTAATAACGTTCCAATCAAAACTAGTAATGGGATTGAAGCCAAGGCCGAGGTTTGAACCAGTGATAGCTGCGAGATTAAAATTATCTGGCTTGATCCAGGTCATCCAGTTGAACGTAGACAAAAATCCCATCAAGTAGTTTGGTACCCAAAAATATAAGAAACTTGCAACAAAACAGATGAAAAAAAACTTGTATGATGAGATGGTCCAGCCGTTGATACGCTCTTTCTTAGCAGGTTTCATAAGAGTTTTGTTCAATGCCAAAGTTGGTAACATTGTGGGCCACATACTTTGCACGGGAAAGACCACAAACTTTCTCAACAAACCAGCAAAACCGAAACCCATAAACTGAGACAGCAACGCAAGCAATACTTCGTATCCAAAATCAACCCAAGTATTTCCATAAAAGGCAGGCATTTTCTGTACTTGGATATTGTAAAACACGTAGGGAACACCCCCGGATACAGCATAAAACAAGGTACAAAGCAATTGCTCTTTGTGATTCCAAGGTCCAGGATTCAATGAAGCTTTGTACTTCCCAAAGCCAATGTTCCATTTTGGTAAAATTTTGGCCGCAAGCAATCCACAAGGGTAGATCAATACTTGAACAACTGAAGAAGGTAAGCTGATACTCGGTAACCGATCGTTAAAAAAAGTGTTGATCACCGATCCAATTCCTGTCCAGATAATACTGATAATGTACACTCTTATTGTTTCGACTGGAAGAGTGGGGTCATCATACGGGTCAGTTACAGACCGGACCTCCACGTAGGGTGACCAGTAAGCAAGGATAGTGGCCTCCAACCGCGTTTGGAAATTCCAGTCAACAATTTTTGAGTAATCGAAGCTCTCCCCTTCCCCCACCAAAATTTCGCCGTGAGATTTCTCTGAAACATGAACATCTCCTTTAGACTTCTCATCAATCAGATCCAGCAGATGAACATCATCGTGTTTATGGGACACGAGACGCTCCCAAAGTTCGAAATCCTTGGCAAGAATATTGTAATCATCGTCGTGGTCTTTGACAGCCCGCTTAAGGATCTCAACTGCTTCATCGATAGTGAGCGAATCGACTTTCTCAATGATGAATACTGCGTCAGGAGGTAAATCGTTCAAGGTGTCCAACCCGTGGTGATTCAAACGAAGTAATACGAATTCCTTTTGCGCGTCAGTGAGATGTCCCCCCACCTGGCCAATCAGGTATTGGTTGGAAGTAATTGCGTTCAAGTTGACTTCATGCGCACTGGGATCTCCAAAAGTTCCCGGGCTTTTGACTGTACTTAGATTGTCATCAGCCATATTTGATTCAGGGTGTTTGGTAATGATTAAAATAGTACGCTCGTTTCAGAATATATAACACATTGTAATTGGGAGCCTCTTCTTGTACGGCTCCAGTTAATTACTAAAATCGTAATTGATAGCATTCGCGGGGATAATTGATAGCATTCGCGGGGAACGCCCACTAAAGCCGCATAATGAGCTCAAATCTCACGCATAGGATGTCGTTCCTGCAAGGGGGCGGTCCAAATAAACGAGGGTATAGAATGGCGGTGATTACTTCGATTAAGATGGATGCTAAACGAACTTCAAATTCTGAATTGGGCTGGTTGTAAGTGCCAAAAAACTGAGGTGGCGGTATTAAGCTCGTTTGGTGTGGCGCCTCGATAAGGGTGCGCACTGTGAGACAGCAACGTGGTGCATATTTTTATGCGGCTTTAATGTCTGCTACGTGGCTGCTAGTAAATTGATAGCCCCACTGATAAAGAGAAATCTCTTGTGACATTACGCTACAAGTATACATTCTAGTAAAACATCCCAAGAAAATGAGTATATATAACCGTACATCATTGTCGCACATATTTCGTTTCCAAGACTCATATTCGCATGATGTATGTACTCGTTTGAACACATGCATACGTCGTATATTTTTGGCTTATCAGTGACGGCACGACACTTTTGATTCCTTATTATAAGTTACCTGAAGCCACACAATCTCATTAAAAAAAAATAAAAAAAAGCCCGCCTGTGCAAGAGTATGTTTCAACGATCTCTCGCAATCGAATGAATGTTCATAAATTTCAAGTTGACATTACAGACTGACATTACAGACTGACAGAAGATTCAACAAATCAATAAGCGCCCGATAATCGTTCTGATGATTTTTAAGTACGTAAAAAAAAAAGGCTTCAAAAAGTACGTTACATATAGATTGCATTTTGCGGAGTGCATGAATCAATGGTAAGTTAACCAATCGTATATAACTGTATCGTTTGAAAGAACCTGACTAAGGAAAACTGATTGAACCGTACCTTACAAATCAGTGCCATTTGAAATCTATTGACAGTTTACTTGTATTGTGATTGAATCCGATAAGATTATATAGGTGGATCCGACTTTATGAAGAGATTTTCCCTCTGGATGATTCGACATGTAAAACGTTGATTCCCATCACTCATAGTCGTCGACTAACATGTTGAATTGTGCTAAAGCTAGATTGGTGTAGACTGTTCTCTAAGGACTCTGAGTGATGATAGCAAGTCTGATCGGTGTCAACAAAATTATAATACGGCATCATTATTGAGTTCTGTACGGACATATACTAAAATTATTCGTTTGCCTTGACGAAACAGACCATTAATGCCTGCCAGTCAAAGCAATTTTTGCAGCTGTGGCGTTAGGGGTTTTGTGTCGAGATTGCAGGTGACAACAGTGTTTGTCGCGAAGCCGCGTGTCGCAAGGCCATACTTTTATCAATGAAGACAACATCGAGACTGATAAAAGAAATAGACGATATTCATGATCATACAAAGTAGAGAGATTAATGTAATTAATATAGTGCTCATATACTACCGTCGTTTTCGCCTCATTCACTGGTTTGTGTCTGGATGGGGCTCACCTTTGAAGCCGCACGCGACAAATGAGGGGGGTGACTACATCCAGGATTAGATAAGAGTGTGGACCTTCCTAGCTGCCCACCCGCTTAGTCGTAAACAGGCTAAACACTATAAGCTGACTCTAGTCTAACACTACGGGTTCGTGAGCAACCGATATGGTGCCGATACTATTTGACGCTTTCACCATCAATCCGCGGGGGTCAGTGGATAGCTCCCATTCTCAAGCTGAGGATACGATACAGTAGATGAGGGTTTTTGGGGAGCCACGTTAATGATGTCGGATGGGCGTTTTTTGAGGAGTCGACTTACGCCAGCGACAGCAATATGGCCTACTGTTATATGTGCTCACGAAATGCTTTGCGTTTTGTTTCATGGTTGCGCCAATGCAGCAGACGTCGACCGTCGCCTGAGCTGCCTTCAACTGGAGCCATTGCCAAGACAGAAAGCGGTTGATGGGCCAGTCTCTGTAGATATGCTTGTTGATTTCGAATTACGGGTGTTTCAAGTCAGTTGTAGCCCCATTTCTCAAAACCATCAATCTGATTAATCTGGTGCCGAACATATGGTAATGCCACCCAACTACAAAAGGAAGTGTGATTCGTGTCTATTATTGCCTGATGAATGCCTACTAGTACTTCTTCTTCTTTGCCGGACGGGCGTTTTTCGCCTTCCGCTTCTCCTTGAGTTGTCTCGCCTTGCGGATCTGTTCCGTGGACTGGAGTTCCAGTCGTTGCCCCGGCCGATTGTACCCCTTGACCAGTCTTCCCAGCTCCACCGCCTTTTCCACCTTTTTCTTTTGTTTGTGGTAGTCATCGCGGAACTTATCCGGCAACTTCGGTGCCTTAGTCTGGTTGTGCTTGGGCTTGAAGTTGCCCAACTTGACGTCGCTTTCAAGCTGACCAGGGGTGAGTTGAGCCACATTCCGTTGCTTTCTCCAGGTGTCAAACTTACCGGAGCGGAACGACGCAGGAATACGCTGACCCAGCTCGCCAATGATATACTTCTTGTCCGTCAGCTTCTGGTTGACATAGTTCTTCTTCTTGGGGTCCCACTTCATGATCTGTTTCAGATGCTTGGGCCCGTCGTCGTCGGCCAAATCGAATGTGGCCCCCGCAGCGTCCAGGGCGAAAGTGTTGCCGAGTTGAAGCTGTTGGTCTTGGATCAGCAGTGCCGGAGCATAGTGGGACATGAAGAACGTGGGATCTCTAAACCGTTTACTGGTCAGGGGCTCCTGCTCAAACGCAGCCAGCAACTCGTCGTCATCGACGGTGGCGTCTTTTCTAACCGAGTAGCCGACCTCATCCTTCTCATCAAAAATTTCCTCCTCGATGCCTCGGGACAAACCAGCAAGTCGTTCCTTTTCCATTAACTCCCGCTTCTCTTGGGCTTTACGTTGGATCGGAGCAAGTTGGCGACGGCGTTTCTGCATGAACGCCGCCATCAGATTCTCGTCGCGTTGATCGCCTTTCTTTAAAAATTCGAACACCGTTTCCTTCAGGTTGCGCTGAGTCAACTTTTCCAAAAACGCCTGTTTTTCTTTCTCAGGGTTGGCCCCGAAAAGCAAGTGCTGCTCGTCCCACACCCCCGTGTCGACGAGCTCCTTGGCCCGCTTCACCGAGTCGGTCAGCGCCGGTTGTCTCGTACGGTAGTACAACTTCTCCGCTTTAACTGACACGTCCCGGATAACCTTCATCTCGTAGTGATTGGCCAACAACGTATCGTAGAACTCCTGGCACCCTTCGAGCTCCAAGCGGGGCGGCAGCCCCATCACCATTCGTTGAGTGTACAGCACTTTAGGTTCGACGTAGGCGTTGCCCTGGCGTTGTTTGAGAAGCTCCTTCTTCTTCTCGTGCATCGCCGTCAAAAGCACTTTTTTACCCAAAAACAACTCCAAGTCTAACATGTAGGGGAGCTCTTTTTCCAGCACGATCAGATACGCCCAACCCGCGTTACCTGCTCTGGCAGTTCTCCCCACACGATGGACAAAGATCTTCAGCGACAGCGGCAACGTGTAGTTGATCACGTTCGCCAACACGGGGATATCGATACCACGGGCGGCAACATCAGTGACTACCATGATGGTGGTAGCCCCGATTCTGAACTGGTACAACTGATTCTTCCGTGCTCGCTGGTCTAAAGTCCCGTAGATGTACAGCACAAGGTAGCCAGCATCACGCAAGAGCATGGTGACGTATTCGACGTGGTGCTTGGTGGGGACAAATATGATCGTCGATTGCGGCAGCGGTAACTGGTTGGCGGGGGGTAATCTTTCTCTCTTGAATCTGGGACGCTTCTTCAGCAGTTTGCGGTTTTCTTCTTCCTCCTGTTCGGCTTCCTCGTCGTCTAAGTTTTGCCGGTTTTCGATCGCGTGAAGTTTCTTCTTTTGTTCTTCCGTGGCTACCGGCATTTTGATCACTGACTGCAACACGTGTAAGAGAGTGGCTTCTCTCTCGTTACGTTTGGTGGTGAAAAACGCCATCTGCAACTGGTCCAGCACTTTGGTCTCGGCGTCGAGGCGCACCAACACCGGGTTGGTGAGCCCGGCTTTGGCAAAGTCCACCAACGATTTGGGTAATGTAGCCGAGAACAAAAGCAGCTGTCGCAGCGAGGGCAACACCGCAAGCAACTCGTTGAGCTGTTCGGCAAACCCCATTTCGAAAAGCCGGTCGGCTTCGTCAAACACGATGTACTCGACCGTGGAGAGACTAAGCTCCATTTCCACTTTCAAGTGGAGGAAACGACCGGGGGTGGCGACGACAATGTCAGGGTTCAGCATCATCGCCAGGAACTGGTCCTCAAGGGAGTCACCCCCGATCAACACGATCAGGCGGAGGTCGGTACCTTTCGAGAACTCCCTCACTTGTTTGTACGTCTGGAGCGCCAACTCTCTCAGCGGCGACATGATCACGGCTCTCACACCCACCTTGGCACTGTGGGCTTTGAGTTTCTCGATCATGGGAAGCACAAACGCCGCGGTCTTCCCGGAACCGGTACGGGCCATACCCACGACATCACGGTTCTCCATGATCAAAGGGATGGTTTTCCGCTGGATGGGCGTTGGCTGACGGTACCCTTTCTTGGCAATGTTCTTTAAAATGGTATTCAGAAGCCCAAACGACGAAAAAGTCCCCGCTTTGGCCTTCTTGGCCAGGGCACTGTTTGTGGTGAAATACGCCGCCATTTCGCCGGCGTCGTCGTCGTCGTCGGCATCGGCTTCCAACTTGGGGAACTCCATCTTGCCGTTTTCCTGCTTTTTCCGTTTAGCGGGGGCTTTGGCGGCGTCGTCGTCGCTATCATCTTCCAGGTCGCTGATGATATCTTGGGGTTCCTCAGTGGCGCCGAAGCCGGCAAAGCCCGACCCGGAGTCGGAGTCCAGGTCCGAGTCCAGCTCTGCCGTGTTGAACAGCGCTAACGACTTGGTGATGTCGAACTCGTCGTCGGACATGATTAAGGGTATTATCGCTGTGCCCTTGAGTTCCCGTGCGATGAGCGCGATGAGGGGGGTTCACCAACAAGGGCTCAAAACGGGAAAGAACGTCAAAGAGTAAAAGGTAAGGGATTAAGGTGCGACAGAGAAAATAATGAGAGTCAAAGCATGCGGTTATGAGAGACTATGGGGATGATTTTGATGGCAGACTTAGTGGACCTGAATTATGATAAAACTGGAAAAGCAGGTTGCATCTACTAGCAATCAAATTTTGAGATGGAAACGAGCCAACTCGAATTCTCATTATTGGACTTGGCATAGCTTACACGACACGATTTCTTGAAAGGTTGTGTCAACACATTTGTTGTGTCAATGAGGATGGTCACCTGGACTACGAATTACGTGGTATGCCACACCGTGATCCACGTACATTTTGAGCTTGGGGAATTCAGCCACCCATTGTGGCGGGGTGCTCTTACGTCAAGCTTTCGAAGGCTATGGACGAGACCATGGCATTGTGTGGCCTTGTTTAGTGAAGTCCAGGTATTCAAGCAGCAGTTCAAACGACCCAGCAACTTACGAACATCGATCAGGCTCCCAAACCCATAAGCGACCGATCGCTTAGCGGATTTGGAGAAGAGCATGAGTAAACATGGTGAGTGCTCTTTTTCAAGGATGTACAACTCCCCCGATCCACTCAACTGCGCTGCCATCTGGTAGGTGTTCCCGCCCTTGTGCTCATAATATGAAGTAGCGATATTCACGTGTTTTGGCAGGAGTAGGGGAAGCGTATAAAAAGGACAAATGCTTGACAGACGAAAAGTCAACGCAGCCATCCACTCTCCTCACATCTCCATTAATCTGTAGTTTATTTGCTCTGATCTTGGTCGCCTCTGGTTCAAGCCACTGATGACCTGACAAATATAGCTGGGCAAGGCCAGAATAATCCAACAGAAACGAATGGAGGCGACGTGTCAAACATACTTGTCACAGAGGAGTCGACAATATCATGGTTATACGGACTGAATACCACGTGTCTTGGCCACACGAATCCACACCACACCAAGTAGTCCACTCGTCGTTAATAGCAGCCAGTTAAAAAGATCATCCACGGCGTCGTGGAGAAACGACTATTAAGCTTTATAACGTAGACTTGTTGACACAGTTATTGTCTTGCAATAGGCGTGGGTGCACGTGGTGTTGAGGGAGGTAGTCAAGAATGATAGCGATGATTTCCATAAGCCACTCGATCACTGGTATCGGACCCAAACTCTCTGTTTGGGATCTTGGACAACTTATGGACACATTATTTCAATTGATGGGTGGGATCTGTATGGGTGATCTCTGTGTCCATATCTTTGTGGGGGCCGCGCACTTGGTGTGCATAGCAAGAGTGAGAACAATGTTTGAGCAACCACAAGGTATTAAGGTAAAAGATTGGGAAAGATACCACACTTCGTAGACTTAGACACAGTTGAAACTGACAAGAGGCAAAAAGTAATGACATCGACGTGATTCGAACACGCGCATCTTACGATAACAGAAACCCCAACCTCACAGTTGAGAAGCTTACGCTTGAGTCTGCCGCCTTAGACCACTCGGCCACAATGCCTTCATGCAAAAATAACGGAAAGTGCATTTCCAAACAAAACTACAGAGAAGGCTAAAAAATCGGCAAAAACGGCAAATATTCATTAAATTAACAAATACTACAATATAATATGATCATTATATACTAGGCTACTAAGGACGCTATGGTATTATCTAGTCCGACACGTCGCTGTCCTCATTTTCGACGGTGTAGGTGATATTGAATGGATCGTGAGGGTCGTTAACATCGCGGGGGTCAATGCAGTCGTCGCGGCGCTCGGCGTAGCCGTCGAGCCAGCGACAGGGACCCCCGTACGCCTGCCGGTGCGTCTCCAAAAAGCGCAGCGCCAGCGCCGGCAGGGTGAACGGGTGCCCCGTCAAAATGCTGAATATGGTGCTGAAGTAGACGATGAGCGAGTCAAGCCCGCGCACGTACCCTTTGTCGTAAGTATCAGGGTGCTGCGGCGGGATGGTGATGTGGCGAAGGCCCATGGGGCTCGGCTCGGCGATCACCAGCTGGGCAAAGTCGATGATTTTCAACTTGGCGACCTCGGGGCGGGCGGCGTCGTGCATCAAGAGGATCAGCAGTCCGTAGAGCCGGTAACCCTTAAGGCCGATGCAGATCTCCCTGAGCTCGTGGAGCTGGGCCACAAGCCGCGGAAGCTTGACGAGTACCAGCCAGGTGTCGTTGCCGTTGTATAAGTAGCGGGCGAGCGTCTTGGCGAACTCGGCGCCAACCCGGATGCGGCGGCCAAAGTACTTATCGCGCACAAGGCAGTGGACTTCGGGCGCTTCCTTGGCGGTATCTTCCGCTAGCGCCAGCGCCCGGTCTTCCTCCAGCGCCGCCGGCGCCGGCTTGAGTGTGTACACTTGGAGGCCACACACGCGGACGCCGAGCTCGCGCAGCGTCGTCTGGCGACACTTGCGCCGCTGGGAGCGCTGCTTCAGCGGCAGTGCCTCGATGCCGTACTGGCGCGTGCCCATCTTGAGGTCAAGCACACACGGATACTCCATGTCGCAGGTCAAGTCTTCCAAGAGAATGTAGCGCTCAAACCGCGTGTGTTTGCGGAGCACCGGCAGCGCCGCACCAACGGGGGTGGCGCCGGGAGCGCTCGCCACCGGCGCCACTCCCGTGGGCGGAGTGGTATCGTTCAGCGGGTGGTCGTCGCCGTTGCCGTGCTGGTCGTCAACTTCGTCCATGGCGAAAATATCGTCCTGCAGCTGCGGCGTGTGGAGCGGCTGGAACACTTCCTGGAGCACGCGCGCCTGGAAGTCGGTGTTGATCGTCGTCAGCCCGTCGCCGGTGGAGTGGAGGCTGTCGTCGTCGTCGTCGCAATTGAAGTGCTGGGGCAGCGGCAACAGGCTCAGGTAGTGTTTCCACAACGAGTTGGGGATCATGTGTTTGTTGTCGTCAAGCACCACTTCCGGGTTCGTCAGCGGCAGCAGCGCCACTTGCGCCAAAGGCGCCGGAGGCGCTGCAGGTGCTGAGGGCGTAGCGCTGGGCGCTGCCGTCTTTGACGTCGCTCCCTCGCCCATATCGATTTCGGGGATATCAACGTCTCTTGTGAGCAAGGCGCGGTGGACCTCTTCGGGGAGCAGCAGGCTCGTAGCATCACCAGTGGAAGCGCCACCGGTAGGATCGCTTCCGGGAGTAGCATTTTCAGGGACCATCAGCAGGTAGCGCACGTTAAGCACGCCAATGTATTTGGGCATGAATTGGAGAAGCTCGCGGTGGTGCTGCTCCACCGTTTCGTAAAACACGTTCTCCCGATTGACGAGGGCTTTGCACACTGCCTGCTTCGAGAACAGGAAGATCGCCGTGTGGCCGCCGACCTTATTTTTGAACGGGCGCAACTCCACCGCTAACGGGTATACAGGCGATGAGAACAGCGGGCGCGGGCGCGGCGCCGGCAGCGACGCGGTGATGACGGTGGCGGTGGGCGACACCGAGGCGGCGGCGCCGGCGCTGGGGTCAGCAACAGCGCTGGCACTCGTCGCGGTAATGGTGTTAGCTGTGGTACCAGAAGTGATGGCGCTGGCGCCGGCGCCAGCGACGGCGGGGGAATCGCTGCCGGTGCTACTGCTGACAGCGGTGATGGTAGCGCCGACGTCGCTATGGTCAAACTCGATCTTCGCCGTCAAGTGCTGGGCATGACTGGTGCTGCCGCGACGCTGGGGCAGGTGGGGGAAGTAGGTGGCCAGCAGGATGGGGTCTTCCACCAGCAGGCGCAGCGAGCGCTTCGCCGGCGCCGCCGGCGTTGCCAGCGGCGGCAACGGCGATAAGATGTCGGCGTCGGTGTCGCTGACGACGTCGTCGCTGGCGCTGGTGGTGCTGGTGGTGCTGGTGGCGGTGGCACCCGCTGGCGCCACCACCAGGGTCCCGGGCGCGCCCGGCGGCGCCGGGGTGGTGGGTGTGGACGGGGCGCGAAAGTAGCGGAGCAGCCGGGCCGCCTTGCGCCCCTGGATGTTGCTCAGCGAGCTCTCCAGCAAGTCTAGGGCCGCCATGTTGTCGGGGAGGGGCTGGCGGGCGCGCATGCTGTCATAATCTCGCAAACAAGTGGTGGTGAAAGTTTTTTTCCTCGATGGAGGGGGTGGTGATAAGATAGCGCTGTTCGCGCTACTAGCGCCGCTGGCAGCGCCGCGGCCGCTGATGGTGCCGAGCGTAGCGCTGCGACCGAGGGGAGGGTACCCTAGCGGCGGCGCCAGCGGTTTGGGCGGTGCGCCCCGCGCCAGCGCCCCCGAGGCACTGATCAGGGGCGTGATCGCTGGGGGGGCGGTGTCGGCGCCGGCGTCGTGGACAGGCGCCATCGGAGTTGATGATGGTAGGGCTAATTGCGCGAGGGCTTGGCGCTTGGCGCTGAGGTAATCGTCGGCGCAGGCGGAATCAGCCACGGCGACACTGCGACTGACACAACTCCGAGCACACACACGGGGATCGGCGCTGAAACAAAACAACACCCCAAAAGACACGTAGTCACCCAACACACACGAAATAGGCTTTCTCGGAAATTTCCACCAAAAAAAAAAAGATGGAAACAACGCCGTCAAGTGTCCCTTGTTTATAAGACGTTGACGGGGGAGAAAGAAGGAAGTTTGATACTCTGTGGAGATCTTGTGGTCAGCAGGTAACGAAATCTCAGATAAACTCTCACCGGTTTGAGGTAGGTATCCAAGAGTATCTCCAGAGGGGAAGAAAGACTAAGAAGAGGCGGGCCACGCAGCGAACTCCGGCGTTTTATTGTAGCGAGGCACCACGCGATGACAGCCTGCGAGATTTTACGGGGAGCAATTGCTTTGGAAATATGTGGTTTAGGGAAGCGATGACGCTCAGTGGGGACCGTTGGTAGCCAACGTGGGGTCCCACGGGGGGTGTCAGCAAACCACGAGGGCAGTTGCGAAATATTGGCAGAAAAAAAGTCTTGGGAAAGCGTAGGCAGCGTGACAAGCTGAGACAAGTGGCAAAACGTGTTTCAAATGAGGTGGGTCGATTTTACTAGACATAGTTCAGAAATGGTTTTGACAAATATGGTTTAGTCTTCGTGGCGGTCGAGACTCGGAGAAAACATGGACTTACCGTGAGGGGGGTACCTACGTGCGAGATGGCGGGGAGAATCGCGGTAATCGCGCGTAAGCTAAGGTCGAGGGGCAAATGGCATGTTGGGTTGATTTTAGGGATATGAAGTGTCACGTGATATGTCACGTGATCACCTTTCACCCGAGACGCGACGTATACCCCAGTGATACTATCAAGAACCCGTGAAATGCTACATTGGTGGCTATCTTTGACGCTATGGATTGCCTTGGCATGTGGTTTGGAGCACCACTACCAGGACTCTTCTCAGTTTAAACTGTGGCTTCAACAACTCGAAACTACTGATACCGTGGAAGTGGTCCACTCGACTTTACCGCCGACATCAACCAACGCGACGTTCCTTGTGTTATGCCAAAATCTGGACGTGTACGACATGTTAGAGACGATCCACAATTTCCAGGAACGGTTCCCTTATGCCTATGATTGGACGTTTCTTAATGACGAGCCGTTTACTAAAGATTTCATCTATTTAGTGGGACTGAGGTTTAGCGCTGGGCGCATCAGTTTTGGCACCATTCCTAAGGAACACTGGGGGTGGCCCGAACACATCGACGTTGATTTAGCCCATTTATCGTTCGAACAATTGCTGGGTTTCCCCTACGGACTGCTGGAACTGTACCGTCACATGTGTCGGTGGTTCCTGGGCTTCTTCTACCACCACCCTTTATTGAGTCGCTACCAATACTACTGGCGAGTGGAGCCTGACGTCAGGCTCACGTGTGATATCCCGCGTGACTTGTTTAAGTATATGGCAGACCACGACGTGTGGTACGGCTACGCCCTCACCATTTTTGAGTACCGCGAGACGATCCGCCTGCTCTGGTCCACATTTAAGGAGTTTTTGGCAACGGAGCCCGCTGTAGAAAATAACCTTCCTTTGCTTCCCATGGTTCAAAACGACGACGAGTACCAGAGTTACAACTTGTGCCATTTCTGGAACAATTTTGAGATCGCCAATTTGGACTTGTTCCGCAATGACAAGTACCAGCGGCTATTTGATCACCTCGACCAACTGGGAGGCTTCTACTATGAGCGCTGGGGCGACGCCCCCATCCATACGCTCGCCGTGGTCCTCGCCCTTAACCAGAGCCAGGTGCACTGGTTCGATGAGATTGGCTACTCGCACCGGCCTTACCATCAGTGCCCCCAAAATGACCACAAATGGATACAAAACCGATGCGTATGTGATCCTGACGATGACTTCTCGTTTGGGCTGTACAGCTGTACCCCTCATTTCCTTAAAGTTACTGGTCAAAAAGTTGACTTTGGTGAATGAAATCAGAGGCACAGTTAAGGATTGCGCTTAGTCAGATTTGCCACTTCGATTACTAAGCGCACCGTTGCAACGCTCATCAAGGGGCTGTGACAATGGTACTAACCATAGCCGTATCCAATTGCTCGAAGCTTGGCGCTTAGGGTTTTCCATTGAGAAAGTCCATTGTTACCAATGCATCTGGTTACGAAGTGGTCATTTCATGTCGAGACGACTGGCTGTGTCCTGAAACGAAAGAACCAGAGTTTGTCGCCGTACATTTGCATCACACCTTCCCTACTTGAACTTTAACTGTTTGCATAGAAAAATCTCCCGAGTTTTCACCGAAATACTAACGAAAGTCCACTTTAATTTTCCTCGACTCTGTGGTGGCTGATCTGGGATCTGATTTAACTGATCATACTGCACATATCTCTTTATCCTCAAGGATCGTCAGGTCGCTCCCGGGGCCGCTAACCACACCCTTTATCTTGAATCCTGACAATTTTTGCAACTTTCAACCTCTACTACCACCACGTCCTCACTCTGACCCCTACGGTGCCGTGACACGTCTCGTTGCTGCACCGATGTTTCTCTGGCTTGGCACAATCACGCCCTCACGCAATTTTCCCAGCCGGGCACAGAGGCGCGTCGCTAAACCCGGGCCCCGAGTAATCTCTCCCTGTGGCTTCGATATGTGGCACTCCCCCTCCATCGCTGCCAACGGAATGCCATCATCACCGAAAAATTAAAACCTTTCTCTTTTTCAAAAACCAATTAGCTAGTGTCGTCCCCTGACTCGCCACCGCCGTGTCTTGGCTTCTAGACCGCCCCGGAGCCATGCGTCGCCTAAAGGCGGTGAAAATTCATCCCCAGATATTTCTCGCATGGCAGTGCTCAGGCGGGTGATGAGACCACGACTAGTGGGCCAGCGGATACGGCTACGCTACTTGGCAGTCGCCCTCGTGGTGATGGCCCTCGTGGTGTGGGCGCTGGTGTCTTCGCTGGCGGCGGAGGGGGCGTCGGCGCTGCTGGTGGTGATATCTCACGACCAAGGGCTGTGGTGGCCAAAAGTCAAATTTGGCGCCAAGGACACGACACTGTTCAAAGATAAGCAGCAGCAGTACGAGCTGGAGGAGCAGCGCCGCTTGTTTGAGCTCATAGGTAAGACGCTGACCCCGTCAAAGGGGCAGACCAAGTTCTTGACCGCGGTGTTTGACTTGCTCGCCGCCGCCAAACCCCGGGCGCTGAAGCTCGACCACTACCCAAGCAAGGAGCGGATATACCACGCCCGTTTCGACCTGACCGACGACCACCAGGAGACGTTCGACGAGAACTACTTGCTGCGGTTCTTACAACTTGACCTGGCCCAACTCACCAAGATGAAGCAGAGCCACCTGATGGTAGTCGACAAGCTTCCCGAGACGGCTCCCTCGGGTTTATATAACGGCGACGGCATCGTCTACGTGGGTGGCGGCAAATTCAACTGGTTGACGCTTTTGCTGATCAAAGCGCTCCGCGACCTAGGGTGCCAAATCCCCGTGGAAGTCCTTATCCCCAAGACCGAGGAGTTTGAGAGCGAGCTCTGCGGCACGATATTGCCCCGCTACGACGCCCGGTGCATCCACATGCCGCTGATGCTCCCGGCAACCGCTCGCGAGCAGTTCAAATTCAAAGGCTACCAGTACAAAGTGCTTGCGATTTTGCTTCTGCGATTTGAAAACGTGTTGCTTTTGGATCTGGACAACTTCGCCGTGCGTGATCCCAGCCACTTGTTCACGGAAGAGCCGTTCACGCTGAAGGGGCTCATTGTGTGGCCCGATTTCTGGAAACGGGCGACGCTGCCGGCCTACTACAAGATCGCGGGGGTCGAGCCCCTGGTGGAGGAGATCTACCCGAAGTACAACGAGCTTCTGGGTAAGTACGAGTACCAAGCGGTGCCGGAAGGGGTCGACATGCTCTCCGACTTCCCCCTCCACGAGCGCAAATACGCCATCCCCGACCCGACGCTGGAGCTGGGCCAGTTGATGATCCTGAAGAAGAGCCACATCAAGCCGTTGTTGTTGGCGTTATACTACAATCTTTACGGGCCCGAATACTACTACCCGTTGTTCTCGCAAGGGCTGGACGGCGAGGGCGACAAAGAGACGTTTTTAGCGGCGACGGTGGTCACCCGCAAGCCGTTCTACCAAGTGGGCAAGTTCCTCGACGCGTTGGGCTTCTTAGACGATGGCAATTTCGTCGGCACCGGCATGGGCCAGCACGACCCGGTGCTGGACTACCAGTACCAGCGGGCGCAGCTGGACCACCAGGCAGAAATGATGTTTGTCCACGCCAACTTCCCCAAGCTCGACCCGTACATGTTGCGGAAAGAACGCAAGTACTTTGATCTGAACGGCCAGCGCGTCCGGCTCTACGGCACGGGGATGAAAGTGCGGGCCGGGTACGACTTCGAGCTCGTACAGTGGAACAACATGTACCAGTTCCTCTGCGAGGACAAAGTCAAGCTCCAGCACTACGAGTTTGTCGAGCGAGATAAGTTGTGCAAGGAGATCGGCCTCCACATCCAATTCCTCAAGGCGAGTGCACATAATCTCGAGTGAGTCTCTTCTACCCATATCCACATAGCTTTATTAATAACGACAAGAGACACTCATCACCTCCACGTGGAGGGTGTAATTCGCCTGTTGCCAACCGCTGTGCCCTCCCACGGCAGTTTGGCACCCGTATACACGCACCCCACGATGGCCAATGAAATTTTGGTGATTGATAATGCCTACGCGTCGCAGGACACACCGCTGGGTGGGTAGGCTCCGAAACAACAATAGCAGCAACCCCCGGCGATTGCTGTGGATCAGGCCAGCTGCCAGTAGGCGTCTATTCTTCAAAGCACGTACAATAGCACCAATAAAAAAAATTATTCACATCAAACAGCGTGCACGATGATGTAGCATGGTACATCGAGACGATGGTGCTGTCGCGAGGTTACTGAATGAGCGTGGTTGGGGAATTTTCGTATTGCCCCCCAAAAAGCACACCCGTTATTGTGTAATAGCCCTCTACACAGACGCTTAGACGACGAAGCAACCAGGGAATGTTATTCCCTAGCGCAAACCAGTGGTAATTCGTGTTTATCGTTGGCAATTTCAAGCCACTGCAGGTACGTTGGTCCCCTTGGCCCGGGTGGCTTTTTTTTTTTAAGGTGTAGACGCGATAGTTGCCTGAGATGAGGTGGGCTCCAGAGTGAGCGATTTTTACAAAAGTGTGAAATTGAAATCAGGTCTGGTGGAGGGGCTGGTGATATGATTTTGGTCTGTTTAGGTTTTTTTAGTAGTAGTATGTTTTAGGTTGGCACGGGGGAAAACGAAACCGTGGCGAAATCAGAGGAGAATTTTCTCGTGTTTATCTCGAGCGTGGTGTGATGAAGCCACGACCCTGGGGGATAAAGTTACCCAACGCGGAACTCCAAATGCGCTCGCAACTCCCGCTGGCTTAGAAGGGAGTTCCCGGGGCAACCGATACCGGTGGCGGGAGACTACGGTAGGGGGCGCTGTTAGCGCTTACGTGAACCGCCGTTTAGTAACGGTCTTTGCCCAGGGTTGCCACAGCAATCGTAGCGATCTTCGGGGTAGGGCTGTGCGGTGTGGTGTTGATCGAGCGAGAGGCATGGCCGCTTTAGGAGAACGCAAAAATATCCGCTACGAATACCCTCGTGCCCAAGTAGGCGAAAAGATCTCAGGGCAATTTGGCGAGGGGCACGACCCCCATGAGTTTGAGGTCACGATGTAACACGGGGGCGCTTACCTCAGGGTGGCGATTACCAAGCGCGTGGCTTGGTGGTGATGTGACTTCGCCACCGCCGGTCACCCCACATTGCCACCAGCGGCAACGGTAGCCCTCGAGGCCGAGATGTGTCGGGGAGGTCATCGCTGTGCCAGCCAGCCCTGCCGTGTGTCTGTGTGTGTGTCTGCGAGGGCGCTTGCCGCGGATGGCGCCGGCGGGCTTTTTTTCGCTATAGGCGATTACGTCATTGGGGCTGAGGCATTTTTACAATTGGCCGGCGAGGGCAGTTTAGGCACGGGCTGCCTGTGCAAACGCAGATTCCGAGTCGAGCAGCGCTGAGGGTGGGCAGGAAAAAATTTGGGTGCATGCGCAATGTCCTCGAGGCAGTATAAAACTCCCCGGCCCCAGAGCTAGGGGTGGTTACGCTAATTTCAACACACAACCCCTTGGTCGACGAATTCCCTTCAGTTTAACGCGTGTCCTCGTTCTTTGGTAGCGTGAGCAGCCAGTGCATTGATCCTCCCATGTCGCTATTCAGAAAGACGTCCGAGCGGCGGACCAGCGGCGATAAATGTTTCGCCCAGTTCGACGAGAAGAAAGATTACGTGCGGCGGTGTTCGTTGAAGAACGGCGACAGCGGCAAGAAGGCCAAGCCCGAGTGTGTGTCTTTTTGCCTCGGCAAGTGAGCCAGCAGCTTTCTGCGGGCAGAACGCGGCGGGATGGCTCGCTCCTCTGTATTATTGACCGAGAAAACCTTCGGTAGTGGGCGCGGTAGTGGGCGCGGTAGTAGGCGCGGTAGTGGGCGCGGTAGTAGGCGCGGTAGTGGGCGCGGTAGTTGGTTTCGTCGATGTAGATGAAGACGAGGTCGGCTTAGGAGCCGCGACGGTCAGAGTACATACCCCACACTTGGCCGGCTTGGGGTTAGGCGGAGCAGCATTATAAACAATCGCGTTATTCAATGGCGCCGAGACACCGGAGAAAATGTGCGATGTGGTCAGAAATTTCAGCTGGACATAGTTGGGACCAATGAGGAATCTTTGTGGCAACGTGTTGAAAACACCTGAGTAAAGGGTCAAGACACCAGTTCCCGAGTTATAGTTCCAACTTAAGATCGGCCCCGTGAGCCCAATGAAGTTACCATTACCAAAACCAGCCACAGTATAAGTCTGACTAGCAGTCACCAAAGTAGCCAACAATTCAGAATCAGGGCCCCCCATGTAGAACACTTGAGTGGTGTCGATGGGCGAAGCGGGAAGGTTCAATTGGGCCAAAGAGTCACCAAGAATTTGCCAACAACCGTTACCCTTAACGTTACCAGTCTGGATCCAAATCTGGTTGTAAAGACAAATGTTACCGTTATTGTTCAAGTCGCCAAGCGCAGGACCGAGTACGACAGCGCCGGTGGACCGGGACTCTTGGTAAATCAGGATGAGGCCGTTGTTGTTCCAAGTGGACGAGGTGATCGACTGAACACCCGGGAAAATAGAACCTTTGGAGGAAAAGTAAACCTGGCCGTTATTGGTGAACGACGCCCCCACAAGGTTATAGGTTGGCGCAGTTGCTGACACCACCGAGTTGAAGGAGACGACACCGTTGTTGGTGATGGTATTCACCACCCCCAAGAGGGTGACGGACAACCCAAGCAAGGGATTATCGGATGAAATGTAGAAGCCACCTCCAGAGCCGACATTCAAACTGCCGGCAATAGCACTGACAGCGTTATTCCAAATGGAGTACTTAACTCCAGGAGCGACAGTGACACCAAGAGAAAAGTCCACCGCTCCACTTGTTGTTGTGTCCTGGGTGATAGTTACACCTGCAACGGTAGAAGCGCCCAACAAGGCGGTAATACAGGAGCGGATTTTCATCAGGTGATGAGAGCATTACCTAGGGCGGGAACCTGTTTAATATGTTCAGACTTTTCGACGGAAACCCCCCTTTCGACGCATGAGGCGTTTAAGCGGCTTCACTTGCACCCATAGAGAATTCGACTTCATTGTTTTATCTCGCCGAATGGTTGCGACTATTTCTGCATCACGCTTGATGTAAAGATAATATCGAAGTTTCGTAAAAGAGTGGGGGAGCGAAGAAAATATCCGCAGTTGCGGATCGGCTTTTTAACTATATGTAGTATACGAGATTGTGGCGGAGCTGCGCTTCATTGGAGATGAAACCTAAACTAAAATTGAGGGTTGTTTCATAATAAAGATCGTTAAATTTTGATGATGTTGAGCGAGGTAGAAGCATACTAATGTAGCAACAAGCTACAACTCCATTTTGATACTGTCTGCTTTGCCGAGAATTGCTTTTCAAAGTACGTTTATAGCCTATTATAGCTTATTGTTCGGATGTACGTCCACAAAGATTTAAGCGTGCATTGTATCATATGTACGCCTCAAAAAATTTACACAAACTCCGCCCTGCTGAGAATTTCACAACTTCGCAGTCGTTGGCTTAGTTGGCTCGGGACCAAAGTGGGTCTGCGCCAGCCGGATGATCTTCTCCCCCAAGTACACCAACGCCTCTTGCACCACCAGGGCCACCATCTTACCTTCGAGAGTGTAATACTGACAGTGGCACAACACTCTGTCGTTGCGCATCGTCGAGAAATTATAATCAATAAACATCCACTGGCTGGGGTCGAACTCAGTGTCGTGGATGTACACCTGGTGATCCAACGAAACACGGAAATAATTCACGGTATCGAAATGGTGGCCCGCTATCGGCAAGCCCAAGGCTTTAGCAAGCGTTGCGAGCCAGAACAGGTCCAGAAGGAAAAGCATCAGGGTTATTTTGGCCTTAACTGGATTATGCGCCACGTCTAAATTGTCATTCACTTTGGTGAAAAACCCAAACTCAACATTCCCCCGCGTCTTGAGATCGATGTTGTAATCAGTCTGAAGGAACTCGCGAGGAATGTAGTTTTGCATGAGCCCGTGGGTGTGTTCGAAATACGGCTCCGACTCGAGGCGGTCCTTGTACTTGTTGAAGAACGCTTGCGGCTTGCGCTGAATCTGCAATGGCTGCACCCCATCCCTGTGGCCCAACTCGTTCCGCCGGGTGGCATTGTTGTTGCGAACAAACGACACCTGAAGGGTAAAACACAACTTGCCCGTGTGCAGCTGATAGCCATGGCAGAGACGGTTGGCATAGTTTCTGGTGTTGGAAATCTCCTGAACCTCCCATCTGATTGGCAGCTCGCTGGACCCGGCCTTGACAAAATACAGGTGGAGCGAATGCGGGGACATTTCTGGGTCAGGGACCAGCGCCCAAGCGGCGTAGGTACCCTGGGCGACAAACTCGCCGCCGTAGACACCTCTGGCGCCGTCGAGAGGCGGTTGCAACGGGTACTTGCCCACGTAGTTGTGGAACCCTGGCTTATCCGACGGCTCGCCAGGAATCACGTCAAGCTTCTCCTCGAGCTTACAGATGTTGGGGTTATCGTAAATGGCGTCAAACTGGGACATGGTGACGACAAATAGCTGTCTTTTGGTTATGGCGGGCAAATAGTAGCAATCGGGGGCAGGGGGCTGTCTAGTAGCTGCTGATATATCACCATGCTCTTGGTGGCACCGATTACTTTTGTGTACTGTATATAGGTATTATACCGAGGATATTTCGTTTGTACCAGTGATAGGATCAGAGTTGCCCGCTATCGAAAACAGCGGTGGATGACGAAGACACTACGTGCTATACAATGTAGTACACACCCAAAACCATTTGAAGGGCGGGCGGTTCAAATTGGCGATCCGCGGTAAAAGTTTGCTCACTTGTCATATGTCATCCCTCGTCGTGCATTGGCGGAAAAGCCCTCCACGCGTCATGTGATTATACCAGTAGCAACTTTTGTGTGGGGGGACCTGAAAAAAATGAGGTGGGGTTCCGCGCGCGCAAGGCCACCGTGAGATTATTCCGCCCGCGGCGGAGAACCTTCTACTTCGCATGGTTTAGCCCTCGCTGTGCGGTTGTTGATGCAGTGTGGAACTATTGTTAAGTCAGTTACCAGTTGCAACCGCTACACTCTTACGTACAACCGAAGCACTAAACTGTTTTCTTCCTCGAAATCAGGCGGTAAATGACCACAAATGACGATGCTGTATGATTGAATTTCGTTAAACATGGGGTACGAAAAGCAAGAAAATATCCCGCGGCAGCTTAGATCACTGCTGGTGGCACAAAAACGAGTTCACCTTATTTACTCAATTTTGAAGTAAGGCGGGCAGGCTGGTACGGCGCTTATACCGTGCTCGATAAGGTCTCGATTCCAATATGACTATAAGCTTGACCGCATATGCGTGACTCTCGATCGCAGAACGGCAATGCGGGTTTATGACTTCTTTGGGATCTCCGCCACCACTCTTAAGTCGAGGTATCGCAGAATGGCAATTCGGGTTTATGACTTCTTTGGGATTTCCGCCACCACCCTTAGGTCGAGGTATCGCAACCAAGGGTGCTATAACGGCTCTCTCGGCCGTCGCTTAACCAGAACGATAAGTGTGTCTGTGCCTGTCGGCTCGCTTCCCCCGCTCGTTCCACCTTCTGCCTATTTTTGAGGGGGCTTTTCCTACATGAACCCCACATGGAGTAATCCTCCAACTTTAGTCATAAAAAAAATTTTGTCATCGCCGACACATTCCGAAAAATAATATTAAAGTTTAATTCTGCGGACCGTTGTGGTTGTCGCTACAATTGCCCGGAAACTCAACTGGGGGTTAACTACGAGGTATCGTTATGGTTGTTTTAGACCAATCACTCTTTGAAATATCACAATCATACTTAACTTTATATCGGATCACAAAGATATTTACCCCGTGTTCCCAAAACATCACGATTTCCGGTCGCGGCACGCAATCTGGTCTCGGCACGCAGTGCAACCCTGCAAAATTTTCCAGAGCCGGATAATAATTTTTTAGGCTAAGCCCTATAGTGGCTTTACCCTTCCGACACTGACACGGGTTTTTTGCACCGTTGGCAGGCCTTTATCTCACTCTAAACTAGTGCGCCTCGCCGCCCTGACTTTTTCGTAATTGTTGCAAGTTCCATCAATGGAAGGCGCAATTATACATAAGCGTTTATGCGTGTTGGTATACTCGCGACTCCGGACCGGAGTCGCATCGACGAGAATGCGTTGATGCAAACATGGAGATATATCCTATTCTGCTTTCAAGAATTAATATTATCATTATTATTAATAATTCTAGACCCGATGCTGATACGTATATGAAAATTATTAGAGCTTCGCCTTGAACTCTGACCCGCCATGAAATAAAACCAAGCCCTCTTGAACAACCAGAGCAAACAATTTTCCTTGGCGATTATAATATCCCGCCTGGATATAAACGCGATTGTTCGAGAAACGTGGTGTTTTGAAGTTAACAAACGTCCAATCAGTAGGGTCGAAGTCGTCGTCATGGAAGTAGACAGCGTGGTCCAACAGCACGCTGAAAAAGTGATTATTTTTGCCTCCCGTCGGTCCAATGGGGAACCGAGGGTCGTCGTGAGCAGGCAAGTGTAATATTCTCAGCAAAGAGGTCAAGTAGATCAGGTCAGATATCAGGCCAAAGCCAGCGTACCGGTATTTGCTATCATGGGGGCGCTCATCATTGCAGCGAATCCAGAACAGCAAATCTCGCTCGGCGGCTGTCTTTTTGTGTTCATCGATGTCAACCTGGTGGTCGCAAAAGTTAGGAGGAAACTTGTGTTCCAAGAGGCCAGAAAAGTCGTAGTCTTTGATCGTTTCCAACTCGTCGAGTGAGTACTTGTAAAAAGTCAGATTAACTGGAGTCTGGAACTCGAATCCCAGTTGGCCGGATTTAGTTTGCTCGTATCTCCGACGGGTTTCATGCGTCAGATTTTTATTCGTCAAACTAACCATCACCACGTACTTAAGCTCACCGCTTTGCGTCACTTTAATCAAGCGGTTGCAAAACACTTTCCCATCCGATAAGCGTTCCACGGTGTATGAGCACTTGGTTTCGTCGCACCCAGCCAGCACAAAATACAGATGGAGCAGGTGGGGCACAAAATTTACAGGCGCGGTTTCCATCGCGACCACAAGGGCTTGTGCACAAAGGTTGCCCCCAAACACGCCACGAGAGTTGTGCGATGGCTTGTAAAGCTTCAGAATACCCTCGAATCCTTCGAAGGCCGCCGTCGCCAGAGTGGGCTTCACCCCGAAGTAGTTGTGTAACCGCAGGGATTGCGTGGGATTCTGGTGAGAAGTACGGTTGTCAACGAGAGCCATGACGAACAGATGATCTCAGTGAGCTTTAGCTATCCAACTTGCCAATGAACTCCCTTATATCTACACATTTAAGCATGTTTATCTACTCCGGCAATTTACCCCTCCTCCCAACACTGGTAGAGCTTAACCGGGGGCATGTTGACTCAGTGATCGTTTAGATGGGTGCTTATATGCCGGATATGGATTTTGACTGAGAACTGTCGGTACAATCGGCCTGAAAATATGGACATATAGTGAACCGACCTCTGGCTATATAATGGTGCAAAAATTAGTGGGGGTTGTCACCAAACTTTCTCATCAAATAAAGGACACCTGGAACCCGTGGTGGCAACGCCACCAAGCAAGTCTACCTGCATATAACGAAGGAGGGGTAACTAAATTTGTCCGCCCCAGCACAGCCAACTGTGAAAAGTGGTGGCACGACGCGACTTTGGCGTGGCTAGCTGAGCAAAAGGAGGGGAAGCCATCTACTTTCGGGTTGCTAAGTATAGAAGGGCTGGTTGGGCTGAGTAGACCTGTGTACATTGACCTGCCAAAGAATGACGTGCCCGTCACGTAGAATTGCTGGCTTATGGAAGTTGTATCTGTCCAGCGTGGTGGAGGCCTACCTGGCGTCAAATGAATCTCACGTCGTATAGCCGTTTGTCGGTCGCACTGTTTTCCCCTCTTCTGTCACCGGAAAACGTTGTGTGAAAAAGCAATATCCGATGGACCGAAGCCGGCACGCGCCGGGTGACAATTCCCAACAGAGATAAGTTAGGGGTAGCGATCGTACCACGCAAATTACCGGGAAGTTGTTGGCGACTTATTTAAAAAACACTTGGATGGGAATTTCAGAATTTGACGAACCACTCGTGTTCAATGACTCCTAGATGACATGCTATTGACTGATATATTGCAATTGGTTTTTTTGTAGGCGGGCAGGGTCAATCCGACGGAACTTATCGGTCGGGTCCTCGGGTATTAATGAACGGGCGATGCAGGGGTCCGTCGGATCCCTCCACCGCGCTCTTCAGATGCCCCTAATTACCCTACATCCCAAAACAGAACATGATAGATCTCGGCCTGGCCCTTTGTTATCAGTTGCGAGTAGGCCGAGCGTCACATGTGGTTTGCTCGGATGTACATTGGAAACAGTTGGCACGGGCAAATACAATTGAAAGTAGCGTGCAAGCTTGCAATTACTTTTAATCTAATCGGCAAATCCAATACCTTAGGCAATGCCAACAAAGTCATGTCGGTTTGAAGCATACTCGAACCTGCGCATGTGTATACTTTAGAATTTTCACCAAATTACAATGATTTCTTGAAATTGAAAGTGGAATTATGTTGCACAATTCGTTTCGCTACAAATTCCTTCATCTTTGACATTATATGAAAACATATTATCGAAGACCAATATGGAAAACTCTAAGGAGAGCCGGCTTCCGTTTGGAAAGATCAGATCCGATATCTGCGGTGTGAGAAAGCAAAAACAACTTTCAGACCTTCGAAGGGTGTCATAATGGAAATGGGGCTTTTGAACGAAAGATGAATACATGTCATATCCACGAGGTGTCGAATACTGATGTCTCGTTTTGGATTATCAATTGCTTTTTACATCAACACTGAAGGTGGCCCGAACCCTCAATTTGAAAGCGTCTTAGTTGAAAACAGTGACAGGAACTCTTAATCCCATATTTGAAGGTGGTATTCAGCGTATATCTAGTCAATTACGTGTCTCAATGTACCTCTGGGGTCGTTGGATTCAAATTTTTAATGTTTTATCCGAGGAGCAGCCCTATGTTACAATTGAGCTCTCTGAAAGAAATGAATGGTGCCCGTACAAACCAGAGCTAGCTTTATGGACTTAAATAGTGTAATACGTCGTAGTTGGAGCATCTCAAACATAGTTTTGCATGATATGGAGCCTTGCCGACAAACTCCAATCAGTACAAACCTCTCGAAAAGCATGGTGAGTGTAATTAGTAAATGTGTTCAATAAATACAGACAATAAGAAGAAGTTTCAAGCCCGAATAGGCAATTATACGTGGAGTTTGAGATGCCATGTAGGTCAGCTACAATGAAAATATCCGTTATCAACAATTTTGTAAATCGGGCGTGTAGCTCAGTTGGTAGAGCGTTCGCTTAGCATGCGAAAGGTCTTGGGTTCGATTCCCAACTCGTCCATTGTTTTTGTTGACGTTTGATCTAGGTGCCAGCTTAGTCCCAATAACGTTGTAATGTGTAATCTTTTTTAGGTCGTCGTATATTCATTTAGATAATTCGCTCGTCTACAACCACAGTGCACGAGCATGGAAAATACTGTCGATCAATGTTAACTTTCCCCAGTTTTGAAATGAGCCATTTGAGTTGAGACAGATGCAAATGCTTGTACAGCACCCACTGGATGTTGCAATTCAACAAATTGATATGCTTTATGCGATTTGGACTCAACCGAAGAATAGTCGTAGAAACCAATTCTAATTGTAGTTTGTCTACCGTGAGTGGTATGATCATTCCAGGCGGACACTTCACTTGCCGTAAGGTCAACTCCTTGAGTTGGTTGAGATGCGCAAGATGATATAGCAGGGCGTGATTCCAAGGGTTGTGTTCCGTGTATGAGAGCTTCTTTAATGTAGAAGGAAACAAATCGTGCATCTCTTGCATGCTCTTGTCACGCCCTGAAAACATTTCGAGCTCAAGATTTTCACAATTAATAACTTTCAACCCGATAATAGTGCCACAGACTAGTCTAATTTTACGAGCATCGATAGAACAATTTGTGACACTGCCATAGTAATTTGTTTGGCCAGAATCCGAATGCAAATAGCCATTATATGCGAACTCACTTGTTTTGAAGTTCACGTCGGATATAGAGTGAACGTATCCAACTCTCAATCGACCACGGGTTTTCCCCACACAACTGAGCATAATAGATTGATGAGCGAGCCACAAAGCATTCATTAGTTTTTTGCACCCCCATGCCTCAACTCGACAAAGTTGATTGCAAGCCACACTGACACAGGAAGCCTCCTCAATCACGCAACAACGCAATTTGGTGTGCCTCAACTTCACAGAGTATGTGATACTTGAAGATGTGGGAGTCAATTTCAAGAAAAGCAAATTAGGAAACACGCCTGTAATATTCACATCATTGACATCAACAAAGATAGTGAGTTTGGTTAGTGCTTTCAATGCAACCGCCATCAAAGGGTCTCTAATCGTCGATAGATCTAGATCACCGGAATCAAGCGAGTTTGGATCAACGAGTACTGTCAAGTTAATACGCAAGCTTTGTAGTCCATGGTTGTATGGTGGCAATATACGTAAGAGATCATCATGGCTTGGCGAGCGTTGCGAAATCGACCAGCTGTCAATTTCAAGACAACGTAAATGATGGATATTCTTGGTGATAATTTCATGTATGATCAGTTGGTCGCAAACAACCGATTGCAATTGAAGATGAATGAGACCAGTTGGACATGAGTCAAACGTGAGGGGGCTTGCTTCCGCCACTAAAACTTCTAATGAAGCTGGAAGCAGGGTTAGCACACTAGAAGAGGCGACAATTTTAGTAATGTTGTTAGGTAAGCGACAGCGTAATTCACAGTTGAACACCTCTAAATCCAAAAGGCACGGAGGCATAGCGAATTCTCGACCTAGGCGAATATTGGACAACGCCAACCGTGTGATCGATTCTGGAACCCCGCAACACCATTTGGTCTTGAATGGAGGTGTACAAAATACGAAAACTTTGCCAATCAACAGTTTACTCACAATCAGTAGTAAGGGTGTATCGCATACATTGATAGAAACAGAGAGTTTGTCATCAGCCATGAATAGTTCAGACTTGGTTAGAGTTTCTGCATCTATGTGAAGCATTCCGTCTAATAAAAGATTTTCAAATACAACGGCAGCGTCGTGATGCCATGGTGATTGAAGACGGCGGCGCTTTAACAAGCGGCCGTCAGAAATCTGATGCCGTCTAAACGCTAAAACAAGAGCAGAGATGCTTTCATCATCAAGATGACCAGCAATTTCACGGTACAATTCTAATGGAAGAGATTTCATAAGTATTGATCGATGAACAGGTGTGCGTACACGGTGCGATATTTATAGCTGCAATTTGCGCGAGAGCATACACTTGGAAGCGAGGCCTGTACTCCGCATAAGGAATTGCAATATAGTGGATGCATACATGTCGATGGCGTGGAAGCACTGTTTCCTTTATTAATATTTAAAGCATAGGGGTCATTTAATGGTCATAAACTAAACTAATAGCGCTGTCGCTTGTAAGGCCCACCGTTGTCATTATCAGATGAGCGCTTGCGAGACTCGGTAAAGCACGTAATATGCATGATTCTTCGGCTGGTGGCAGATTCACCGGGCGGACGTATCGCCTCGGGCCATACCCATTCACCCAACTCGTCATTGTAGATGGCCTTGATGGTTTCGCGGCAAATGACACACTTGTTGTCCATCGACGTCAGGTTTTCTGGTACCACCACGTAGCGAGGGCCTTGAAGTTCGTCGACATCCATGGCGTCAGACTCCTTTTCTTGATGATCGTCGGTGGCGGCGTACTCAAGCAAGTCGTCGTCGTTGAACTTAACCCACTCATAGTCATCAATGAACCAATCACGACTCTGGACATTCATGGTATGGTTAGCTTGTTTTGTGTTGATACGGAAATGCCAGTCCAAATGCAGTTGTTTGTTTCGCTGACCTTCTTCATCGTTGGCAAAGCGTTTGCCGCATTGGGTGCACAATGATGGCTTGTCGCCATAGAGAAGGCCTATGGGGGTCAGGGACTTAGGGTCGTTCAGCTTTATATACGTTTGAACGTCATCTTGGGAATCAATAGCCCTACAGACCTCTTGTAATTGATGGAACTTGATTCTATCATAATCGCTACCGCCATGGCCCAGATATTGACTGAGATTATCCAACAAGTTCAGCGCCGACAGCGGCCGCTGGTACTTAATCTTCGGGTAATGAATTTTGTAAGTGGCGACGGCGCCAGGTACGGGGGCTTGATCCACTTCAATAATTCCTGTGCTCACCAACATTCGGAATAAACTGATCGCGTTGAGAGCGCCCGGCGTCTGTGGTAAGTTGTTGGGAGGCAGCGGATGACGTGTCAGCGACTTGAGCGCCAGCTTTTCCGGCACCCGCGCCTTGACGGGCTCATTGGTATCGTATCGATGTTGAAGAGCGTTGAGCTTCTGCCTGACTGCAGCACATTGGGGAGGTTTGAGGGTTTCCTTAGATAAGAGGTCTCTCAATTGCTTAAGAACATTAATATTATCAGATATTTCCTTGAGCTTTTCTTTAGGGACATTTCCTGCCAGTCTCCGCGAAGTGTAGTCGCTAATCAACTTATTCGTCTGATCAATCAACAGCTCTTGCTCTTCATCCACAAGATAATTAGCCTTTTTCAAGAACTTTGCTATCTGCTGCATTTGCGCTTGAGGAAAAAGCGGCGTCAGCTTAGAAGCCGTCACTCTCCAAGTGCCGTAGAGCGTCACTAACAGCGAACGAGTTTTCTCGTCACCTAATTGAAATACTCTGGCAAACAACTCGTATATTTCGTCGCCAACAAGAATGTTATATGGAGCTCCCACGTTCTTGCAAATCGAATCAAGCAAGTACATGAAATGGAGCTTCTGCTCCGGAAGCGCCCGATGGATGCGCTCAGTGATCAACCGTAATATGCCATCGGCTTCACTCGAATTCTCGGCAGCAATCGTCGTAAGGTTCTCGATTATCGGACGAGAGTTGAACTTGAGTTCATTCAAGCTCTCGTTGAAGTCGTCGAGGAGCGAAGTCATACTGGGATTTTTCCTCGAGCGAGCAACAAATAGCGGTGCGATGCACAGTGGCGACTCGAACAAGGGTGTTGAATTAGGCCTAGCGACGAACCGTAACGAAGATGTATTCCTTTAGGATGAAGCAGATAATCGAGAAGAGCGATATGAATGCGTGACGGTTTTTTTTTGCAAGTATATGGCAGTAATTGGTAAGCACACTAGCTCTGAAAAATTTGCATAGTTAGTCTACCCCATGACACAACTAAATTAACTGGATTATGGTCCCTTGAGGATATGGTGTTCACCTACTCTAACCAGTCTCTTAGCCAATCCTAGTTTGTCAACCAATTTTGTTTTTCCCACAAGATGGTTCGCTCTGTCTCATGGGTACCAGGACCGCGATCTGGGGTCGATCACCAGCGGATCCCGTCGAGCGGCGTCTTCTCCTCAAACTAGATTGGTTTATCCTTTCCTATGTGTGTCTTATATACTGGATTAACTACCTTGACCGGCTGAACTTGGCCAATGCCTACGTGCTGGGAATGCAAGAAGACTTGAAGATGCATGGGAATGAATTGAATATTGTCAATACCTGTTTTTCCATCGGCTACATTGTTGCAATTGTTCCCCATAATTTGATCTTGCTCAAAGTTCGACCACGTTATTGGCTCACCTTCTGCCTGATGGCTTGGGGGATCCTCACATTGTCCACTTACAAAGTGACCCTGTGGAAACAGCTTTGCGTGATTCGATTCTTCTTGGCCGTATTCGAAGGGGTTACATTTGCCGGTACTCATTTGATTTTGGGATCTTTTTACAGTGAGGAGTTATTGCCATTCAGAACAGCGGTCTTCACTAGTTCGGGTCTCGTGGGGCTGATTTTCTCGTCAGTCATGGCAGCCGCTATCCACACAACTATGGATGGGTACAATGGCCTTGCGGGATGGCGCTGGCTTTTCATTATTGACTTCATCGTCACGGTGGTAGTCGTGATCTACGGGTTTGTGTTTTTCCCTGACGCCCCTAGTCGAGACACAAAAAAACCGTTTTACTTGACCCAAGCTGAGTATGAGGTGGCAATTGATAAGCGTCGGATGCCCAAAATCAATAACTGGAATCGTTCTCTTATCACCCGAGTCTTTTATTCGTGGAAATGGTGGGCGTTCTGCTTGCTTTGGATTCTTGGTGGTGAAAATGAATCCTACGCTACCAACTCGCTTTTTGCTTTATGGTTGAAGTATTATGACTACACCATCAACGACAGAAACCATCTTCCCATGGGGGTTTACGCTGTTGGTGTAGTAGCCACTCTTGGCCTGGCCATATATATCAACGTGGCGAGTCAACGTCGTCCAGGAGCATATCACTGGCAAGTGGGGTTACTTATTGGAGTTTTTCTTATCATCTCCTCCATTTTACTTCTAGCCAGACCACACAGCTCCCAGTTCGTGTTCCCTGCTCATTACCTCCTGGGGGTGAGTTACGCTGGACAGACTGTCTTCTTTGGATGGGCAAATGTCGTTACTCAGAATGATATCCAGCTCAGGGCAATTGTGCTTGCGTCAATGAATATGTTCAGCAGTGCTGTCAATGCCTGGTGGTCCATTATTTTCTATGGTGCAACGTTGGTGCCAGAATTTCGGAGGGGTTGTTGGGCAATGCTTGCCACTGCCATTTCTAGCATGATTGTTGTCATGTTAATTAAACGATTGTATGAAAAAGACCTGGCTAAACTTGCAGGAAATCCGTCGTTGGGCAAATTATAGACTATTATACACTAATGCAAAACACAAATATTGGAATGTATTGCCCCAAACTGCCCCAACAGATAACTGCAGGTCATTAGTATCCTCAATTATGGGTGAAAGAGAAAATTTCACCGCGTCGAGTTTTTTATCCAGGTCAATGAAAGTCGCATGCTCGACCGCGGCTACGCCTGTCCGCCATTACCCCTTTGGGATACACACCGTTATCAGCGCACCGCTAGCCGCGGCGATGGTGCGAGCACCAGACAAAAAATTTTCAAGGTGAATCTGCCTCGTTATTGATACATCCAGATGTCTCCTGCTGCCGCCACTACTGACAAGAAGCAAAGTGGGTTGGCCCGTGTGCTTGGGTCGGCTTCTGCTGGTATCCTCGAGATTGGGGTCTTCCACCCCGTCGACACCATCTCGAAGCGGTTGATGTCGAACCACGGGGCGATCAGATCGGCGCACCAATTGAACGAAGTCATCTTCCGTCAGTACGCCGCTGAACCTTTCGGCAAGAGAATCTTCACTCTTTTCCCCGGTTTGGGGTACGCCGCCGTGTACAAGGTGTTGCAAAGAGTGTACAAGTACGGTGGTCAACCTTTCGTCAACGAGTTCTTGACCAAGAACTTCAAGGACAGCTACGAAAACTTGTTCGGCCCCAAGACCGGTAAGGCCATGCTTTCGGCCACTGCTGGTTCGCTTATCGGGATTGGTGAAGTGGTGTTGTTGCCTCTCGATGTGTTGAAGATCAAGAAGCAAACCAACCCTGACGCTTTTAAGGGCAGAGGCTTGTTCAAGATTATCAAGGATGAAGGTTTCGGTTTGTACCGTGGTTGGGGCTGGACCATGGCGAGAAACGCTCCCGGTTCGTTCGCGCTTTTCGGGGGTAACTCGTTCGCTAAGGAATACATCTTCGGCCTTAAGGACTACTCGCAAGCTACCTGGACGCAAAACTTCGTCACCTCTATTTTCGGGGCTTCCGCTTCGTTGATTGTCTCGGCTCCTTTGGATGTGATCAAGACTAGAATCCAAAACAAGAACTTCGACAACCCCGAATCGGGCTTGACTATCATCAAGAACACTTTGAGAAACGAAGGTATCACCGCTTTCTTCAAGGGTTTGACCCCCAAGTTGTTGACCACTGGTCCTAAGTTGGTGTTCTCGTTCGCCGTCGCCCAATCGTTGATCCCCGCTTTCGACAACTTGATCAAAAAGTAAGCGGCGCCTGTATTTATACTTGTATATAGACCGTAATGAATTTATCTTAGACTAATTTGCCACTTGCTTTTTTTCAGACCCCGTGCCCCGCGCACTAATAATAAAGCATCAGCCGCATCAACAGCCGGTGAGGATGAACATCACTCCATACTTCTTCCACACCCTCAAAATTAACTTACTTCTGCTATTGGTGACCCATAGCCGAAGTGACGAGTTTCCTATGATCGAATCCCCCATTTTCGAGTATTCCCGCTGCACCCATGACGCCTACTTTTTGAATATGACTAACGATGACTTATGACTAAATACTAATAATACACGCCAATCACTTTACTGAATGTTGGGGTAGATCCCAAGCACCAAAATCTCCTGCACAACTCTTTGCCATTTCCCAACCCCCATGATCTGGTCCATCTCCAGTGCCAGTTTCCCTTCGAGCAAGCCCATTCTCGCCACCGCCTCCGCGAGTTGAGCCTGACGAGCAAGCTTCTCCAGAGCCCGTTCCCGAAGTCCACCACTAGTCTTAGCATACAGCATGGCACTTTTCAATAATGTCTTAGCGTTGCGAACGAGAATCTCACGATTATTATTAGCGGCGTCACAATTAATTTGACTCCGTTGGATTTCAGCGTCGGCTCGAGCAATAATGCACTCAGCAAGCTGAGCAAGCAACAGGCCAAGCTCTTCCGCCAGCAGCAGAGTCTTGGTTATAGTCAGGTGCCGCTCCGAAAGCAATGTTTGCGCTTGCTTGAGCCAGGCTGCTTGTTGCGATACAACTTTCCATTGTAGTTGTGGATCAGCTATGCCTTCACGTTCGATGACCGTGTTAAGACAATCGTTAGCTACCATATAACGTTCAGCAGTAAATGGTGCCCGGCTATCATTGTTCCATAACTCAATACAATGCGCGGAATCCCCCGATACCGCTTCAATCGCCAATTTTGAAAGGCTTAACTCCTCAACCTGAGACTGGGTCAAATTTTGTACCATAGAGTTAGGTGATGACGAAGTCTCCGAAAAGTTATTGACCAAATTATTAGCCGCAGCATCGAGCTGACTCACAAATTGAGCCCAATCATTGTCCAACGTCACTCCCAGCTCCGCCATCGCTTGCACAAGCTTGAAACCAGCAAGCACTGTGTCGTAAATATCGGTAGGTTGAACAACTGAAACAGACTCCATCTCCGCAGTCTGCAGAGACGAGGAGTTAGTGTTGCCACTACCAGTGACACCCACATTACCACTAGTAGAAACTTCACTTAACTCAGACAAGAACTGATCGAACTCATTCAGCTGGCGCCCAAGAACCTGCGAAAAAAGATCCCGAGCTTGTACTCCTGCATCCCACACATTTTGGGAATTGTCATCCGCTTCCACAACTTCAGTATAAACCAACGCCATGTTATATAACAAATCAGTACTAGGATTAGGAAGCGAAGCTGCTTGCTGGTATGCTTTCACTATATTTTCAAGCCCCACTAAAACTGAGCTGATCCCATCCGTTTTTATCATGTCAAGGTAGCCTGGTTTGGTATAGTTGGAGTAGACATGAAATAAGAGCCGTGTACAGTTATAGTATGCTTCAGCATCATTGCCCAACTCAATTGCCTGTTGATAATGCTCGAAGGCCTTTTGGTAAAACCGTAAAGCTTTACTAAGGTCACTGCCATACCACCGATCGCCATTCTCTTCGAGCTCTGATCCTTCTTCCAGGTAGTCTTCGGCCGTGACTAATGTTGTTGGTTTAGCCTTATCATCATTCTTTTGTGCTTCTCGGCGCCCCGCAAAACCTTTTTTCGGTAACTTGAGTTTGGTAACTGGGTTCTGGCTCATCGTTGCTTTAATCGCACCTCTCGCATCGGTGAAGCTGGAAGCTAAGATGTGCGAGAAGCCACGAGCTGATCAATCAAATGGATAATTTTTGTGCACGATGTTGAAAATGGAGACTATCTACAAAGTATTCAACGAGAAATTCAAAATTCCATCGAAATTAAGTGACTGTATTTATGACCCAATGTAACACTGGTTGTTCCAAAGCTCAACCGTGCCAAATAATTTTCGAGGTGCGCGTCGACCGCTATGAACCATTCGCTATATAGCCTCGACTATGCCATCGATATAGGCCATTCAAAGTCCGCCACCGAGGTTCGAGTACTGCCTGATGGTGCCACCGTTGCCACATGCTCAGCCGATGCCACAATTCGAATATTCAACTTCAAAACAGGTGCTTTGATTACCACGCTCAAGGGCCACACAAAGGGCATCAACACCATCGAGTACCTGCCCATTAACAGCGATATCCTTGCTCTGGGGCTGGATGACTTCACCATTCGTCTATGGTCAGTTTCCAGAGGAAAATGCATCAAAGTCCTCAAAAAACACACCTACCATGTTACTGCCCTCAAATTCACCTCAAGAGGCAATGTTCTCGTCCTGGGAGGTGCCGATGAAACAATCATCGTGTGGGATTTGGTTAGCGGCAAAACACTCCACACTATGGCCGCTCACTCAGACCCAATTCTGCTGATATGCCTCAGTCACGACGACACAATCATTGCCCTGGGGGGCTATGATGGGATCATGCGTCTCTTTGACACTGAATTGGGCCAATGCGTCAAGACTCTCACGGTTAACTCATCTCACGGTACCGCTACTGCTCTGACGGCAGATGTCATCAATCATCCCATATCTAGCGTCATCATGAGCCCGAACAGCAAGTACATTTTCAGTTCTTCCCTCGACGGGTATATTCGATTATGGGAATACTCCAATAACAAGGTGTGCAAAACCTACGGAGAGGGTTCAATTGCTGCAAAATACTGTTGCGGTACCGCAATTGTCACCGATACAGAGCTGCCGTTGCTTGTACTGGGCAGTGAAAGCCAAGGTGTGCTCGTGTTCGATGTTCAGTCTCGTCAAACAACGTTTGAGTACCCTTGTGATGATGTTGTCATACTGGTTATGGTTTACCAGGGTGACATTGTTGCATTGACGATGACTGGGAAGCTTCTTCGATTGAAGCTTAATCCCGAATTCATACACGTTGCCGAGGCGCCACATCTGCAATTGCCGCTGCTGGTACTGGAATCACGCGAAGCTACTGCTGATTCAACAAGCCAAGTTCAAAGCGACGCTGATGTTGAAATGGATGAAGCATACTGACTGTACGACCATGCATACCACTTAATACCAAACCTCCTAATAATTAGGTCATAACCGATTGTAGACACATGCACATAACACGAGAAATGGTGTTTAGAATCCGTAATTGTTACCTGAAATCATACAATTCATGGATACCCTCGACAATAGGCGTCCTGCATACCAGCATGCAATTGATTATCGCAAATCATTAATGTGCGACTTTGACCTACTCGCTCCAGTGGCAACCTTCAATAACGCCTGTTGATATGGAGCAACAAAACTTGTTTCGATTCTCTGCATTCAAGCTTCCGAAGCTGGCGAAGCTCCGGATGTACGGGGTGTACACTGCGGGCGCTTGCTATGCCATTGGCTTCTGGTCAATGGTCGACGCCGCTATGTGGTCAAAGCTGGCCGAGAACGCCAGTGACGTCCACGTCACGTTTGTTGATTGGATTCCTTTCATTTGTTCAACATTGGGGATGCTTGTTGTCAATTCTATCGAAAGAGGCAACTTGATGGACACCAACAATTCGTTTATGGGCGGCAGCCAGCACGCTTGGGCTGCCAGGGTAATCTTGTTCTTTGGGTTTGCTCTTCTCGCGGGCGGGCTTGCGGGGAGTCTCATGACGTTCATCATCAAGTTCATCTCGAAGCATATTAGTTTCCCCACTTTGGGAATGGGTGTCAGTAATGTGGTGAGTAATGGGTTTATCATGTTGCTGTGCATCATTTTATGGGTGTCACAAAACATTGAGGACGAATACAGTTACTCGTTGGCGCTTTAGTCGAAACATCAATACGAAAACATCGTTTTAATATACGAATTTATGGTTCAACGCAGAAGCTTCGGCGACTGATCTAATACAGACAGTCACGAAAAGACCAAATATTAGTGAAAGCTATATTCAACCAGTGCAATAGGTTCCGATTGTATTGGATCGACAATGTTTAATCGTTCCTTCCACTGTAATACGAGTTTCATAACAAATAACATATTTAAAAAAGACCAATCCTAGAAATCGAGATTGTCAATATGGCATGATTTACTGGTTGGTCTCAAGTTTGAGTAATGCTTGGTGAAGAAAGGCTTCTTAAAAGTAAGACTGCAATTGGCACTTGTCCTAATTCAATTGCATTTGATTTATCCTCTCATTACCACAATATGACAAGACCTTATTGAAGCTATGGCGTAGTTGTAATTATAAAAATTGTGATCTAAAATTGCACAGACCCATACAAGTCCGGTCCCTGCGCCTAGTTCCTTCACTAAGCGAATCACGCCTATCTATTGTATTGCAGTGATTGCAAAATTAGATCCCATGTGAAGCAACTTGGAATTGACCAGAGTCGGAGCGGTGACCTGATTTTGCACATTACGATTCTCGTACCCTTCGGAACGGCAGATTTATTTTTCACTAAACCGATTCTCGCCCTATTTGCGACCCCGCGACCCCCGCTGATGGCCTGACTGTGGGGGTTGCACTCAGCATGTGACAGCCCAAATGTCCTGTACACAAACCATGCCCGGTTAGGATATAACGTGGCCGGCATCCCCAGGTGACTCCTCCACGAACTATAAGCGATGTCTCTGCTTCATACCCTTACCAAAGAGTCCCACAAGGACCCTCTGAAGTTTCGAGTCAACTACGACGATGCTGTTCGCATTCTCGGTAAGGACTCTAAGCTCCCGGAGAATGATAACTTACCAGTTGAGACGGGCAGTTCACGCGTGGTGATTATCGGCGCTGGTGTCGCTGGGATGGCTGCGGCTATTCGCTTGAAGAAGGAGTTGAAGGAGGAAGACTATTGGTGTTTCGACAAGTCCACCGACTTGGGTGGCACTTGGTGGAACAATACCTACCTCAATGCAGCCTCCGACAGTCCTGCTGCTCACTACAGTTTCTCTACCGACCGGGTATCTAACTGGAGTCGTCCTCAACCGTTGCAATATGAGTACATGGAGTACTTGGATGGCGTTGCCGAAAAGTGGGCTCTCAGAGACAAGATCCGGTTCAACTCGATCGTGAAGGCGTGCCACTGGAGCGAAGCTGAGCAAAAGTGGACCGTGGAGGCTCGTGACACAAAGACCGGTCAACGCATACAGTGGAAGTGTGAGATTATTCTCAACTGTATCGGAGCGTTGGCTCAGCCTAATCACTATCAGGTGGAAGGTCTCGATACCTTTGAGGGTGAATTCATGCAATCAGCGCTTTGGCGTCATGACGTTGACATGAAGGGAAAGCGAGTAGTGCTTATCGGCAACGGTTGTACTGCTAACCAGGCGTTCCCGGGTGTTTTGGCGAAGGACCCCAGTCAGCTCACTCAGGTAGTCAGATCTCAGCACTATATCATGCCGCCCATCCCCCACTCATTCCAACAAGCGTACCTCTTATTCAGTCAATGGTTATTTGGGTCTTGGTTGTTCCGCATGATCGTGGCGTTTGGCCTGGAGTTGAGATGGCCGTTGTTCCGGGGTAATGGATTCTTTTCTCGTCTCGTCCGGAGATACCTGACGAATGTGTCGTTGTCGTATATGAAACGGGAGTGCCCGGAGAAGTTCCAAGATGCGTTGATTCCAAAGTTCAAGATTGGTTGCAAACGTATGATCTTTGATCACGACTACTTAAAGAGCTTGCATGACCCCCGAGTCCACGTCACGAATCTGCTCATCAAACGCATTGACGGTAAGACTTTACACCTTGAAGATGGGTCTACCATTGAATGTGATGTGTTGATTGCCTGCACTGGTTATGACGTCGCCAAAAGTATGATGCTTGTCGACTTTTTCGGTAAGGACGGCCTGCTGTTACGCAAGACCTGGAATGAAGAAGGCATTTCCGCATACCAGACATTGTTAGTGAAGGATATCCCCAACATGTGGATTTTGGCCGGTCCTAACTCGATTACTGGTCACGCTCTGGTGATTATGGCTATTGAAAACGGGTTGAACTTCTTTGAAAAAACTGCCAAGCCTATTTTAGACGGCAAAGCTACCCTGGTCACGGTCAGTGACGAAGCTTACGATAAGTGGCTCAAGACTACACAAGAAGAGCTTCAAGAGTGTGTATTCGGCACTCCCTTCGGTGGATGTGTAAGTTGGTACGCCACCTCAAAGACAATCTTTACGACCTACCCTAGAAGTCAAATTGACTACTGGTACCGTTGCCTGCATCCTAAGTTCAAGGATTTGGAATACACTAAACCAAAGACTCATTAAATTTATTGATTATATCGAAATACCATTTGTACATTTACTGTCGTATACTTTTGCGACTGTCACAGACGCGGTAGCTTCTCTATCTGACACTGCCGTTGACCATCAGCCACGGCTAGCTTCACACCGGGTGAGCGTGTAACAAAAAAACATGATGCAATAGTCGTAAGCCTTACAACGGGGTCAACAACTCATCTTTCAATGGGCCCAATAACTCCAATTCATACTTCGAAAAGTTGAACAAATTAAGAGTGATCGGTTCCGCAGCCCCACGGGGATGTACTTGGAAGTCCTTCCGTTTCAACTCGTGGAAAAACGGGTGAACAAGTACACGTCTCGGACTGGCCCGGAAGTCGGGGTCGTAGACAAGAATTCGCATCAACAAGTCAATGGCATCGGGCGGCAGATTAGAGAAAATTTGACGGAATCTCTCTTCAACGGTGCAATTGAAAAGCTTGACACTATTCATATTACCACGGTATTGAGGATTCAGCTTGAAGAAAAACAGATTAGGCGGAGGTCCCAACAATTTCAGGATTTCCTTGAGTTGAAGTTCAGGCAGCTGACCCTGGAATATCGGACGACCTAAAAACATTTCGGCAATCACGCAACCAAGCCCCCAAATATCGATTTTAGTCGTGTACAACGAACAGCCGACAATGAGTTCGGGGGCTCGGTAGTAACGCAGACAAATATAGGACACCAGCGGCAGGTTCGGTTCAAGCTTTTTGGCACTGCCAAAGTCGCAAATCTTCAAAGTCACGGTTTTGGGATCGACGAGAATATTAGACGGCTTGATGTCACGATGGGATATACCAAAGCCGTGCAAGTACAACATTGCCCGGGCCAATTGGAACGTGTACGCCTTCATATGGGGGTAAGGAATGGTGTATTTTGATTGGCGGTAGTGCTTAATTTCGTGCTGTAAGTTCAGCGGTAGGCACTCCATGACTAAGTTCTGGTAGACGGTGGGATCATTCGAATTCGATGATTGTTTGTCAAAAAAGAACTGGAGCAGGACGATATTGGGGTGGTTGACCACCCTCAAGATCTCGAGCTCCCGCAGTTTGTATTCTGTTTGGGCAGGGACGCGTTTGATAGCAAAAGGTCCAAACCATTCCGGGGACTCTTGGTCGTTGTTTTCGTACTTCAAAACGGCCTCCACCACGGTACCAAACGCACCCTCGCCAATGCGCTTGTATTCCTTGACCGTCATACGGTTGGGCGAGGATGTTTGGTTGTTGACCACCTGATCGAGGGTGTACTCATTTACCGGCGCCAATTGCGGCATGGCGATCACGAGTATCTGCAAAAAAGGAGTAAAGCCGCCAGAAACGAGCACTTAAGTAATATCAGCCAGATAGGTGGTGGTTCTGCTCGGGGCACACGATGTGATCGCTGGTGGCAGACGACGGTGGTGTGGTGTGGTTTTCGCGAAACCAGAACAAAGAATGTGCGAACGTGTAAACTGAGCGTGGCGGAGGCGACAATCACTCGCGACAAAGCCCGGCTTTAGGCGCTACAAAAAGCAATACTTTTAGCACTGCGGCCGGTTACGGTGGGTTTGTTGCTATTCCAAGCCAATCACAGTGCCGTTAAAATCGACGGACCGCGCTCCCCAGTTGACTCGGGGCTTCTAGTTTTGATTTAGTGCGCCCACCCCCAATTGCCCAGGGGCCCACACCACTTCGCATAACCACACGTACCCAGTTCAGCGAACTCGGCTATTGGATGGACACCACGAAAAGCTGAACAAACGGGGCTTAGCAAGATTTTTCTACGGCTACGCTACACTTCATTCTCCCGTCGCGAATAATTTGCTTGTAGGGCATGCTGCCATTTGTTTGTTGTTCTTTTTTTTTTTTTACTCGTCATTGTTGGGAGCGGCGGCACTAGACTTTACACATGATCAAAACTTACAGATAGGCGACGATTTTGGGAAAGGGAGCCGGTAGTGATAGTAGCCACCCATGGAGTGCTGATAAGAAGAAAGAATTTCCAGGTATACCGAATGGAGGATGAGCATTTTCATTGATGATCATCCAACGCGTCTTGATCGGCGTGCTCGCGTTTATGACAATGTTATTGTCTAATTTGGCGCGGAGCCGTCGTCTCTCACTACTGCGAACCGGTGGAGCAGCACTCGGTGCGAAATTTTCCCATCTCCATTGGTTAGGCCACACCATGTTCAAACGGTTCTTCAGCACCACACCGGGGTTGCGGGCATCGCTCACGCCTGCCAAGGTCGATGGTCGCAAAAACCTTAAGACCGTCGGCTGGAAAATGTACGCCTACTTCCATCGCCACAACACCGTGTGCCTGCTCGTTGAGGTCGTCGAAGACTTGGACTTCATGAAGAAGAACCAACACTTGTCTTACAACGAAAAGGTGTTGTACTACATGCAACTCCCCCACCACCCCAAACTTCACATCACTGCTGGTCAGCTTGGTTTCCGCAAGGCGCAGCGACAAGAATACGAAGCCGGGTTCCAGGTGGCGCTGAAGTTGTTCCGGACCATCGAGGACGAGAAGTTGATTGGGCCTAAGGACAAGATCGAATTGATCGTCAAGGATTTTGGCAAAGGCCGTGACGCGTTCTTTGCCGCTTTGCAAGGCAAGGAAGGGACCAACATCCGCAAGTACATCGACCGGATCTACGACAACACCAAGTTGAAGTTTGGTGGTAACCGTCCCAAGAAACTCAGAAGATTGTGATGGGTTAATTTCATGTATATATATATTTTATGGCATCGTCCACGCGGACAACTACGACAAAACCGGTAATGCAAGTAATTGAGAATAAACTCAAGAGAATCAAAAATTATTTCAGTAGTGAACCAATGATGAACTTTTATCGAGTCTAAGCTCATTTTGTGGTATCTCCCTTCATAGAATAGCGCTTATGTTTTAGCTTTATTTACGGTTTATGCGGGAGTACTGTTTCGCAGCCAAAGAGACGATAATCGCACCTCATGTTTAACGTCACCACTTCGAAAATTGTATCTTAATCTCTTTCGAAGAAGGCGTTCAAGGAATGATCTTTAAGAAAACTAATGACAATAGACCACCATCATTTCACTTCTTGGGGACTTTAGGTAATAGGTGTCGGGCTATTAGGGTTACACCCCTAGTCGCACGTGATGCCTCGCTCTGCGCACCGTGGGGCCCCCGGCAAATTTTTCAATAGGTTCGCGACAATTTAGAGACGAAACTACTTTCGACAAGCAAAGATGGCTCCCTGTATGTAACATCCTTTCGAAGCGTGGAAGTGGTCAGATACGCTGGATCGAGATCTATCATCGATGTGAGCGATCAAGTCGTTCGACGGCTGTTCTATACCTTTCCTTCCCGTGGCATTACCACTGTTGATTGTGTGAAACCCTTACTAACATTATAGCCACTAAAGCTACTGCTGCCAAGAAGGCTGCCTTGAAGGGTACCAACGGTAACAAGGTGCAAAAGGTCAGAACCCTGGCCACCTTCCACAGACCCAACACCCTCAAGTTGGCTCGTAACGGGAAGTACACCAGAAAGGCTGTCCCCCACTACAACCGCATGGACAACTACAAGGTCATCGTCGCCCCCATTGCCTCGGAAACCGCTATGAAGAAGGTCGAAGACGGTAACATCCTCGTCTTCCAAGTGGACATCAAGGCCAACAAGCACCAAATCAAGCAAGCCGTTAAGGAATTGTACGAAGTCGACGTTGAATACGTCAACACTTTGATCAGACCCAACGGTACCAAGAAGGCTTACATCAGATTGACTGCTGACCACGATGCGTTGGACATTGCCAACAGAATCGGCTACATCTAATGGTTGGGTTTTGTATAGGGTGTAAATTAATAGTAACGAAATAGACTGATCGGCATCGCGTAAACAGAACTAACATTAAGACTTGTTCATTATATTGTCACCAATTTGCGGAGAGTGAGATCGCTCGTCCAGTATGGGTATACATGCCCCGTCGGGAGCCGACCGTAGGCTCGCACGATGGTGACGTCTAGCGGGTCTCGCACTTTGCTCACGTTTTTTAAAAGCTCTTCAATTTCCTCAATGTTATCAGGGATATCTGCTAATCGTTCAAACTCAAAGAATCGTCGGCGCTCGTCATCGGTGGTATAGTCGATGCATAACGGTTGCGAAGTGGACAGGTCCCACACACATAGCAGAAAGCGGAGGATGTGCGGCTCACTCTGAGCGTCCCGCACTATGATCAGACCCCTCGGGGAGATGACGGCCTGATGGATGGAAATAATATATTTGTCGTTGTTATCACTCATGCCGATTGCGGGCTCCATGCGATGAAGCTCGGCTAGCAGAATGCGCTGCGGTGATGGTGGTTGTTCGGGTTGTTGTTCGAGACTGCCATTGTCTCCGTTGGCAATAGCAGTGGGTCGTCGTAGTTGTTGGTTATATTCCGGCGTCAATTCCGCTCGGGGATTGAACGCTAGGTTCATCAGTCTGGAGATCTCGAAGTAGTCCTCATATCTGCGCGAATCTAGAAAAATAACACGGAGTCGCGTGAAGCTGAACATGAGCTTATTTTGATAGGACTGTAGACTTGGAATTGAGTGTTTAGATTAGTGGTCGAAGGGTTATCATTGTCATTGGGGAGTGGTCTGGTATGTGTCATGCACAGGAAGAGCACTAATAGTGTTCAGTATGGAGCAAAATTTGACAAGAGTAACAAGTACTCAATGAAGCCCTCTGTAGCGATCGATTAAAGTCTCACACTCATAGGACGAATGGGTTGACCATGGGAGATTCTCATTGGCGGTAGTTTGCACGGATGTTGGCGAAATGCTTTTGGATTGGAGTAACATTGCAGTGCCCTTGTTCTCTATAGATGCAAGGATGCCAAACAAGTATGATAAGCAATATGGACCGAAGCCATATCAGATGGACTCTACACGCTACGCTAATCATGCTTGATTAAATGCTGTGAAATGTTCCGTAAGAAACGATTTGCTACACCGATTGATTCAAATGGAATATAAAGTATATTGCATGTTCGTAATTGTATGTGCATGGTCATAATCAATATGGTGGAACACTGATAGTGGCGCCCTCAGCATATGACGGCTGGTGGCGTTATCGAGGATCAATGAGGCTTGTGTTCATGCTTCATTCGTTGGATCCACGAGTCAAACAAAGAGTACTCCACTTCGTCGAATTGAGTCATACGGTGCGGTAAGTGTGCCAGCAGCGCCACACGAGATTCGCCATCAGGAGTACCTTGCCGAGGAAGTCCAACCTTGAAATTCAGAGGTATGATCAGCTTCAGAAGTTGCTGATTGCTGGGCTTGGACACCTCTTTCAAAAAGTACTTGAGGTATAGGAATAGTACAATCTTCCTCATATCCAGATATTGAAGTAAGTTTAACATAGTATCGTTAAGTTTCACCAACAAGTCATACTGCTGGGTACTGAGAGCACATCGTGACTCCAATTTGTGGAACACCTTTGTAAGAACTCGGTGAAGGGGCATTCGGTAAGCCTCCAACGAAAGATCATCGCCTGATGGGGACGCCCGTATATTGTTGCCTGCCCCGGAAAATGCACCCGCCGCTCCAAATACCTGATTTGTGTCCAGCGGTAGTTTGGCTGCACTTGATGGGGATGATAGCTTGATCGTGCTTGTGGCAGCAACTTCTTCCTCTTGAGGGGAATCCTGGCTCTCGGGGCCACTACCTAAGTTGATAGTACTCATATCAAACACAATTGCTTCGGCGGCGTCATTTCTCTCAGGGGTTTGGCATTTCCGCTGGTTATTGGCAATCTCTGTCGGGACATAAAAATTATGGATTTTGCCAACTTGATGGTCCTGGTCCCATAACTGCTTCGCGGTAATCAACTTTTTCAAACGACGCCTATCGTGGCTCCGGGCCACAATCCACTTATGACGTAACAATTGCGATGCCAGCCAACGCCGTTGTGGATTCACAGCGAAACATTTCGTTAGGAAATCGCGAAACAACCGTGAGATTGGGAGGGACTCAACTTCAATAAGCAGCGTAAAATCTCGACATTGCGATATCTGACGTAACGCTTTCATAGGTGGAAGTTGCAGTTGTAGGGGAGGCTTCCCTGTAATCATTTCGTAGGCACAACAGCCTAACAGCCAAATATCAGCTTTAAACAGGTGTCCCTCAGAGTTATTTATCACCTCCGGTGCCATCCAGTATGGTGTGCCCACAGTAGTGTTGCGCCGACTGAAATTACTCAGCAATTGAGTCAGAACACCGAAGTCGGTAAGCTTAACATCTCCTTCTTTCGATACTAGGATATTTTGCAGTTTGAGATCTCGGTGGATTTTGCCGTAGCGATGGAGATAATCAAGTGCTAGTAGCAAATCGTAGGTGACCAATGCCACCGTCAGTTCGTCGTTTATAGCAGCAGGCTTAAGCAATTCGTGGAGAGAGCCTCCATCAACATATTCCATAATCACCCAAAGGCGATAGTTTCGGACAAAACACCCAAGGAAACGAGTGATATTGGGGTGCCGGCACTCCAGAATAATGGCAATTTCATTATTGATCTCGTCCAAGTCGGGCTGCTCTTCAAGGTCTATTTGTTTGATAGCGACTTCGGTCAGTGTCAGTTTGATGATACCTCGGTAAACCACACCAAATCCACCACGACCAACCTCTTCACATACCTCGAGATCTTCAAATCGAACTCGCAGCGCCATCAGGGGACCGGTGCAAACAGATTAATGAAACGTCGTAGCAATGGTATTTAGCATTCGCGTGCGGTGACGGAGAATGTTTTCAATTTTTACAACCGAGTGCACCGCGTCAAGAATCAGTGGGGTCATTGAAGTTAGCGATAAAATGGAGTCTTGGCACTTAAACATGTAGAGGAAACTGTTATCATGTTCATCGTGCAGTTTTGATTTTGACTAAGAGCTTGCAGAATTCGAATTGGTGTCATCATCTCAAATGTGGGGGTTTTAGCTGTAGTCAACATTCCCAAAATTTATGTGTGGTCGCACGATCGAGCCCCACGTATGAAGAGAACCCGAAGCGATGACAACGACGTTACCGATACGGGAGGGCTGCGAATCACCTGTCTGCTACCACCATGCCACCAAAATCCACATCACTTCAATCTGTATCTCACTTATCTGCACCATATGACGATGAATCACGACTATATGTGTGAGGAGTGTCATCGCAAGTTCCCGCTGATGACACTCCTCGAGATCCACATCGACGAGTGTCATAACCCCTTTATTGCCATTGCCGGTGACCAAGGGAAGCCTGTTTACAGGTGTTTTGAATGTAGTGAGAAATTTACCTTACCTGGCGACCGCAATCAACATATGGTTTATAAGCACCACTACTCACTTCAATTCAAGTTTGACATTGTCACCAAAGGCATATAACGTCTACAAACTACCAAAGCGATGCCGGCGTCGACTCAAAATCCAGTTATTTCGTTAATCATTATCTATCTCATGCCTCAGTCTTCCGCTTTTTGCGGGCAATAACCGGTCCCTTCAGCAATTGAGCGAGTATTTCGGGGTCAAACTTCGACTCACACGCCGGACACTGTTTGGACTCGGGGATCATCAGCATAATACACAAACACACACTGCACACGTAGCCAATATCCACTTGCTTACCCGTAATGAAGCACAGCGCCCGGTAGTTGACGTTTGTATTTGTGGGGAGCACGATGAGAGGCCTTAAACTAGGCTCGACAAAGTAGGCAGTGGCCAACACTTGGATGAGGCCCTGAGGGTCATGAAGGCGAAGATACACCCCCTGGGTGGCGTCGCTGGCCTGCTGAAGAAACGCTTGGTCCTGAGTGCCCAATTGCACCACATCGATGGGCACCTTCATCTTCTGAGCGGCAAAGATCAGGTTCATTACGGGGATATAGCGGATGTTGTCGTCTTGATTAGCCAGCACCACCAAAATCCGCAGTCGGTAATTAGTTGATCCCCAAAGCGTGCCTGAGGTGTTAGCATTGCTCTCGCCACTGGTGGTTTTCGTCAGATTCAGGATCGCCAGCGCCGTGGTGGTTGTGATTTGTTGGTCCACCGTCAATATGCGATTGGTGTAGGTGAGCGCCATCAGCAAGGCTCCGGCAAGTGTTGAGTGGTGTAGGTGTTCTGAGGGATTAGCTTTATCTTGTTCAAAACACTCGTTTAGTTCTCGGAGCACCGCCTCGTCGACAACACGAAATTGCCGGTACATGCCTGGATTCACTAAGGGAGGCGCCAGCCGGTCAGCGTCATAGTCTTTGTGAGGATTGGGCCAGAGAAACTTCAGTCCCCGTGGCAGCAGTGCTATAAATGCCACCAAGTTGGAGTTGTTTAACGAGAGATGGGCATTGAGAAACACGAGGAGACACTTCATCACCTCGTTGAGGGATATCTGGTTCTCGATTGCCACCCACCCCAGCGGCAGCATGTCAAGCACCACGGTCAAGAGTGACGGGTCGTCAATCTGCTCGCCTGGCTGGGGTACATCGGTGAACACTTGGTCGGCAATGGCATCCATGGTCGCGCGTTGGTGCACCGCTCACAAAGATAGCAAAGAAACCTAAGATTCAAGAAGATTAAGAAATTAAGCAAATCAAGTATTGGGGTGAGTATCTATGTTACGTATGATGACAATGACATCTATGTAATTAAAGAGTTTATGAAAGTTCAGGGAAGATGTCAATTGCTGATAATCACATTTTGATAACATGCAAACTACCACTAATACACCAGCCGTAGTCGATAGAGCTTCTATCACAATTATGATGAGTTATTCTCCGACGCGACAATAATATCTACTCGAAATGAACAAGTTGAATATGATTTCACTACAGTAACCTGACCATAGCTAACGTAAAATTAATTATCTATAGTACAAGAAAACGCCCTAAGAGAAGCACGCTTAGTTGACCAAGGCCGAGGCGGTGGCCGATTCGTACTTCCAGTTAGGAGGCAAGACACCGACGGTTCTGTAGTATCTGGCCAATCTGTGGATTCTCGATTCGATCAAAATGAGTCTGAACTTCGAGTCCTTGTCCTTTCTGTTTCTTTCCAAGTGCTTTCTGATGGAGACAGCCTTCTTGATCATGTGGTACAAGTCTTCGGGGATTTCAGGAGCCAAACCGTTCGACTTGAGGATTCTCAACACCTTGTTACCGGTGATGATTCTGGGTTGGGTGACACCGTGGGCGTCTCTCAAGATGACACCGATTTGCGAAGGGGTCATACCCTTTCTGGCGTACTTGATGATTTGCTCAACAACTTCGTCCGACGAAAGCTTGAACCACGAGGGTGCGTTTCTGGAGTAAGGAATGGCAGAAGAGGAGATCCCCTTGCCCTATCAATAGTTAGTATAACGATCATCTCACCATCACGACCAACACCACCAAAACCTCAGTAACCGCAAGAAACAATATTCTTTTGGTCACCAGTCATGGTGGCAGTTTTGCCGCAGATGGGTGGGAGAGCGTTCCAAGGTATCAATCCAGAAGCTGGTCGGTAATCTCCTCAAAATGGGATTACCACTCCTGGAAAGCATTCCAAGCGAACTTGCTAGACTCTCCTCAGGTAAAAGTCAGGGTACATACCGAAGAATGCATACGACCCATGTTGACTAAAGTTTGTTTGGTGTACCGAAAACGGTGGGACTAGCGATAGGTTTTATAGCGAGGGATGCGTGAAAAATTTGCCAGCTTATGTGCAGGTCACAGGTACGAGAATTAGGGTTGAACCCTAACGGTGCGAAGTTGATACTAACGAGAACTGAGACAGTACTTCACTAACCAGTGGTCCTAGTGATACCCCTATGGCGGCGAAAGTGTGACTGAGACCTTAAATTCTCCGTGATTGATTACATTGAATGTATTCAAAAAAGTTCACCCATCATTAGACTCTGATAATTTCGAATCATACGCAGCCCTCAACTTTCGATTAAGGTCGACTTATAAAAGATGTCACTCGGACTCTAGGTGAGATATTGTGGTTACGAGTGATGATAGCGTCGAACCTGGTTTACTGGAGCTAAAAACGGGGTCAAAGTTGAATCATCTGCGTTTTGGCACGCTCTCCACAAATCATGCACTCGCTTCACAAGTCCGGCATTCATATGCAGCTCGGGCCAACGCAAATCATAAGACGATCCCGCAACTCTTGAACCGAGAATCCCAGTGACACAGCCGAGCTATCGTGATTTATCTGTAAGATGAGGTCAATCTCATTAAAGATGTAGGCGAAATATCCACCCGATACGGTTAGCTCGGCAGTTGCACGCTGAGGACTTCCATAGACCCGAACGATATGATATAAGCAACCAGATAAATGAAACGGTAAGTCATGAAAAACTTTGTGACCAGCTGGAAGGATGGGATGAGCCTAGGCCTTTTTTCTCGCTTACTCCAATTTCATGACAACGTACTTAAGTTACGTCAAAGAAACGGCTCATTTCTTGAAAAGAAAATACTTCAAAACGCCACAAAAAAAAAAAAAATCTGTTTCGATGCGCTGCCGTACTGTCCATGTGGGTCACGTTCAGTATCGTGTTACATTTCAGTCGCGATAACGCGATGAGTAAGCCAGCCACATGGGTTCCACTTAGCTATCTAGCATGTGTGGAGTAGAGATAGAAAATAAAGTACCGATAGTTTCATGGCCAATTTGCACGCCTCTTTCTTCGTTAAAATGATACTTGATTCGCTAAATCCATCTGCTCATACGGGAGCGGGATCCGGAAAAACTTCTTTTACCCGATTAGACGCCATGCAGCACAGGGCCCTACTGTGGCATAATTAGCAACCCCCGCCACCCCGCTGCGATATCTTTACGGGTACTTACCTCGGAGACAAGGAGATTAACGGGTAGCCACGATAAACGAAAACATCTTGATAGATGACCCGTGGCCACGGCGAGTAATAGATAGAGGATACCCGCCCCGGAGGTGACGAGAGATGAGATTGCAAACGAAAAAAAATGCCGCGACGTGTAAATGCAACAGGCGATGATGCCGTTTAAACGTGGTTAGGCTTTTTTTTTTTCTCATCGCTTATGGCAGCCAGCGGACTTGAATGTGCGGGAAAAGTCGGAAAGCCCCATGCAAAAAACCGTATTCTCGGAACGTTGGGGATGATCGAGGCCCACTCCGGGTATCTACACCTCGGGGTGACCACCACCACCGCCACCGCGTAGATACGAGGCCGACAAACAGACGGAGCCCGCCCTATCTGAGATTGACCCCGCCCACCACCATTGTCTCCCCGGCTATCGCTTAGGGAATTGTGGCTCGGAGGTGATAACCACCCCCATGTGATAGCGCATCCCGGAGTTGTGAGCATTGTACCGAAAAACGTTCCTCGCAGATGACTACAGATAGACACTTATCTGTAACCCCGTTTTTGATCTAAAAGCCCGAACCTCGGGACTGGTGGCGCCGGGGTATAAATACACTGCATCCCTCTTCGCCTCGCCCCTAAACTTTCCAAAAGTGACGACGACAAACACCATGGGCTTATACAAGATTCCCTCGGCCCCCGCATTGAGAGCCGCCATCGAAGCCGGCAGCCCCCACGACGTGCTGGAAAAGTTAAGAGACCTCAGCATCTCCCTGACAACCCCCCGCCTGGTGGTGTGTCCCCCCAACACCCCCGAGATGGGCTTCACCGAAAAAGGTGTCCCCCAGTTCTCGTTATCGGATGTCGAGCTGTGGCGAATCTAACTGCCTTCAACTATCAGCTACGGACTACTTTTTTTTTTTGGGCACACACAACAACGATAATGGATAATCGGTAGAGTTTTTTTTTGGATATCACGGGAAAGGTTTCAATAGTATATAGAGTAATAATTAATAATATAATGGTTTTATTTCCGTCTATTTGGTATAGTTGTATTTTTAGTTATTAGCAGGGGTTTCTTTTTCTTGAAACGGTAAATAGATGACCCTAGTGTAAATGTGTGCGGTTATTACGTACAGATGAATTTCCCCAAAATGACTGAAAAAAAAAGCATCTGGTGCCTGGCTAGATTTTTTTTCATGGCGGTTGACATCACAACAACTGGCTCTCGATGTCCTCGAAGTCGTCCTCGTCGTCGATTTTGATCACTTTCGCCACCCCGGTCTTTTCGCGGACCAACTCGACGGCGCCGGCGTAGAGCATTCTCTGTTCCTGGCCACACGTCGGCGGGATCCAGTACACTAACACTAACGGCACTTTAAGCCGCCCGTCGCTCAACTTGATCGGGTACAGTAACACCACAAACCGGGGCAGATTGTCGGGCAACTCGTCGACCAATTCTTCCATCAGCGTCACCTCGTCATCCTCGGGGACGATCTCGTAGGTATCTTTGTTGATCGAGCATACGAGGGCTTCCATCGAGTCCCCCTTCCCCAGCAGGAACCGGAACTTGCGGAGTCTCTGGAGGGTGTCGTTGGAAAAGGTGTAGAGGCCGGTCGACATTAGTGGTCGGGATCACGGTGATGGTAGCGCTGCTAGGTAGTTGCCAGGTAGTGAGCGCGCAGTGTGGGTGAATGTCAACGGACCACACATTAGCGGGGTGGGGCGAATTTCTGCGGCATAACATTTACGTGAAATTTTACAGTGGGTACACCATGTTTACACGCTAAGCGCATTTTGATATAGATTTTGCACGAGTGGTTAATCACGAAGATATCGGTCTCATCATCAGGGTTTAATGAGGTTTAATGGAAAATACACAAAAACCCTAGTTAATTAAGATATTGGCGACTAACGCTAGATGTCAATGACGACCATCGTCCCCGTATCCAATTACGGACTAAAGATCACTCTGCTAGCGACGACCTCAATTGCTATTCCACCTTCCCCGGCGGGAATAAAAAATGCCTGCATACACGCGAAGAGCCATAATATTTATGGTTTGGCCCGATTCAGATGCGGCTGCTCTCATTAAAAAACACCCGGGAAGACGTGGTTTGCACCGAAGTTGTTGTCGTCGAGTGACCCATACACCCATCCACGATGTCGAAAAACAAAGTCAAGGTGCCGTTGATCGAGTTCCTCAAGAACCGCATCTACTTGGGGGCCTACGACTACGCCCCCGCCGATACCCCCGACCTCTGCTACTTCACCGTCGAGGACCAGCTCCAGTACAACCCGTTCCATCTCGATTTCGGGCCCCTCAACATTGGCAACTTGTACCGGTTCGCTGTGGCTCTCCATAACATCCTCAACGACGATGCTAACCAGGGTAAAGCGGTGGTGTTCTACCTGTCGACGCTGCCGAAAGACCGCGCCAATGCCGCGTGTTTGCTTTGCTGCTACATGGTGCTTGTCCAGCTGTGGCTGCCTCACCAGGTGCTCCAGCCCATCTGTCAAATTGACCCTCCATTTGCCCCATTTCGTGATGCTGGTTACTCCAACGCCGACTTCGAGATTACGATCCAGGATATCGTCTACGGGATGTGGCGGGCTAAGGAACGGGGGATGATCGATTTAACTACATTCAACTTGGAAGAATACGAACAGTACGAACGGGTAGACCAGGGGGACTTCAACGTCATTTCTAAGGACTTCATCGCGTTCGCCCTGCCTCAACAGTCACAGTCGAGACGCCTGACCCTGAGCCTGCCTCAACTTAACGAACCTTTCCGCAAAGTGCTTTCATACTTTGTTGATAATAACGTCCAATTAGTAGTGAGACTTAACTCCCACTTGTACGACCTGGCCGAGTTCACTAAACGCAACATCCAGCATATCGATATGATCTTTGATGACGGCACGTGTCCGATGTTGGAATACGTGCAGAAATTCATCGGCGCTCTGGAGTGTGTGATTCAAAACGGCGGCAAGATTGCCGTCCACTGCAAGGCCGGCCTTGGCCGTACCGGGTGTCTCATCGGCGCCCACTTAATCTATACCCATGGTTTCACCGCCAACGAGTGCATTGGCTACATGCGGATGCTTCGACCAGGGATGGTGGTGGGTCCTCAACAACATTGGCTCTACTTACATCAACAACAGTTCCGTGATTGGCGCTACACCATGGTGCTTGACAACCGTGCCGACGACTTTATTGGTGGACTCTACCCGTTAGTGCCTTACGACGAGTTCAAGCAACGGGTAAGAGCGGAACGTGCTCGCAAGCAAGCAGCTCAACAACAACAACAGGCGACGCTGCCGGTGATGGACTCGCTGTTCCAGACGCCAATTCGCCGGCGGAAGATCCTGGGGGCCCTCGCCGCCAAGATCCACACCGCGGTACCTATGGATCTGCCAGGGCAACCACGGAAGTACCGTCAAACTGGTGACGTCGTCAACAATAGCGACGATGAGCAATACGAAGAGGAATTGATTGAAGAAGTAGAAGTCGTCACCGAATCAGTGGAGCTGCTGCCACCGCCTCGCGACGTGTTGCGCACCATCAGCCAAAACCATCTGGGGGTGCCGCTGAAGATCCCCGTCCCCGGCCGCATCCTGCTGGTGCTGCTGCCACTGCTGCTGCCCACGGGGATCAAGATCCCCAAGCTGCGCTCAGCCCTGCGGGTTCTGCTGGTGAAGCGGGTGCTGCTGGGGATCCGCAAGGTGAGTGTTAAGAAGTACTAATGGGTCACGAATGCATAATGATACACCAAGGATGGACCCATCATCAGATGAGGGCGCATCGACTACTTACAAAAATAGTGTTAGCGGCTATACGACAGTTTAAAATACCACGATTAATGAATACTTCAAAATATCGAAACTACAAACAACTATCAACTCACTATATAAAACCTCGCCATCACCACGTCATGACACTCTGGTATCACGATACCAGCGTCAAAATGTTAGAGGGTGCGTTCGGTGGGTAAACTCTCAAATATGAAGACAAAGCACTTAGGCGCTTTTACGTCTCCACGAGAGGCACCACCTCGCAAATTGTCACCAGGCCACGATCCAGGCCCGGATCGCCAAGAACCACGCCCGAACCAGCCCCACCATCTTGGTGAGCTTACCTGGAGGCTTTGCCTGTACAGCAGTACCAGCCGCTGCCGCCACCAGTTTTACCAGTTTTGCCAGCTTAGCCAGCTTGGCCAGCGTCGCCAGACGAATCAGAGCTGCTCCCAGACGTACCAGACGCACCAGAGGCGCTCTCGCCAGCACCGCTGCCAGTCTGATCAGAGCTGCTTTAACCAGCCTTACCAGCGGTGCTTTTGCCAGCACCGCCATCAGCCGTACCAGGGGAGCGCGAGCCAGCGGCACCGCCAGCGCTGCAACCAGCCGCACCAGCGGGGCTCGAGACAGTGCTGCCACCAGGTGTACCAGCTTCACGTCGTCTTCATCGTTAATCACTGATGCTGCTTCAAGTGCTGCTGGCGCCGATGCCACCCGTTTGTTAGCCGGTGCTGCTATCCACTTGCCATTAATCTCACTGCGATAAGCTTGTCTCAATGTGGGGAAGTAAGGTTGCCGTTGTTTAGCTGGAGGGCTCTCCACCTTTTTCGGGGGCTCCACATCAAAGTGCCACGCTGTTTGGGGCCACTTGGGCATGGCAATGGGGGTAGTTGTGGGGGGAATTACCGTAGTTGACGGCCTGAATTTGTTGTCGTACCCCACTCCCCGGCTTATGTACCCTCCCGCCTCGGTGCCTCGTTTTATTAGTTGCACCTTTTTCTACGGGGGAAATCGGGAGGGTGCGGTTGCATTGACAATGGAAGTTGACAACCATCAGCCAATCCCAAGCAGAAGTGGAACAATCCATGTGAGGAGTGAGGAGATTTGTCTACATTGTGTAGGTTAATCAAGTCTCCAGCGTGGCAAGTCATACTCAGGCGCTCTTATCACATTCAGATGTAAGCATAAAGATGTAATCTCGGCTGTACTTTACTTGAAAATTCAGCAAAACATACCAGTAACTTTTTGCATATATCAGTTTACCACTTCTAACTAAAGCCTAGTTTGAATGTAACTCGTCAGATAAATCCCCTTTTGGTATTACATTATTACAATTGTGATCAGGGACTTGTCAAAGAGCAACCCTCACAACAATCCCCTTGGAAGCAGCTTTGGGTCTCGGTTACCCACCCCGTAAGGGAACAGTATCACAACTAACTGTGTCCATTATTCAATCGACTTAGTAGGGTCCACCACCTCAAACGGCTCTTTAAGGTAGGCGAAAGCAATAGTATCAAAGTCGTTAAAAGCGCCAGCAGCAGTCAAATCGACCCACTGGTTAGCGTAAATGTCCAGCTTATCCTTAGGTGCGGCAAGGCGGATGTCGTCGACGCTCAAGTCAGTGATTGTTTCAGGCTCGCCGATATCGGCTTCGACAAGCGTGAGCCCACCACTGGCGTTAATCGCGTCTACCAACGTACGCTTGAGGGCCTTCTCCTTGGTAACATCGCTGGTATTGACGGGGAGGACGTAGGCGGCCGTGCCCCGCTTGAAGCTGATCACTGTTATCTTGGGCACCGCCATCGAGAGAAGGCCTTTACAACAGCAGCAATACGATTATATGGGTGTGCGGCGCGCGCCCTGATAAACGCTACAGTGAGGGGACTTTTGGCAACAGGTGATGGCCACGCGTCTGCTCTATCGAGCGTTACGACGGCGATTGGCCCTAGTGGATCCTCACTATGTGAAAGCAATTGATATCCCTGAAGAAAAGCTTAAAATGGAAGCTGACCCCGAACGATACACTAAGTATCTCCGCGCTGAGCTCGGCTACCTAATCCGTCAAGCATTTGAACGTCCTCTGAATGATCGCCATCATCCCCGATGGGTAGCTCAGTTTGAGCGTGGAGCACGTTTGGTTGACCAGTTTGCCGATGCCAATTATGTCGTCCAACAGGTATTGGATCAACGCCACGAGGACTGGCTCCACCAACAATGGCACTACGATAACATTAAGCATGAAGAAGCTCAGCCTAAAGACACACACCGTCCTAGTCTACATGAGAAACGTCAGCAAAATACTGACCATCTACTACGGCGGTGGTTCAAACATGAACAACAAAACGGTGGTCTTCCCATTCCACAAAAGCTCTCCTACGTCGAAAGAATTGCTGATACTACCCTTAACCCGTTTGGGGCGATACCTGAGTCTACAAAGGCCAACTTGATTAATCAAGCCTACGACTCTGATTACGTGGAAGGTATCATCAAACCCAGTCTTGCCTACGACATCAATCGCAATCATTACCTTCGTCATCTCGATGATATCGTCAACCATCGAGGACCATTCAAACCAAGGATTCTGACGACATCTGCTGGTCCCAATGCTGCTCCATATATACGCATGCCCTACCGCCAAGACGAGAGTATGGGAAAGCTAGCCGTGACAATCAAACGCTGGCTTACCGCTACGAGAATTAATGCCATTTGGCAACTGAAGCAGCCGTTGACTAATGAAAACCAACAGAAAAACGGAGGCTATGCCATAAGGACTAGAGGCAACCATGATGATGTCATCTATCCTCGAGCTTATTATGAACAATGGGCCTCTGATGAAGCTCAATGGGAAGCTCTAATCGAGGGGCGAGATTTTGATACCGTTCTCAAAGAGTGGATTGGACCTTTGGACACTACCCTGAAGCATCTACAAGATCGGGTACAGCACTTTAAATCTGAGATTGGCGATGTCAAGGCTTATGAGCCTTTGCGTCAGCAATTGGAAGAAGGTCTGAATCAGCACTATGACGACTTAGCCAACGTCTACGAACGGATTTCGCAACAACTTCGATCGAATCCTCATACTTTCAAACACGGCGAAATCGTCAATAGTGATCGGAACCCCGATGGAAGTGGCAAACAGTTGGGTGATTACCTAAAATCATACAAGCATTTCCAGTGGGGTGACGAATTCTACGATCGATTCACCCGGCCTTCGACTACACGTGACCATGTGACCCCCACCGAGCAGGGCGCGCAACCAGCAAGCCCCCCAAATCTGTGACCCGTCCGCACCAAAAGTTCATCAATTGTAAGGTACGACGAGATGGTTGTGTGCCCCTGAGGTTGTTTCGGTTCACCCGCGACCAAGACGCGTCGTAACTCAAACGCAACGGTTCGAACACAAACCCTGTTTGTTCAATCAAACCTAGACTCATCACATAGACCGGGATTGTATATAGAAATCCTATGAATCTGGCGCTTTCCTCGATGTTCTGTGTGCACCTTTGGCACCTTCCTCATTTGGCTTGTCTCTCAGCGTATGCACTCCTGCATGATGGTAGGCTTCTATCGAAATCTATGGCGGCTCCTTTTAAATACCCATCCTCTGCTCGTTGAATCCTTGCCGTTACGTCACTAAATGGACTACTACAGCGTACTCGGAGTCTCCGCCCAGGCTTCTACCGAGGAGATCACCAAACACTTCAAACGACTAGCCCTCAAGTACCATCCCGACAAAACCAATCATGACCCGTTGCTTACGGAGAAGTTTAAAGAGTTGAATCGGGCATACGAAGTGCTTAAGGACAATCGTCTACGACAGATTTACGACACCAAAGGCGAAGAGGGCGTCCGCCAGGAGGAAGCACCCCCACCCAATCATCACTTCACTCAGGGAGCTCTGGCGTTCTCTGCTTTTACCCAAGGAAGTGCCCAAAATATATTCACACAAATCTTTTCGGATTTGAACCTGATTTTCGAACAATCACAAATCCCCACATACGATTTTGGTGACATGAAACGACATGTGGAACCATTGGTGCTGGATATGCCTCGGCAATACGAACAGGGCAAAGACATCCATCATACTTGTCAAGTTGAACTTGGCGATCTATTCTACGGGAAGCAAATCAAATTGTCACTTCCTAAACGGCTGAAATGTGCCAGCTGTGATGGTCTTGGTGGTGTCAGCCCCAAAACTTGTCGTGGGTGCCAAGGACTGGGTAAAGTGATTATTTCCCATTTCAATGAGTTCTCCCAAATGAAGCAAGTAGGCCTGTGTCGTGCTTGTCATGGGCGGGGATTTTACAATCCGCCAGCTCAAGCTTGTGATGATTGCAAGGGGGCTGGATACATTAAGGAGAACAAGGTTCTCAAAGTCAATTTGCTCCCCGGTTCACGCAATGGGGACAAAATTTACTTACGCGGGGAAGGTGACGAAGGTCCATTTCTTATCCCGGGTGATGTAATTATTCATATTTGTGAACGTCCACACAAATTCCTTGTGCGGCGTAATAATGATCTATTCATGGAAAAAGAAATCGATTTATCCACCGCCCTTTTAGGTGGATCGATTTACATTGATGATTTTGTTGTCGATGGCCAAGCGCTTCATATCGATATTGAACGCGAGCAATGCCCTCTCCAAAGCGGCGAGCCGAAATTGATCAAAGGCTACGGTATGCCGATCAATCAAGCCACTAAGGGCGGTCAAATCGAGCAAACATTGGAGGACGTCGACTTCTTCAAGGATGTGGCGTTCGACATGTCCAAGTACTCTCGGGGTAACTTGTACATCAACTTCACGGTGAAAATGCCGGATCTCAATCTGATTTCCGAAACAGACGCCACCGTGTTATCCCTGCTTTTGGGATCACGCATACAAACGCCAGACCACGGCCAGATCATTGGCACTGGCGCATTGACGAACTTAGACAATCACAAGCGTCGACGTTTGTAGTAATGATTATGATGACTAACGTTTAACCGCTTTCTTCTTGTAGTTTGAACTCAATTTCCTAGACCCGTATATCTTGATAGTCTCTGACAGCGATAAAAAGCATCTCTACTCAACTTTCTAGAGATTCGTAATTTCTGGACTATTATCACCGTCGCACACTTGTCTATTTTGATTTAGATCAAATACCCGCACGCATACAACATGGGGGACGGCCGGGTGTTGGATCCTGCTATCATCAAGGATCTCAGCAACCACATCTATGAGAAGCGCAAAGCCACTGCGTTTCAGATTGAGCTGTTCACCAAGTCGGCATTATCCCGCAATGAGTCCCAGACCATTTACAAGATCATTGACGAGCTTAGTGAGCTCACCAACCTGGGAACAAACCTGGCCAAGATGGGAGCGATAACTGCTCTAGGCAGTGTGCTGGTGGCATTGGGTAGCATTGCGATTGCCTACTTCTTGGACAAGATCATCAAGCCGATCTTTGCCACGTTTAAAGATACTGATGCCCGTGTACGCTACTACGCCTGCGAATCCTTGTACAATATCGCCAAAATCGCTCGAGGAGAAATCCTTGTCTACTTTAATGAGGTGTTTGACATTCTTCTGATATTGGTAACCGACTCAGAACTGCTGGTAAAGAACGCCGCTGACATTTTGGACCGACTCATTAAGGATATCGTCAGTGCCAAGGCTACCAATTATGTGCTGATTATATACCAAAAAGAGCCAGTGACGGAGATTACAAGCCACTTGGTTGACGCCAATGGGGTAGCTATTCAGGTCAATCACCCTCAAGATGCTAAAAAGGCATTTTCCTTGCCCAAGTTTATCCCCACACTTTTGGAACGCATGTACGTATTGGATCCCTATTGCAAGAAGTTCATGTTGCTGTGGCTCGAGTTGTTAGACGATATCCCTACACTCGAACTCATTTCGTTTCTCCCGACGTTTTTGGAACCACTCATCAAATTCTTGATGAACAACGCCCCCGATGATGTTCGAATGGACACTGAAAACATGCTCAATCAGTTTTTAGTTGAAATGCAAGGAATTGCTCGGGTACGTCATGAAAAACGAAGAAAGCAACGCGATACCCTTAGGTTGAAGGAAAAGGGAGAGAAACCGGAAAATGACAAGGATGGCAGTACAGAACATGAAGTTGACAATGAGGCAGAAACTGTAACTGAGAAACAAGCGGAGAAGGAGAAACTGACTGACAATGATAAGTTGGAAATTGGTAAGGCCAAAGCTAACGACAAAACAAAGACCACCGATAAAGACAAAGAGTCAACAAAAGAACAACACAATGATCCCAACAAGTCATTTGATCTGGCAATCCTGAACTTAACCACCGTCATTCATACGCTGGAAGCCAAACCGGATCATATTGAAGAACCTGATGACAACGAGAGTCATGTCGATGGTGTGGAGGATGATGAAAACGATGAAGAAAATGACGAATTTGTAACAGGGCAAGACATCTATTTGGATTATCCCAAAATGATTGAAATTTTATTGACGTTCTTGCGCCACTCACCTTCGATGAAATTGGCGCCCGTTGATCTTCTGGGAGAGCCTCATGACATTGTTGTAACTATCCAGGAGATAAGTTTGACATGGCTTGAACAAATCCTCAACATTAGTCCACTGGGATTCGTGAATTTGTTACCTCAGTGTCTCACTATTATTATCAGGAATATCGCCACAACTGAACAAGAAAAGGATTTCGATCTTCGAAACCTATTCCTTGGCTTTTCTTCAGCTCTTCAACAATTTCTTGTTTCACTCAAGGAATGCAACGACGAATCACAACTCCAAGGACTCACCCCTGAGCTTTATGATGACTTTGTTGAGTCTCAACTTCCACAATTGATCAAAACCATAACCGACAATTACACCGCCACCAAAAACGATTTTGGAAAAATTACTTGCTTAGAATGGCTTGAGTTTTTATATGCTCAAAATCCAAAGGAGTACATGACTGTGTTATCGGACCGACCCTTCAAGCTTGGGGATCTTTTGAGATCACTGAGTAATGATGTGGCTAGTAAGCTGCTTGAATTGTTCGCAGTCATAAGTGAAGATAATGATCTGATGTTCAACCAGCAAATCGAGGATCTTTTGCATTTCTTCCACACCCAATATCAGACCAACAAACCTCGAATTGAACTTGTCGTACGCAAATTGTGTACTTGCCTTCCCCTGCAACGCGTCTATCTGCTGATTGCTGGAAACTTGAACACTTGGGAGGATCTTGATTTTGTTAATGCTATGGTTTCCACGCTTAACACTATCTTATTGACCCTGAATGAGCTTGGTGACTTGCGCAAACGGCTCAGAGCCTTGGATGTGTACAAGATGGACGACTGGCAAATATTTGCCACCTTATTCCAAAGCTGGTGCCATCTGGCGACACTGGCACTTTCATTATGTTTGCTCACATCGAACTACGAATTGGCTTACCTTATTATAAAAAATATCAGTGAACAAGAAGTGAGTTACCAGTTGTTGATGCATTTGGACATTTTGGTACAGCTTATCGAACTGCCTATATTCCTCAAGCTCCGTATGCAATTGTTGGAGCCAGAGAAGCAGCCATATCTCTACAAGACGTTGTATGGACTTTTGATGATTTTACCTCAGCTGCTGACATACTCTACTCTCCAAAACCGTCTCACCCTGGTGGCCACGTTATTGTCGCTGACAGCGGCTACTGCTACTCCCACACCCGCTGCCACTACCCCGCTGGCATTACCGCAGCTGACACCACTGCTGTTGCTGATTCGCAAAAAGCGGATCTATGAGATGCTTGACAAGTTCATCAAAGTTCAGGAACAACATGAACATGCCGACGCCGTCAAAAAGGAGAAAGAGGACAAGGACAAGAAGCAGAAAGGGGCTGTGCCTCGTCGTGAACCTTAGTCAATAACTAATAAAAAATCACGTTGAAAATAGTCTAGTAGATCAGGCTTTTCCTTATTTTACTCGTGTGGAGGGGTAATCTTTCCAACCAGGTTACGGTTGCTCCCCCACTATTGATGCACATTGCGGGACCTAGACTTCACCATGGTGGACGTTTACCACTAACCTTTGCACCATGACAAATGGATGTCGCCATATGTATCGTCAATTTCCAAGCATCAACTTTTGTAGGCGGAGTTTTGGTCAGAAATTGAAATTCGCCGAGAAAAAGCCGATTTCGCCCAAACCATTTGGACAAAAGTACCTTTATACGACGGTCAGATGAGAACTTTCATTCGACCGTAAGTTTGAAGAACCTTTTTTTTTTTTTTTTTTTTTCCACAATGACTTTGAAGTTATGTCGNTTTTCGTTTTTTTTTTTTTGTGTACGGCACGCGTAATCGGGGCAGTACCTGGTTACGATCACGGGTCGATTTGCTATATATAACTCGCAATTTTATAATGTCTTGGGAGCGCCAGTTTTTTATCCAAGAAATACCAAGCTGGCTCTGTAAAACCCATAACAACACGGTGTCCATTTTTCATCAACGTCCCGACCATACGTCGACACATTCCGATACCCGATATCTCAATTTGGTGTGAGCGGCGCGCGTCGCGTATTGTGATGTTTAAGTGCTGGCTTTAATAGGCGATCCCTCGGAGAGGCCTAAATTACGTACATCGCTCGCGAGGGGGGACCCAGCACCGCCACTACTAGTCTAAGCCCCTCTCCTCCCTTGCTTGAGGAACCCCTGTAACATAAACAACACCTGCGAGGCTGCCGCTTTGCTACATTCGCCGTGTTTGCCTCAGCCTTGTGATTCGCCATCTCCTGTCACTTGGCATTGCCCAGCACGGGCTGTGGTCGGTGCGCATTTTTCTTTTTTCGTTAAGCCCCCACACAAAAACACGGATCTCTGGCATTTACCACCACCCCCCATAGCCAACGATCACGATGTTGTTTCTCAGACTATGGCTCGCCCTCTGGGTGTGCATGCTCCTGGGGGTCGACGCCACCAAAGTGATCAAGTCGCAGTCGCTTTTGACGTGTATGGACAACTCCCAGTTCACCGCGACCAAGTTCGATGTCGTCCTTTACCCCGAGAACAGTACGGTCTACTTCGACATCTCCGCTCTTTCAACCATCCCCGACGACACTTTTGTTGTTGCTAACATTACCCTCGTTACCTATGGGCTCATCCCGCTTAAGCAGCTGTTTGACTTCTGTTCGTTGAACTACCCGCTGATCTGTCCCTTCCAGCCGGGGCATTTGGATATTCAACTGTCGTATACGCTTGACAAGAAGATTATGGACATGATTCCCGGTATTGCTTACACTATCCCTGATTTGGACGCTCGTGTGAGAGTGGTTATCCACTCCAACAGTCTGACTGAACCTTTGGCGTGTGTCGAAGCTGTATTGTCAAACGACAAGACCGTTCAAACCAAATATGCCCTGTGGCCTATCGCTGCCATCTCTGGGCTTGGGGTTATTGCCCTGGGTGTGGTCCTGGTGATCGGCCACTCGAACACTGCCGCTCACATCGCGCTGAACTCGATGTCGCTTTTCATTTACTTCCAGTCTTTGGCGATCATCTCGATGCAGGCCGTGGCTAAAGTGCCCCCTATTGCCGCTGCGTGGTCTCAAAACTTCCAGTGGTCATTGGGGATCATTAAGGTTGGCTTCGTCCAAGCAGTGGCCAACTGGTACATTCAAGCTACTGGTGGTACTCCTACTTCGGTGATCGATCAAAGAAGATTGTCAGTACTGGTACAAAAGAAGCGTGGTTTGGGATACCTTGAGCAGTTGCACGATCTTTATCGCCGCCAGTTGCAAAATGATCACCTTACGTTGTTCAAGCGGTTTTCCCTCAGTGTCGACACTGATGCTAGCTCGTTCGACAATACCGACCTGGACTTGTACACTACTCTGGAGAAGGACGCTAACTTGGCGCTGAAGATCTTGGTGCTTCGTGGCATTCAACGTGTCGCCTATCTTGCAGGTATTGAAATTACATCATTCTTCATGACTCTGATCATGTTCTTGTTGTTTTTTGCTTTTGTTTTGGTGGTGTGTCTTATGTTCTTCAAAGCGATTGTGGAAATTTGCGTGCGCGCTAAATGGATGAATGAAGGCAAGTTCAGTGAGTACCGTCAACAATGGGGTCACATTATCAAAGGGTCGTTGTATCGTCTTTGCTTTATTTCGTTGCCACAAATCACGGTGATGTGTATTTGGCAATTCTTCGAACGTGATTCAGCTGGTACAGTGGTGCTTTCAGCATTCCTTTTGGGTATCTGGATCATTCTTTTGGTTCAGGCTGCTGGTAGAGTGGTAATGATGGGGCGTCAATCCGTTCGCGAGTTCAAAAACCCCGCCTACCTCCTTTTTGGTGACGGCAAGTTCCTCAACAAGTTTGGATTCATTTACGTGCAATACCGTGCCGACAAGTACTGGTGGATCGCGATCTCACTTATTTACATCGTGTTGAAGTCTTTGTTTGTGGCTGTGTTGCAGAACCAAGGTAAACCGCAGGCGCTTATTGTGTTCATCATTGAGTTGATCTATTGCGTGGCAGTGTGCGTTTTCCGTCCCTTCATGGATAAGCGTACCAACGCATTCAACATCACTATTGCCATCATCAACACCATCAACGCGCTTTTCTTCGCGTTCTTCTCCAACATTTTTACCCAACCAGCTGTGGTACTGTCGGTTATGGCCATCGTATACTTTGTGCTCAATGCCGTGTTTGCCTTGTTCCTTTTGTTGTTCACGATCATCACCTGCTTATTGGCACTCATCTACAAGAACCCCGACACTCGTTACCAACCGATGAAGGACGATCGGGTATCGTTCTTGCCTCGGTTCACGGGGAAGAGTGCTCAACATCAAAACGACAAGGAAGAATACGAATTGTTCCAGTTGGGCCAAACCGCGATGAAGGGTCACGAACATGGCAAGGGTGGTGCTTACGAGGACCTGGTGTACGAAGCCGAGTCATACTACCCCGAATCCAGCAAACAAGGCCTGGGTCAAGGTAAGGTGACGTTCACTGATGAAGTGCACCTGATAAATAATCGCGATCTGTACTATATGGAGCCGATTGAGCCCGTTCAACCGACTCTGACAATTGGTGGTACTGCCCTGAGTTTTGGTGGTAGCACCAGTTACGGCGGTAGCCAATACGGCGGTAGCCAGTACGGCGGGTCTCGCCTGGCATACACTACACCGGCCTACGAGTCGCCAGCCCCGCCACAACACGGGTTCCCCTCAACAGGCCAGAACCTGGGTCAAGGTGGCTCAAGCAATGGGCCTTCGGCGTATTCACGCCAAACCGGGTACACCCCACGCTATTAACGGATTTGGTATGGAAATAAATGGTTTTTTTTAGATTATTCTAACTTTTTTTTTATTCACCCACATAATGCTCTAGCGGGTGTGTGTGTCGTATGGAAATTAGTATATTAGGTCCGTTACAATCCCGTGTTATCCAAGAAGAAGTAGTTGCCCGACGCCTTCTGTTCCTTGTCCATTTGCGAGTCCAACTTGTTAATTCTGGGACGGAACGAGTTGGGGTCTCTTCTAAAAGTAACATTCAAGTTCTTCAAGAACTTGTTGCAACCAGTCAAAAGCGATTCAGGAGTGCCAGCAGTGGCATCCTTCGAGGGGATACCTTCGTAGACGATCACACGGTCGGCCAAGTAGGTAGCCATGATGAAATCGTGCTCGACAACAAACGCAGTCTTCTTAGCATGCAAAATGAATCTCCGGATAACCTTCGAACAGACAATACGTTGTTCCGAATCCAAGTAAGCCGAGGGCTCATCAATAAGGTATAAGTCAGCGGGGACACCCAACGACAACACAATAGCAACTCTTTGCAATTCACCACCCGACAAGGTTTGCACTTCTTGGTCGATGATGTCATCGATCTTAAGAGGCTTCACCACATCGGTTTGGAATTGAGGGTGCAAGAACGAAGCTCTAATCTTCTTGAAGAACAATTGTCTCACGGTACCAGTGAACTTGGGAGCAATCTTTTGCGGCTTCATCGACACATTAAGACGAGGCATTTCAGTACCAGCGTCGGGGGCAATGGCACCGGCCAACAACTTACAGAAAGTGGTCTTACCGGTACCGTTTTCACCCATCATCACCAAGATTTCGGAAGTGGTGAAGTCACCAGGCATGACCTTCAAGTGGAAATCACCTTGGGTCTTGTGGAGTTCGGGGTACTGGTAGGCATTCAGCTTGTCTAAGATGAGACCATCGGCGGCATCGGCCAATCTGAATTGAAGCAGTTCTTCTCTGAAACGCATGTTTTCAGTAGGAATGTGACCATCGAGGAAAATGTTGATACCTTCTCTCACCGAGGAAGGAAGCGAGACCACACCGTACACCGAAGGCACACCATAAAGAATACAGACAAAGTCCGACAAGTAATCAAGAACCGACAAATCGTGCTCGACACAGATGATGTAGTTAGTCGACGACAATAACGATCTGATGAGTTCGGCAGCTCTCAAACGTTGCTTGACATCCAAGTACGACGAAGGCTCGTCAAACATGTAAACGTTGGCTTGTTGGACACAGGTCATAGCGAGGGCAAATCTCTGCAATTCACCACCAGACAAGTTGGCAACGTCACGGTCAATGACACCCTTCAACTCAAGGACCTTGATGATGTAATCGAAGTCTTCAGGACGACCGTTCTTAGCTCTCAAGATTTCACCCACAGTCTTCAAAGGAGACTTCGCCAATGCTCTGGGGATGTTGTCGACGTATTGAGGCTTGATGATGGCCTTGATGTCATCTTCCAACACCTTGGTGAAAAAGTTTTGCAATTCCGAACCTCTGAAGTATCTCAAGATTTCTTCCCAGTCAGGAGGGTCATCATATCTCCCGAGGTTGGGCTTCTGCTTACCAGCAAGAATCTTAAGTGCCGTCAGCTTACCAATACCGTTGGTACCGACCAAACCCAACACTTGACCGGGTCTAGGGGTGGGCAAACGGTGCAATTTAAACGAGTTGGCCGAGTAACGGTGGGTGGTTTCAGTTTCCAAGTTAGAGGGCAAGTTGATGATAGTGATAGCGTCAAAAGGACACTTCTTGACACAAATACCACAACCAATACAAAGGGTTTCAGAAATGAAGGCGATCTTGCTCTTTTTGGTCACTTCGATACAGAGCTTACCCACCCGCACCACGGGACACAGCTTGTAACATTCAAGCGCACACTTGTTGGGCTTGCATCTGTCGGGACTGACAATGGCAATTCTGGAGGGCCCGCTTTGCGATTCCCGCTCCTTGTCCTTTCTCGGGTCCTTCTTAGCCATCTTAGATTGCAGTCGATGGGATGAGGGCTTGATGAGGTGTCGATGAAAAATCTGTGCGCGTACTGCAGGTGGGGAGGACAAATTCACAAAGTATTAGATTAAGTTTCAAGAGAACTGGATCGAAGTAACCAGAAACGATTAAGAAATATTGCTAGAAACTCATAGTGTTATTTATATGTGATTTGGGCGAGTGCTGAATAATGACTTTAACGTGATTGGATATAACGCATCAAAAGCATCTTGCTCGCGCCACGAAAAACTGGTGGGGAATAGGAAGTTTTAGCGAGAAGATGGTGTAAGCTTTCTATAAAATTGATGAATTTAATTTTGTAGGTTTACTCAGGCCAACGTAGATTACCATTGCAAATAGACCTTCTATACGTCTTCGATTAGAATACTTTTGGACATACCCGTCAGGTCATGACCTTTCTAGATATACGTGTTACGAGGCGCAAGAATAACAAACGATGTCTTATTTGCGGTCTCTGCATCGAATGTAACGTGTCAGTAAATACGTTCAGAACGCAAAGTATTTTACTAAAGAGAGTCACACGACCATGTTGGGGGAAGTGTTGACAGGATTATAAGTTGGCTTATGGTACATGTGACACTGAGGCCCCGTGGCGTTGTTTCTTCAAATGAACGTCCTGCAGACAAGGTAATCTCGAGAATTTGCCCTCGTCCGCAAAAAAAATTTGCTCTCCTCGGCACACTCCCCATATAACATGGTTAACACGTTAGTGCTAGCTTGAGGACTTTTGATCATGACAAAAACTGTTATTTTTACAATCGCAGTGTTGTAAAAAGGTTTGCATTGACCATTGCATCGAGTTATCCGCTGCTACTGGTGAACTATAAAACACGTTGTTGTGTTGATGCTTTGATGGGCATGTTGTGTGGTCGCTTTCAAGAATGACATCTTTTCCAATCCAAAGCTTTTAGTGGCTTTAACCACTTGACCTTGACTGATTTTGGAAGCTTCTTTGTGATCTCTTTTGGCTGTTGCTTATTGAGCTGAGTCGGTTTTACTAGGGGGCCACAGCCAGTGGTTCTTGATGTAAATCTTCAGTTTTTGCATCATGTATGGGTTTACGAACGGGCTTCCGAATCTCGGGGCTACTATGGTAGTCATTGCCGGCATCAATATGAGCTTCAAAGAACGCTGATATACGACATTTAGGTTCACCTAAATCTTGTCAATGTTATTCCGGTGTTGAACGAAACGTCAGAATAAGTCGAACAGGTCTCTCAGCGTGTGTGAACAGATGCTCCTGTGTTTTTTCCAATGGTGGAGTGCCAGTTGGTTCTCAACCAGTGGAAGGCTACGGGGCGCGAAATCACAGAGACAAAAGCTGGATATGTGTACTCAACTGGCTTCAGCGAGTGAGTCCTTGCCTTATACACGCTGGCACTATAACCAGCAACCGGCTCGAGAGGATTTTTCACAACAATCTTGAAGGCTTTGGAGTCTTCAATGTCGTACCGGAATGACATCTACTAATATGATACAGTTTTTGCCTCAGACATTCAACAGATACACTACTACATCACACCACCCCAGATAACTACTATACAACCCCATTGGGATACAATACAAGTTACTCAACATCATCAAAAAGTTGACCTATGCGAATAATCGCTGGTCTCTCGTACGTACAACTGCCAATAAACAATCCTTTACCACCCCAACCCTTCGTAGTCCTCCCCAACAACCGTCCTGCACCGTTGGCAAAAGTTTTTCCTCAGCACATTCACGTCTCTTCACCATGAAGCTCGACCTCCCCGAAGACGTCGAGGCGAACCCTGAGCTCTATGGGCTTCGGCGGAGTGGGAGAGAACGCCGGCAGGCGGCTCCCAACACGCTGATGACGTTTTCCGACGACGATGACGACGCGGACGACGATGAGTTGCCCACGCGTAAACGTCGGAAAAGAGTCGAGCTCGATTACCTGGAGGAGGAGCTGTTCAATGAAGAATCAGATGAAGATGATGGCATGGCGGTCGACGATGAGCCCGAGGATCTGGAGAATGACGACGACGATTTTTATGTGGGGAAAAAGCCGAAGCGGGCACGCGTCAAGCGGTCGACGCCGCGGGCTAAATCTAAGCTGACAACTCCGGCTATCCCAGCCGAGATCCGGTTTCTGAGCCGTAACAATAACAAACTGGTGCTGTACCTTGATGAGTATGATGACGAAGATTTGCAAGCCCTGGAGGAAGACGAAGTCACTTACACATATGAGTACCCCGATGAGGACGAGCGCAAAATAGAACAAGTCTTAGACCACAAGCCGCATCCTGACCATACCGAAGAAACTGGTGACCCTAAGGTTGACTACCTCTTCAAGATTAAGTGGCTGGATGCCCTGCATTTACATAACACTTGGGAGCAATATTCTACGTTGAAAGAATATAAAGGGTGGCGTCGTGTTGACAACTATATCAAGCAATACATCGTGCTTGATCGGGAAATCCGTGAAGACCCCAGCACTACCAAGGAAGATCTCGAGACCATGAACTTGGAGAGAGAACGGGTACGTGATGAGCAGGAGGAATACACTAAAGTCGAGCGCATCGTTGACTCTAAGCGTGACGAACTGGGTCTCCAATACTTGTGCAAATGGAAACGTCTTTACTACGACGAATGTCTGTGGGAGGACGCCGAGGAAATTGCCAACTTGGCTCCCGAGGAAGTCGCTCAATTCCAACTGAGGCTCCGGCTGAAAGTGTTGCCGGCTAACCTGAGCAATTACGCGAAAGACCGGCCTCAATTCGAGAAGCTTACCAAGCAACCACTGCAAATCAAGAATGGTGAACTCAAGGATTTTCAACTCACTGGTCTCAACTGGATGGCGTTCTTGTGGCTGCGTAATGAAAATGGGATTTTAGCCGATGAAATGGGGTTGGGTAAGACCGTGCAAACAGTTGCGTTTTTGCTGTGGCTTATTTATCTTCGTCGTCAATTCGGACCTCACCTTGTTGTGGTGCCATTGTCAACTATTAATGCCTGGCAAGAAACTTTCGAGAAGTGGTCTCCTGACGTCAATGTCATTTACTACTTGGGTAACACCGAAGCTCGTCAAACGATTCGTGACTACGAATGGTACGTCAACGGTACCAAAAAGCCCAAGTTTAATGTGTTGTTAACGACTTACGAGTACATCTTGAAGGACAGAGCGGAGTTGGGTCTGATAAAGTGGCAGTTTTTGGCAGTTGATGAAGCTCATCGGTTGAAGAACGCCGAACTGTCGTTGTATGAGGCTTTGTCGCTGTTCAAGGTGGCTAATCGCTTGCTCATCACTGGTACGCCTTTGCAAAACAACATCAAGGAATTGGTGGCTCTTTGTGACTTCTTGATGCCCGGGAAGATTTTCGACCGCCATATGGCCGAAGAGATCGATTTTGAGACCACACCCAATGATGAGCAGGAACGTTTGATCAAGGGGATCCAAGACAAGATCAAGCCTTTCATCTTGAGACGTCTTAAGAAGGATGTCGAAAAGCTGTTGCCGCTGAAGCTGGAAAAGATTTTGCGTGTCGAGTTGCTGGATGTTCAAACAGAATACTACAAGAACATCATCACCAAGAACTATGGTGCCCTTCTGGCTACCGGTCAGCTGCAGGTATCGTTGCTTAACGTCATGGCCGAACTCAAGAAAGCTCTGAACCACCCTTACTTATTTGATGGGGCCGAAAACCACGTGTTGACTCGACAAGGTATCAACACTGCTCAAGTGTCACGGGAAAACGTTCTTAAAGGTTTGATCATGTCACTGGGGAAGATGGTGTTACTCGAACAGTTGTTGACCCGACTCAAGAAGGAAGGCCACCGTGTACTTATTTTCTCGCAGCTGGTGAGAATGTTGGACATTTTGGGTGATTACTTGCAAATCAAGGGTTACCACTTCCAGCGTCTCGATGGGCTGATTCCGCTGGCGCAACGGAGAATCTCCATTGACCACTTTAATGCGCCTGACTCGAAGGACTTTGTATTTTTGTTGTCGACACGTGCTGGTGGTTTAGGTATCAATTTGATGACCGCTGACACCGTCATTATCTTTGATTCCGACTGGAACCCCCAAGCTGATTTGCAGGCAATGGCTAGAGCTCACCGTATTGGGCAAAAGAAGCACGTGAGTGTGTACCGTTTTGTTTCCAAGGACACCGTTGAAGAACAGATTCTTGAACGGGCCCGCAAAAAGATGATTTTGGAGTACGCGATTATCTCTTTGGGTATCCAAGATCCTAAGCTCAAGACTGCGGCCGATCCACTGACCGGTGAATTGCTGAACATTCTTAAGTTCGGTGCTAACACTATGTTTAGCGACAATTCCAACCAGAACAAGTTGGAGAATTTGAATTTGGATGATGTGCTTTCACGAGCCGAAGACCACGACACCACTCCCGATATTGCTGAAGCTGGTCGGAACCTTGGTTCGGAAGAGTTCCTCAAGCAATTCGAAGTTACTGACTACAAGGCTGATATTGATTGGGATGATATCATTCCTGCCGAAGAATTGGCCAAGCTCAAGGAAGATGAGAAGGCCAAGGCGGATGAAATTTACTTGAAGGAACAAATTGCCATGTACTCTAAACGACGGGCGGCCACCAAGGCTCCTTCATTCGACACGGATGACGACATTGAGGATACCAAACCCAAGCGTTCGCAAAAGGCTATCAACCATCAACTCACCGAGAAAGATGTCAGAGCAATCTACAAAGCCATTTTACGTGTTGGCGATCTCACAGGCAAGTGGGAGCTGCTCATTGAGGAAGGTGCCATTCCGGCGAAAAACCCCGTGCTCATCAAACTGGCGTACCAAGAGCTCTGTGACATGGCCCGTAAGCTTGTGCACGAGGAAAAAGTGCGGAGGGCAAAGGCATTCGAGGAGTTGGCTCAACAACAACTGCTGGCAGAAAACCCTACTCTGCTCTGGCAGGCAAAGAAGAAGGAGAAGAAGGCGGTTTTGTTTGAGTTCCAAGGTGTCAAGAATTTGAATGCCGAAATCATCCTTAATCGTCCCGGTGACATGAAAGTGTTACTGCAAATGGTTAAGAAAGCGGAAAAGCCTACCGAGTTTAGACTTCCTCGTGCTCCGAAGGGTGTGCAGGCTTGGCTGTGTGAATGGGATGCTACCGACGATGCCATGCTTCTTGCCGGGGTATACAAATGGGGTTATGGCCAATGGGCTCAGATTCGGGATGACCCCGTGTTGGGGCTTCAACGCAAGCTTTTCTTAGAAAACGAAACCTACGAAAAGGTGGAGAAGAACAAGGAAGGTGTTGAAGAAACCAAACAAGAAAGAAAGGTACCTCTGAGTGTGCACCTTAACAGGAGAGTTGATTATTTATTCACGCTTTTGAAGGGAGACGACTCCGGGGCCCCGGCGACCAACGGAGCCCTGGCCAAGAAGCGGAAACGGGCGCCGGCGAAGTCGCTGTCACCCGCACCACCGCCGCCACCATCAGCTCGCGAGAAGCCTACTAAGCCTAAGGCCAAGCCGGCCCTGGCAGCTAAGCCTAAGGCGCCGAAGGCCGCCGCTAAAAAGCAGGCCAGCGAAGACTTGGAGTACGAGCTGATGGACGAAGCCGAATGCAAGGCCACCCTCAAGCCGGTACTGAAGAGTTTGATGAAATTGCATCGCGGCAATGTCGGGTACGATAAGGCCGAGTGGGCCAAGGTGTTGAAGGAAGAGCTCCTCAAGATCGGACGATTCATCGAGGTCCACACCAATAAGACGCCTGCCCCTGAACGGGAGAAGTTGCTTAACCATCTTTGGAGTTACGCCGGCCTCTATTGGCCAGCGCTGGTGCCATCGAAAAAGATCCACGACATGTACGACCGGCTCAAAATCGCCAAGGGCCAATAATCTTGTGATTTCACACTTGTATAACTGTAACCAGACAAACAGTAAACGTCATCATTCTGCACATTCCCCTTTTCCCATGGGGTTCTAGACTTACTTGACGCTGTGGCTCAAAGCGGCAAGGGCATGAGCCGATCGAACCATGCCTCATTCCCACAGGTGTGCCTCACATCATACGGCAATTTACGCCGATCTCACATCTCGCGAAACTTTTACTGGAGTTGTACTAGGCAACCGCTACATAGTACTCAATTTTTATCGAGCCTATTCCACTGCCGTAAACGGGATCGAGTATCGGTTAAAGATTGCTACACGTGCGTCTTTGTAAGTAATGGTTTTGGTTTACGGTTCAGCAATCCTCGGAAGTTACCGGCAGAGATTGGCTAACCAGTGCTTGAAAATGCTTAGGGGGAGGCACGACGCCCACTGCAATCCTTTTAGGCCCAGGCGCATGCAGAACCTCTACCTATTTCTCGGGCGCAATTTCCCGATTGCCCATGACTTAGTTCACGTGAGCGTTATCGCGACCAACGATTTTCTTCGGTGGATTTGTGGATGATTTACATATACGAGAACATCATCTTGGGGTGACACGGTGTAGATGCCGGCGGGGTAAGATATCAATCAGTCGCTTCTTCCCACGAGTCATTCACCACGTCTAGTGCGTGACGGGTTGCGGCTCGCAAATACCATCTACCAATGAAAACGCAGTGGCCCTACAGTCGCGGTTGCTAACCGTCTTTCCACAGGGTCCACTCCCGATGCATGCCGGTGGCATCTTGAATGTAAGGAGTGATAAAAATTTAAGGACACAACAGGAAATGTAGAACCACTAGTAGTGAGTAGCAAAAGTCCCCATTGCACAAGCTAAATTGCCGGTGCGTGACTACCTCCACCACAGTCAGCCCGCGATTGCTTTTGCTCTATCACTCAGCGGCGCATCTTCAAGATCTGGTAGATTTGCCCTGAGAGAAATGGTTTTGGAAAGGTTACGCGCGCAATGATGTCACGGCGATACCCACAAACGGCGATCACGCCCAACCGCCATGACCCCGAACAACAAGCATGTCGCCGGGCCCCCTGGGAAAATATAAAACGCTGGGTAAATTCTGGTTCTGTTTTCTCTAACTTCACTTTCCTTTCTCACCAAATATGTCAGATATCATGATAATACTTGTCATTGTCGCTGCCCTCGCCTTACGATGGTACCAGCTTGAATTCGGCTACGACCCATATTTCGGCTACGGGATGGGGTCTCGCTACCAACAACCATACGGGATCAAGCGAACGATGCGGAAACTACGTCCATCGAGCTGGGATTACCACAGCGACCGCTCCCTCATGCCCCCCTCCTGGAGAGACACGGCTACGGTGGTGCTGAAGAATCGCAACCCCTTTTCCAGACACGCCTACAAGACCGAAGTGTACCGGTACACTTAGTCCAACTATAGTTTGAAATAGTATGTACGTTAGAATCAGATACCCAATTCAGTCACTACTAATTGGTAATCTCGGAACGTGCCTGGCCACCGAGAGCGCGCCGCCCGTATGTGGAATTTAACATGTGCGGTGGATGTTTCATAGGTGCCATTACGTCTTACACATTCCTTCACCAAACTTCTACGAGAATGTTATAGGTACGAAAAAAATACACACGTTGTTGGCTCTGTTGCCACTGAGGGCAGGTTCTAATTGGGCTAAGGATACCGAAAACGTCACTTTAAGCAGTAACATACGTCACTTTGATGACGATACCGTAGCAACACCCACGCCAGAATGAGGTCATTGTCACACATCTCGCAACCATCACCGGACACACATTTGCTGGGCACACCCGGGTTTCTTTTAGTGAAGCCGCGCACGGGTCGATTCTCAACGATAACATTTCGTGTTTATTGCGCAGGTGCAATCTAGCCATCGATTCGCACTGCGAATGCGTTCAAGTGCCACTGGGTATGGAGCGCAGGAGTTCAGTCTCAGCACTGCTAGACGAGTCCCGGCGGCCGACCCCAATATATGATGTGTCGCTGGGCGACGAAGACGACAGCTTGGAGATCGTGGCCGAAGTGAGTACGCCCGCTTCAGACGATGTGGAGGAGATCAGACGAACTCGCCGGCCGCAAGGACTTCGCCGCCGCGTGCCCGCGGACCTGGGAGCTCGAGGCCTTCGTCGCCACCGGGTACTGAGAACAAGTACTACGTCCCAGAGACGTCCCAGTGACGCGGAGGTACAGATCATCGATGAGAGACCGCGGTTGACGCCACCACCTCCACCACAGTTCCCCCGACCGCCGGAACGGCTAGTCGACCTGGCGTCATTCAGAAGCTTCATCGAACGCTTAGGCGGTATCCACGTTGACCACGGATTCAATATGATGGCGATAATGCAAGGCAGAGGAATGTTGTTTGGTGGCGACGATAACGAGATCGAGGAACTGATCATGCGCCGGATCGAACGCGACAACGACCGAGCCGTCGATGAACGCTTTGAAAAGGAGAAAGTGTTCAATTTGAAAACAATCCAGCTGAAGCGAGAGGTTGCTGAACACGAGGATAAACAAAAGTATACCAACGATCTCTCACCAAATGACATTACAGTATGTGAGCTCTGCGGCGTTCGTCTTAGAGAGGGTATCCCCGATGGGTTCCGCACCGACCCTCGATATAACGCCAAGCTCGACGAGTACCAGACCGAGTACGGAGTGTTGGCTCCCTGGTTTTGCCTGATAACGCTTACCGAAACTGATTGTGAGCTTTCCAAACGAGTGTTCGCTGCCAAATGCGGCCACACCTATTGTGGGCGATGTGTCAAAAATATAGGCAACGCTCCCCGGGCCAAACGCCAAAAATTGAAAGACATGAGCCACCCGCAAGTGTATGCTCCGCTCAAATGTAGCTGTGGTGGCAGTTTGAAGCGCAAGTTCACCGAACTCTATCCCTAACCTATGCATTATTTAATGACTAATGAACCCTATTCATGAACGCTTAAGTAGAGCTCTCATTCATCCATTCCAAAGTGTACTTGATACCCTGTTCCAAGTCCACCGCAGGTTTGTAGCCCAAAAGGGTCTTAGCTTTGGTGATGTCGTGGTAACGATTAGCGCACACCACTTTCACTCGGAAGGGAGTAATACCCGGCTCCTTCCCAAGCATCTTAGAAACGGCTTCGGAAACGTAACCCAAACCGATCGCCACGGGGCGAGACAACTTGATATAGCTCTTGTCAACCACACCGTCTTGTTTCCACACCGTACGAGCAAGCGTCCAGAAGTAAGTCGGGGCATCGTTGGTAATAAAGAACGTCTCACCAGCAATCGCTTCGATTTCCTCAACGGTGCCATATAAAAGCTTTTGCGTGGCAAGCACATGGGCATCAGCCACATTGCCGACGTAAGTCCAATCAAACAAGTTGTTGTTGTCACCGAGCTGGTACTTAGATTGCCCGTTACGAGCGGTAGCCCGGAGACCAGGCACAAGCTGACGGTCACCGGGACCAAAGATCCCCGCGGGACGCAAACACACGGTTCTGAAACCGGGGGCGTTAGCCTTCATCACCGCAGTTTCGGCGGTGGCCTTAGTCTCGTTGTAGCCGTCCATGTGGACTTGAGGGTAAGGCCACGACTCGTCAGCGTTGTAAACGTCTTGACCGTTGAAAATGACCCCTGCCGACGACGTGTACACGAAATTGGGCACTTCCATTTCCTTCGCGACGCGTAAGAGGGTGTTGGTACCTTCGACGTTGACCTTCTCGTAGATCTCCTGAGCCAACCCGTGCATTGGCAGCGCCGAGTGAACGATGACGTTGCATTTGGTCTTGGTGATGGCCTCGCGGATGCTTTCTTCGCTGGTCAAGTCGCCTTTGAAAAAGTCGATCTCCGATGGCAGGAAGGAAAAATACGACGAAATCTGGTCGGGGATGGGGCGGACGTCAAACACCGTGAGCTTCATGTCGGGACAGTGTCGGGAGAACTGTTCGACAAGGTGGAGACCGAGGAAACCGGCCCCGCCAACGAGTAACACGGACATGGGGTAATCGGTAGGTTGAGGTTTTTTTCAGCAGGTACGACGTAAACGAGCGAGGGTAACCACACGAAGAAAAATCAACATTGGTGAAGTCAGAATGAATTTCGGACTAAAGTCACGAATATGTATCTCGATTAGATAGCTAAAATATTACATAGCGTATAAAATGTTTGATGATGAAAAATCGGGGACAATTCATCGCGGTTGGTGCGCATTTGAAGACCAGTGCTCTGTTTAATTTCGACACCCCCTATCGACGGCTTAGATGCTGGTATCAGATGATTTGATGGGGAAACCATACTGGGGCGCCGATGCTACCGCGTTTTCGTCGATTTCGGCCGAGATTTTCGGGATGTTGAAGCTGAACTGCGTCGCGGCAGAGGTGGTAAGGCCAGCCGCCAGGGTGGCTGATTGGGGCGCCGACGGGGCAGCAGCAGCAGCAGGCTTCCCGTTAGCCGCGCCCATCGAAAATGCTGGTTGAGGTGGTGATTGTTTGGGGGAAGCGGCCTTCGCCGTTGACGGGAACACCGATGCCACCGGCTCGTTGGCCTTGCCCGTATTACCGAAAAGCGAGGTCGCCGGCTTCGGTTGAGTTGTGCTGTTTGAAGATGATGTCGTCAGCAGAGCAAATGAAAAATTGGGGGCGGCAGGCTTAGAAGGAGCAGCAGAGGCAGACGCAGTGCTCGAGGCAAATGACAACCCAGCGGGTTTCTCAGCAGTACTGCCATTACTCTTCTGGGCGGCGAAAGAAGGAGCAGATGCCACCGAAGCTGGCTTGGGATTTGCCTCCAGGGCATTCGAATGCAATGGCACCGATTGGATGGGGCCGAAGTTGAACTGCAGCAGCAGCAGGCTAGTCGCCTTACTTGACTCATTCTGAGCAGTAGAGGGAAGCGGCAGCGGTTGGGTTGGCTGTTGCTGCGTCGTCGATGGTTGTGTCTTCATCGTCAGTGGTTGCGTTGCCGGTTGAGACTTAGCGACGTCAGCGGCCGAAATCTTACGACGAGCTCCACCATGAGCGGCGTGAGGATTGCCGAACCCATTAGATTTGGCGGTAGGGGCTGTAGCAGAGTTATTGAGGCGCATCGGCAGCGATTGGGCCAACGGGTCAGACGAGCCTTGAGAGTCCAAAATCGACTCCAACGCCTTATACGTTTTGGACTTGGGCCCCAGAGGTTTGTTTGCAAGCACCAGGTGCGAGAGCATCAGGGCATCGAAAGTCAGGTTAGCCAGAGCCAAAGTGCCTCTCGACACGTCGTGAGGCCGTTTGGTTACTTTCAGCGACTTAGGCGGACGAATACGCGTCTGATAGGGCAGCGGTAACCCCAGGAACTGGTACACCCGCCGCACCAGCCCCATCAGCGTGTTCGAGACATTGTGGTACTGCGGGGTATAATCGGGAGTCAGCACTTGCAGAGGTCGGCGCGATAACACCGTCGTTCGGGGCGTACCCAACACCGTCGACAGCGATATCCGATGAGCCCGCTTCGCCGATGAAGGGAGGGGCAAGCTGCCTTCGGGGTGTTTACGTTTGCGGGGGGTGGTGTCAAACGTGCCCGGCACGGTTTCCACTTGGGGTTTTGAGGGGTAGATGTGGGAGGTCAGCGCCGAGTAGCGTCTCGTTGATGATTGCGCTTCGGTGGTGGTGGGCGGGGCCGGGTCCGCCTGGGGCTCTACCGATCCCAGCCGACTGAAGATCCGCTTAACGGTGGAGAAGAGCCCCAGCAGCGACGACCGCCGGCTATTCAGTTGCGAAAACACCCGCCGGTTGTCCATGTGGTGGGTAGGGGTCGAGATGGGACACTTTGTGCGAACAGCGCGAAGAGATCGGCGCGCGCGATGTTGGGAGAGGACCTAGTTAAGGTTTTTTAAACGTTGGCAAAACGGTAAAAGATGGGGAAGAAATGAGATGATGAGGGGATCATGAAGGGAGAATGAGTGTTTCAAGTGAAGATCAGAGGTTGATTAAGCGCAATTCCACAATTGGAGGTGAGAATCACCACCAAGGTGGGTTTGAAAGGAAGCAGGTTTCCACTGATGAATGGAGTTGAAGCAAGCTTGATGTAAGAGTGTAGCATATCCAGTACTGTGAGGTTTGAATCCCAATTGAAACTGTTGACACACACTTCCTCAAGATGGGCCAATCCTCACCTGTGCTCGAAATTGGTGATTGACACCACTGACGCTAATGAATTGCATGATTACCCTGAGGACGATTATTTAGGGTATTTATCAAATCTATGAAGTTTACGTCAGCGCGGTAACAAAGCGTCTCATTATGAGACGTGGCCTCCCGCAGTGTAACATTACCGCGGTTACCATCAGCGCTACCTGCACTTAGTGCACTTAGTGGTGTAGGTGGGCTCGGTAGGCGCATTCACCACTATGGGTATTCCCGGAGGTAAGGTGGTAGCATTTGCCGAGTGATTTATGGCGCAATTACAACTTAGTCGTGCTAGGGAAGAGTTGCTGCTGTTGTCCCGTACTTAATCTCAGCTTACATGGTGATTTGGCGTCGATACTTTGTGTCTAGATCGGGTACTTTCAGTAGGCTCGGAGCTGAATCATCATGACTCACGTCACGTGGTGGTTTTTTCCGGAACCGAGCTCGGGAAGCGTCACCAGGACCCTCAAGCCTACAGTGTGCAGCATGACCCCGAAACCCTGACCTCTGTTAGTTTCCGCGAACGATGACCATGGTCCCCCAAAAAAAGAAACTTAAGCGACGAAGCCAAAAGAAAAATACTATAGCATCTTCACTCGGTGTGCGGGGCTTTATCAGAACACGAGTGAGTGGCGCAATCTTGGATTTATTCATGTTCACGCACTAACAACACCGCACTTTCGGACATTTTCGGAACTAAGCTGATATCGTAGCTATCAATCGAAGTGCCGCATTTACACTGATAAGAAGGATCTGCCTATAGTGTCACCCTGACTGCCCCACACGATCCCGTAAACCTTTATCAGAAAACAAAAAGGATCTTAGCCTTGCTCTGAAAGATAGACGTAAATCGGTATATATATATACTCCGACACCTGCTCGACACACCCGCCTCGACAGGGAGAACATGCCCCAGACGTTGACCAGCGTCAAGTGACGTGAAACCACATTTGTTTGGCACTCTCCGCACGGCCCCAGACGCGAGACAGCGTTGACTCGGCACCGGGACACGCCGAGAACGCTGTCAGCAACGTCATGGAAATCGCCGAAAAACAAATGCGCCGGCTTTTACTACCGCGAGGACCCTGGGAGGCTAAGCGAGAGGCGACGGGGTGGTCTCGAGGCCCGTAGACGACCTGATTGAGCGGAACCCCGGTGGCCCCGCTTAACACCGGGGCTGATTTGCTAGCGACAAAGCCGTTACCGGCGCGATTGGCCCCACTCGCCACTGGGGCCTGCCTCCAGTCATTTGGCTGCGATAACAGTAATGCGCAGGGCGCATGGAGATCAGGTAGTTCTATTGGCTAGAGATTTGACGGTGCATAATCCAGGTGCAGGACGATGCCAGGATAGTTCCGGAGCTCATCGAAGCTATATAAGCTACCCCAGCCGCTCAGTAGCCCCCCCAGTAATTTCTCACAATGGTTTTGCCTCACGAACCCGAATTTCAACAAGCTTACGACGAATTGGTGTCGGCCGTCGAAGACTCGACCCTCTTCCAGGAGAACCCCGAGTACAAGAAGGTCATCCCCGTGGTGTCGGTCCCCGAAAGAGTGATTCAATTTAGAGTTGCTTGGGAAAACGACAAGGGTGAGATCGAGGTCAACAACGGGTACAGAGTGCAATTCAACTCGGCCCTTGGTCCTTACAAGGGGGGTTTGAGATTCCACCCTTCGGTCAACTTGTCGATCCTCAAGTTCCTTGGTTTCGAACAAATCTTCAAGAACGCCTTGACCGGGTTGCTGATGGGTGGTGGTAAAGGTGGTTGTGACTTTGACCCCAAGGGCAGATCCGACGCCGAGATCCGCAGATTCTGCTTTGCTTTCATGAGAGGCCTTTCGAGATACATTGGTGCCGACACTGACGTCCCCGCCGGTGACATTGGTGTGGGTGGCCGTGAAATTGGGTTCCTCTTCGGTGCCTACAAGGCGATGCAAAACAACTTCACCGGTATCCTTACCGGTAAGGGTTTGCTGTTTGGTGGTTCGTTGATCAGACCCGAAGCCACCGGTTACGGTGTCGTCTACTACGTGGAAAAGATGATTGAAAAGGCCTCGCAAGGCAAGGAATCGTTCAAGGACAAGAGAGTCGCCATCTCCGGTTCGGGTAACGTCGCCCAATACGCCGCGTTGAAGGTTATTGAACTCGGCGGGATCGTTGTGTCGCTTTCGGACTCCAGGGGTACCTTGATCTTCCCCGACAACGTCAACGCCGGTCAAGTGAGAATCATCGCCGACTCCAAGCTCAAGTTCAAGTCGCTTGAACAAATCGCCAAGGACAACGCCGACTACTTCCAAGGCGTCGAATACATCGCTGGCGCTAGACCCTGGGAACACGTTGGTGCCGTCGACGTCGCCTTGCCCTCGGCCACCCAAAACGAAATCTCGGGTGAAGAAGCCAAGGCCCTCGTCGACGCTGGCTGCAAGTTCATCGCCGAAGGTTCCAACATGGGTTCGACCAAGGAGGCCATCGACGTCTTCGAAGCCAACAGACCCAACGGTGTCTGGTACGCCCCCGGTAAGGCTGCCAACTGTGGTGGTGTCGCCGTCTCCGGTTTGGAAATGGCCCAGAACTCGCAAAGAGTCCAATGGACCGCCGAGGAAGTCGACAGCAAGCTCAAGAACATCATGTACACCTGTTTCGACAACTGCTACAACACCGCCGTCAAGTACTCGAACGAAAAGACCGACGGGTTGCCTTCGTTGTTGAAGGGGGCCAACATCGCCGGTTTCATCAAGGTGGCCGACGCCATGTTCGACCAAGGTGACGTTTTCTAAACTGGTTTTAGTTGGTTGCTTTATGATGTTCTTTTTGGTTGGCTTTCGACCGCTCATGTTTTATAGATAATGGATAGATAATTTACAAACAAATTAGATACACATTGTAGTGAAAGGACTGGAGTTTTGGTGGCAATAGCGTATGTGGAAGTCCGCTAGCCTCCTGCATATAAGCTAAGCACCCGCCATCGCCTAGGTGAGTGTGTCGAGCTTCCAGATTCCATCAATGTCCTCGCCCGATGACGACGAACCAGAGGTGGCAACTGCTACTGTGGACTCTGGTGAGGTGAACAACAACCTGGTGTCACCCTTGGAAGAGTCGATCTTTGAAAACCAGTCAAATGACGACGCTTCAGACTCCTCCGATGATGACTCCATAATTGAGGCCGACTTGGCGCAGACTATCTTACACGAAATTACTGACTCTCAGTACGTGTGTCTTATCTGTACCGGAGAGATTGGGCCCGAGCTGCAAATCTACTCGTGCCAGCACTGTTACCGTGTCTATGACCTTGAGTGTATTGCTGGATGGGCGACTAAGGACTCGGCTGGTGGTACCAAAAAGTGGAGATGTCCGGCGTGTAACACTGCTTCCACCACTAAGATCCCCAAACGGTTTACCTGTTGGTGTGGGCGAGTGAAGAACCCTAAAGTCAACGAGTTACAACCGTTCTCTTGTGGGATGCTTTGTCAATATAAGCAACCCAACTGTGTCCACCAGTGTTCGCTGATGTGCCATCCTGGTCCTCATCCCGTGTGCGGGGCTATGGGTCCCAGCATGGCCTGTCATTGTGGTAACCACACTAGGCAATGGCCGTGTCTCATGACTCCTTATCGCCAAGGGTGGAAGTGTGACGATATCTGTGAGACAAAGATCTGTGATATGGGCCACACATGTGGAAAAAATTGTCATAAAGGTTTCTGCGGCAAATGCAAAACGCCAATTACCGTAGGTTGTTATTGTGGCAACCATAAGGATATCAAAATTTCTTGTTCAGCCAAACAGCTACGACGTCGTGCCGATGGTTCGGTAGCAGGTACCAGCTGTAACGATACCACCCGCAAATACTATGAGTGTGGTATCCACTATGAGGACTTACTGTGTGCTCAAGTGCTCGAATGGACCGACGGTGCCTGTCCTTCTTCCCCATCAATGATCACCACTTGCCCTTGTGGCAAAACCGACGTCATGGCCACGCGTGTTAAGTGTACTGACCCGTTGCCCACCTGTGATAACGTTTGTGGTAAACAACTTAGCTGTGGTCACACCTGTCGAGCTCAGTGCCACCAAGGACCGTGTCAGTGTGTGGATGTGATTACCTTGAAATGCCAATGCCAACGCTCAGAGTACGATGTCCCCTGTGCGTTTGCTCAGCTGGGAATGCAACCCAAGTGTCGCCACAAGTGTGACGCTTTGCTCAGTTGTCGCAAACACTACCATCGCGGCGAGTGCTGTCCTCTGGAGCCGTCAGCATTGGCCCGCGAAAGAGAGCGGAAAAAGGCTAGTCGCCAAGGGATCAGAAGCTCTCGCGATAACGATATCATGACCATCGAACCCGTACACATTTGCACTAAGCCATGTAATCAGTTGAAACCATGTGGCAACCACTATTGCGAAGCCCTTTGTCATCCTGGTGCTTGTTCCACGTGCTATGAGCTGACCAGTGAGGATCTAGTGTGTGCTTGTGGCAAAACGGTGGTGGAAGCACCGGTACGATGCGGCACTAAACTTCCCCCCTGTCCTCACCCTTGTACTCGTACCAAACCCTGTGGTCATCGCCCTGAGTTCCATAAGTGTCACGAGACCAACGACTGTCCCAAGTGTACTTTCCTCATCGAAAAACCATGCAATTGTGGTCTCCACGTCATGAAAGGAGTGATGTGTTCTCAGGAACGAGTCAGTTGTGGTACCATTTGTCGTGCCGAAAAGGATAAGTGTGGCCACCCCTGTGGTCGTACTTGTAGTCCCGAGTGTACTGTTGGCTCCCACGTCGATCCACTGCAGTGTCTTTACACTTGCAATAAGCTCAGACAAACGTGTCCTCACCGGTGTAAATTGAAGTGCCATGCTCAGAAGCCTCAGGTACTGGCCGACTGCGACAAAGCCACCTGTGGTGCTCCAGTGACGATCAGCTGTGGCTGTGGCCGGTTTACTCAACAGGTGAAGTGTGGGGCCAATGCAACCAACCCGCTGGCGATCTGGCTGGCCTCGCTTGCCTGTGACGATAACTGTGCTAAGCACAAACGTGCTCAGGAACTTAAAAATGCCATGTTTGGGGGGCAATCACCTGAGGAGAATGATGATGTATACTCATCGTTTGTGTTGGCCACCTATGCTAAGCAGAAACGGTGGTGTGATCTTCAAGAAGCGGCAATCAGAGAGTTTGTTGGCGTTACCAAGAACGCAGACACTACCACTGAAATTGAGGTTGTTGAAAATGGTGGCGACGAAAATGGTGTTGCTGACGTAGCTAACTCAACTTCCGAAGCTACTGAGGAAACGTCTGATGACTCTGAGTCACCGTTTGTCACCAAAGTCCATGAGTTTGCTCCGCTGGCAATCCCACCGCAACGTAAATTTATTCGTGAGCTTGCTAAAGCTTATGGGCTTTACGTAGAGTCCCATGCTGTGGAAGGCGGTGAGAGTGTGGTCGTATGTTTGACACCTTCCACTAAGGCTCCTGAATTGACAATCGCAGAAGCCATTGAAAAGCGTGATGCGGCTCGTGCTGCTGCTGAAGAGCTTAAAAAGCGTCGTGAGGAAGCTCCGTTTAATGCGGTTATCGTGCAAGATGTGTTTTTTGGCATTTCTCACCAACGCATCGAACATGAGCTTGCCGAGCCTGGCGTGTCTTTTGATTGGATTAAAGAATCAACCTGTTTGATTCGCGGTGATGATGACCTCACCGAGGAGCAATATTTAGCTCTCATGAAGAAGATGCGGACGGTAATTCGCGACCAATCGCTTGCATTTGACGTCAAGATGGCCTACGTCGAAGACGGTGAAGTGTACAAGATGGGGGAAAAGCTTCAACCCAAGCCAGTGGATGAGGACGAAGTTGTTGACGACGAAGAAGAGCTTCAACCATCTGTTGAAGACACAGAAGAAAATGCCCTTCCCGTTGAGCAAGCTCCCAAACTCACTGAGGAGGAGGAGGTGGCAGCGGCCATTGCTGCTGTGGAAGCATTTAAATTGGCTGAATCACAGTCGCCTGAGATTCCTTAGGACGAAGGTGGTGATGCCATCGCGTAGACGGAAACAATAAATTTCCACATATACATATAACCATTAGGGTACCGCAACCACCAAGGTGTAAATAAACGAACCACCCTAAGCAGATGAAACACGTAAATTTCCAAGATAATATAAGCTTTAAGACTAAGTTTCGACATGTTGTGTTGGTGATGGAGTTCATGCACCATTATCAACACCGCACGTGACCACACTGCGAAAATCTCTGGACGGCAACCTCCTCGAGCGGTGAACAACACAATGCTGGTGGACTACAAGCAGAAGTGCCAAGAGCTCCAGCAACGGCTTGCCGAGGTCGAGGAGCTGAACGAGGTGGCGACGCTTGCGTTGTCGCGCACCCGGGCGGCGATCCGCCGGTTGCGGTTGGAGCACGCCATCCTCCTCGAACGTGTCGAGGAACGGGCGCTAGCAGTTCCTGAAGGGCTCAATCTCTTTGAGGAGATGGCGTGCCCTCCCAACCCCATCCTGATGAACGAGGCCCTCGGCGCCGCTGGCATGGCCCGGTTAGGGGTGGTGAGACGCCCGGTGAAGAAGAAGGGTGCTGGCGGGGCTGGCGGGGCTGGCGGGCTGGCTAAGCACAAATTGCGGGACCCTGCCCAACCCAAACGACCCACGAATGCTTACTTAATCTTCTGTGACTTGGAGAAGGAGCGGGTAAAGAAGGAGGCCGAGGCGGCGGGGGTTACCGGGGATTTGCTGAAGTTGTTGACGGAAGCGTGGCGCAAAATGAGCGACGAGGCCCGCAAGCCGTTTTATAAGCTTTACGAAGACGACCGCCTCCGGTACCAGCGGGAAATGGCTGAATTTAATGATAAGAAGGGTGAGGGCGAGCCCGCTGCCAAACGGCCTAAGGTAGAAGAAGAAGAGCCCACCGCCCTGCAGGAAACTGCCACCACTGACGCTGCCGACGCCCCGGAGACCTAGAGAGTCCGGGGCAGATACTAACGACCGCTACGTTTTATATTATGTGATGAAGTGAGTAATCCCATAGAATGAATGCTCGCACGTGTTCTAACTATACGCAATAAATATATATGCCAATGCCATGAAATGCCGACAAATGCTATGCAATGACATCAATGAGGCTAAACAATGCCAAGGTAAGGCTAAACAATGCCAAAGTATGAGGCTGGCTGGTAGCTGAAGGGTATAAAGCCAGAATCATGATACAGTGGACTGCTGCCTAGGTTCTGATCTCGTTCCAGATGGCTTGTCTGACTTCCCATTGCGACGAGCTTCGCGTCAAGCCGAGACTGGATATGTGGGGGTCTTCGCCGTAGATCTCCGTCTCCAGCGTTATGCTGATTAGATCGTCGTCTTCAATTGTAATCACCAATACTTCGTCGGTGACAGTTTCCGAAGTAAGGTGAGAGTTCAGAGTGGGCAGCGTCAGCGTCGATGAGTGGGGCGTGGGCGAGTGGTGCCTATGATGGCGTGGCGGCGACGTCAGCGGCGACGTGGAGTCCGGGTGGCGGTGCTGGATGCCTGCCGGGATCCCCGACGACCACCGCACTGTCTTCTTCATCACGTCGGCTGCCAAAGCTGACAGCCGTTTAGGTACTTCCCACAATGCCTTCCCCGTCTCGTAGGGGACCAGGCTCACTTGGTCCAAATACAGCGCGAGCTGCGGTGGCTGCTGCTGCTGCTGTTGTGGTTGCGGTTGCAGTTTGGTTGGCGTCATCAGTTAGCTTTAGGAAGTTTTTTGTGGGGTAAAGTCTTCGTCCGGGGGGTTACCCCAGGTTTTTATATTTCTGGGCCCTTTCGGTGGGCGACAACCGTTCTGCAACCTTGTCGCATGCGCGCGTAATTAGTAGGTGTGTGGCACCTGTCAATTTCGTAGCCGCTCTGCCCGGCGTTCGCACTCGGGTGCGGGAATTGTTGACAGGGGCAAAAGAAACCAGCCCTCGGAGTTAGTGGGCAGGGGGGGTGAGGGAGCTAGTGGAGAGAGGTAGAAGGTAGTGGTAGTCAGCGGGATTGAAGGTAGGTAAAGTGGGGACCGAGGCCGCAGCCGTAGGGGCGAGTGGGGACGGCGTTAGTAATGGGACATTTTTACTAATGACAGTGTGATCACGGGGAGCCGCGGACGATGCCGTTTGCGCAAGTTTTGTGGCCAGATTGTGGAGCTGTGGTCACTAACCCGAGTCCCGCCATGTGAACGGTTTTAGCTGACGCCCCGCAGAACGGGGATAGGACTTAGCCGACGTTAAACGACGGCGCGGGCGTCAAAGCTATGACCGGCTCGTCTCGAAAACTCATGAATGACCCCTCGATCTAGGCTCGATCTAGGCCCGCCGAATGGCAATGGTTCTAAAATATGCATTGGGGTCGTCTAATCCACTCTAATGAGAAAAAAAAGGCACGATGACAAATGTATGAGGATTTCTACAACTTGCCGTAGAGCGCGGCGATGTTCAGGTGCTCGCGGAAGTAGTCCCCCTTCCGCTTCAAAATGATCAAGAAGATGCTGGCGGCGGCCAAAACGCCCATCAAAATTGAAAAGAGCACCCCTTGGCCGATGCCGCGGATGGCGGGCTCGACGACAAACGTGGCCACGGCAGCAAAGATCTGGCGGATTAAATTGTTGAGTGCGACGCCGGTTGCCCCCTTCCCGGGAAGGGAGTCGACGAGGTAGGTGACGGTGGCGCCAATGACGATCATCAGGGCGAAGCCAAAGAGCGAGGTGCCGATCAACGGCGTCACCCAGTGCTCGCCGTACTTAAGGCACCACCCGAAGATGAGACACGCCGGCGGGAACATCACGCACGCCAACACCACGTTCCACAGGATCCGCAGCTCGGGGCGCAACTCGCCGTTGTGCTTTTTGGCGTAGTCGCGGAGAAGCTTGTCGTTCCACCGCCCGCCAATGATCAGGGCGAGGATGTAGGTGACGGAGTTGGGGATGTACATGAGCCCGACAATCACCGACAGAAAGTTGTACGGGGGGCGGGCGTAGGAGTACGACACCGTCATGTTGAAGAAGTAGAGCACCGCGAACAGAATGGCGGAGTAGGCGATGACGAGCGCCACCGGCGGGTGGGTGAGCAAGACCAACGAGTGCAACGGGCGCACGATGAGGTCGTACGATAGCGTGCGGTAGTACTGAGCGTCTTTAACGACGACGGTGGTGGCGTGGGTAGCGATGGTTTGGTGAGTAGTGACGTGGGTGGCTTGTGTGGGGGCAGTCAGATTGCGGGCCAGCGTGCCCAGACGGCTGCGCCGCAAGTGGTCGCCGATGACTTGCTCGTGGACCCGCCGCGAGTACTCCAGGCGGTTGGTGGTGAGGCGCGACAAGTTGGGCATGAGGGGGTCGCCGGTGGGGGCGTCGTCTTCCTCGGCTTCTCTATAGCCTTGTTGCGAGAGCCTCAGGGCGACGCGGTCGAGCACTTTCTCCAGCAACTCTTCGTCGTCGGTGATGACGCTATCGCCGGCGCGAGCCACGCCTAATTGCTGGCGCTCCACTTCTTCCTTTACGGATTCGACGGCGGAGACGGCGTCGTCGCCCACTTGGCCACTAGCGCCGAGGAGCGCCTTCATAAGCGCCATGTTGTCGGCGCGGCGCAACGTTTCGGGAAGAAAGAAGATGATGAGAACCACATTACACCCCAGAAAAATCACCAAGAGCCACTGGGTGGCGCGCCACCCCCACCCTTGGGCGACGGCGCCCCCCAAGATCGGCGCCAAAAACGGGCCGCAAAGCGGGCCCAAGTAGTAGTACCCCATGGCGCGGCCCCGGGTTTGTGGCGTGAACAAGTCGGCGATGGTCCCAGCACCTACCGCTTGCACCAGCGCCGAGCACCCGCCTTGGAGCACTCTAAGCCCAATTAAGGCGCCGATGGTGGGGGCAAGCGCCGTGCCGATACTGAAGCCAAAGAACATGACGAAACTGGTGAGGTAGACGCTGCGGCGGCCGAACCGCTCCAGCATCAGCGACCACCACAAGGGAAAAATCCCCAATGCCAATAAGTAGATACCCACGGAAACATTAACCGTGGAATCCGTAGTGTGCAACGACCGGGTAATGTCTTCCAAAGCCGGCAACATGATCAGCGTCCCCATCGGGCCCGTGATCAGGGCAAAGGCGATGATAAACACGATGAAATATTTGATCTTGATCGGGTAGTCGCGGGCGTCGTGGTACTCGGGAATAAACACCACCAGCGAGAGGAGGCCGCGGCGCTGGCGGCGCGGCACCACACACTCTTCCTTAGGCTTCGGCGGCGGCGGGTTATCGGTGGATTTGGCCGCCTCGAGGTCGTGTTTGCCAGGGTCCAGCAGCGCCGCCGTGAGCAGCAGCTCGTCGTGGTCGGGCAGCGCGCGGAGCGGGTTGACGCGGTGGTGGCTGGCGGTGGAGACCAGCTCTTGCGAGCTTAGCAGGTGTAGCAGCAGGGCCATGGTGGCATGTATAGACGGGGGGGCGATGAGTTAGGGAAATTATGCGGGCGCTGGCGGCGGCGGCGCCCCTATAAGTGTGCCTGCCGGCAATCTTTTTTCTCGGTCTCGCCGATGGTTGCGGGGCCGGAAGTCACGTGATAAAATGGAAAGCGGTGCCATAAGACGATTTTCGTTAAGTAAAAGTGGTTATGAGTTGTCCCTGATACTTAAAGGAATATACCCTGTATATACCGAGGAGAACCGGTGGTTGTTGGGGGGGCTATTTAGCTGCTAATGTGTCAGCCGTGATCGCGTGTGATGCACAAAACGGCCAGGGCACCGCACGCCAGGTACGGCACTACTCCGATGACACATACTTTTACTAGCTGGGCGAGGCTTTACGCATCGTGGGGCTGAAACAGGGGGGCCGCTTCTCTCAAGCAAATCTGAGGTGGCGGGTATGCTGTCGTCGCCACTGTCGCCAAACCCGTTATATCGTCGTTGTATCCTCTGGTGGTGGCTGCCATCGGCACCAATCGGTGATTCAATAGCCGACGTGGCTTATCTCCTGTAGTTTGCCCAGGGCGCGCAACCTGCGGGGTGAGACAGCCGCTAATAAATAATCGGAGACACGCTTTCCCACCCCACGCTAACCAACACCACTTAGCCATTGAGGGTTATTCCACCACGGCTCGCACCATTTTGACACAAGCGACCCGTGTCTTACATTCAGAGTCAATTGCCGAAACCGGTAATAATAGCGAGCCACGCTCATAGGATCAGCTGCAAATCGGTCACGGCGGCACTCGGACTGTCGGGTAGGCGGAAGTTTAGCGACGCCCAATCTTTTAGTTTTCAACCGCCCCTCCCTTAGTGATATACGACAGCACGTTCATCGCGCCTCACGGCATGGTGAGGCACGCGCACCGCTGCTGCTGCTCGACAAGGTTAGTCCTCGTACGCTTCAAGGTGACAGGTGAGCGCCCCCACTTTGAGGCGAGTATACAGGGTATTTGATGACTATGGAATCTAGTCTGGATACTGATGGTAGGGGAATACGCAGGTAGGCGAACAACCAATTTTTGGTGCTCATTTTCCGAGCACCGCACTAAGGGAAGCGACTGCCGTAATTTCTATCGTTGGGTGATATCACCCACGGTCAATGTGTTAGAACCACAACGACACACCAAGATCTACATAAAAAGTTAAACTAAGTCGTAATATTTCGCTATATTACCTGTGCTAATCAATGAAAATCTCAAAATTAATCAGCGATATACGCTGAACCGAATTGGCTAGACTGAGTTGCCTTCGTCGGGTGTGGAAAAGGGGAAGAGGGGGATGTGGATGGTACCATCATCAGTAATTTTCTTGCCATGAACTGCGCCGCCCTGCGCAATTGTCATTTCCGGGCATGCATCGTGGAGCTTCGGGACGTCCTTAAAACAATCCAAGAGCATTTTCCACAACACGGGGTCGTTGAAGAACCCACCCACGAACACAACAGCAAAGAGGTCCAGCTTCTTGAGCTTATCTCCATTAGCCAAGTGTTCGTCATCGAACTTTCCGTTTACCTCATTGATGATGCGTTCGAAAGTTTCTTGACAAACCTCCTCGCATTGTTTTCTCAAGAGATATTTGTTGTAGTTCTTTTTGTGATATCTCACATGATTCTTACAGTACGATTTTCTCGATAATAATACCTTCCCACGGTTCAAGGTGTTTATAAATTTCCGCCGGACAACTTGCTTGTCATGTTGAAGCTTTGAAACTTTCATCTTCTTCATAGCCTTCTTGGTGAGTTTGACCTCGGGCTTGAACCTCTCCTCCACATCAGGAGCAAAAGTATTCTTCAAGCGTTCATCCACTTCATTGCCAAAGTTTTTGTCGTTCAAGACCACTTTCTCGATGTACATGTCGCGATCCTTGATCCGAACTAACGACATTTTAAACGTTTGCCCAGCGTGGACCACGGCCACAAGCCTATCCCCTAAGCCTTTGTCCAATCCATGAGCAATGACAGCGAGCTCCAGCTCACGCATTGGCTTTACGTTGAGATCGTGCAAGGTAGCTTCTCTGACGATGGTCTCGATTTCGTCGTCAGAAGCGTCATCGGGCACAGCAATCACGGCGTCAGTGGCAGGCATCCCACAAAGTCATTAGCCTCCTTTTGCACCCCAGTAAACATGCGCGCTTCAAGTTCAGGGATGGTCCAGTCACGCTTTACTTTGCCCATAGGCAAGTGAATGCTCAAGCCTTCGGGACCTTCGCCAATCTTATTGGAGAGCTCATGCTCGGGATCCTTAACTGTCTCCAAGAACTTGGGGTTCCAATTCGCCGAGTGCAGTACAGCTTCATAGCCGTGCACCCATTTTCCTTTTTGCACCCCAACAGCTGATGGCTCATTGTAGAAAACGTCATGACCATTCGCAGCGGCTCGGTAGTAAGCGGACCCACGGTCCACTCCAATTGCTAACCCATGCTGATATACTTCAAGAAAAATAACTTCAAGAGGGGTTGACAATTTATATAGAGCCGGGAGAGTACAGAAGCAAAAAATGAGGGCGACGTGGGTAATATCGGATTGTGCGAGGGGAGAGAATTGTATACAGGGTACACAGGGGCGGTGCGCTTGATGCAGACGCATGCCCCCTGGGCTACAAGGTAAACCAAGGGCACACTCATAATATTGGCGGTGACATGGGAGCGCTTTTTCAGCGCCTCCGCCCACTCTCGTATAATGAGAAGTCTTTGAGAATCTAGACCTTGTAGTCACGCAATCCACTGCAGCCAGCCATCCCTTTTTTCACGTCATCTTGTGATAGATGCAATCTCAAATGTGCGCACTGAGATCCTTGGGCCGTTAGTCGATGGTGTGGTGTCGATTTACGGGGAAGGGCTGCAATGGTCGCATTTGGTTAGCGGTCGTTGGTCTGCATTAAATGTAAGCTTAAAATGGCTGGCTACTGAGTATCGTCGAATAAGGTGAATTATTATTTCAACAAATGAGGCGTGCCCGGTTGAGACTCTTAATTGAGGTTGCGATCTGCTAGATGGTGACCATATCTGGTAGTGCTGACGATGCACTAATTTTAGGCATAGGTTATGCGCACGCATTGCGTTGTCATGTCAATCCGCGGTGATGACGATGGAGAGAAAAAAGAGGGGAGAGACCGCCAGACAGGCCCGCTCCTGCAGCTTACCAGCGAAGGTTTATTGGCTGGGTTGACATGGTCGGTAACACCGTCGAAGTTTAGACGTTGGGAATGTGATGGGGAGGGTCGAGCTACTACTACACCACCCGCTTCCCCTATACTACAAATGAATATTGTTTTAGTAAAACACTGGTCAACCCGTAAGTAGCAGAACCAATAAGGGCTCGTTCATTAGTCAAATCTGAGAGATAGCTATTGCCAATGAGTGCAGTTATCACATAAGTCTCACCCGCTTGTAATCACTTGGTGGCAACTCTCTAGCCTGTGCTTGATCGCTGATTGTCCTCCGGTATGCCAAATAATGCCACACATGGGCACGTTCGAATTCAAGTAACTACAGCCTTTGTGTTCAATAATGGCGAGACTCATTGTCAACCAGTCTCTTTGCTTTGTATTAGCTATGTACAAGAATGGTGTGTCTATCTTAAAACAAGATTTAATTCGCAGTCACACCACGCACGACCAGGATGAGCTCTTTCAAGACCCAGAGCCTGGCCGTCGTCGTGTGTCAAAAAGCGGTCTCCACCGGTCGCACCCAGCCTTGCCTATCATTTTGGACCGGACCGCATTAGCAGCCACTAGTCGCCTAACGTCCCAAATATCCAAGGGTGCTGAAGGTTGAAATAACTTAGGAGCTGCATACGTCGATGGAACCGTCGTGATCATACCGTTGAAATCAGACCAGAGTATCTCGTCCGCGGGGGGCAAAGATAGCACCAGCCGCGTCACCAGCAGAACCTTATCTCACCTCAAGCGTCGACACACAAGCAACAAAACAACACAGGGCAGGAAAAACCATGGCCGGGACCGACCAGGTAGTGGATGGTAAGAGATGGATTTTATTCGTGCGCGGCGCTGGCTTTTATACCCGTTTCTGTGCTGTGGCCTGTATAATAATAACCTCGCACGCGCCACAATGTGGCCCCGCCGAGTAGCACGTTCGTTGTCTCGTATGATGGCGCAAAGTAAAAGGAAGAAAACAGAAATGAGTGAATTTGCATCATGGGCATGAGATACGCTCTACCATAGTGCCGTGTTTGTGATTTTACGTGCGATTGTGCTCACTACTTTTAACTAATGTTATCTCACCGGCTATGGGTTTCGTACAAACCCGCACCGCACGGGTTCCTGCATTAAGTCAATCGCGTTAACTAAATAAGCTTATGCGATCGGGCCTGCACACTGCCCCACCGTCGCCTAACTTACACAGTTGGAGTGACCTTCGTCTCATCGAGTGACTCTGTTGAATTCTTGTCCACGGCTACCATCACTCTTCGTTGAATTTGTTAGTGATATCGACTTGTCCCATTGCAACACCCTCCCTACGATGTCGGTCAAATCATATTTTCTCTGCTAGGCGTGCCTTCAGTCGGTCCGTTATACATTGCGTTTTCTTCCTACGATTACGCCAACAAAACCCCCTGAACTTGGAGACAGTGATACTGAAGTGACAACGGAGACTTTCACAAGTGGATACCATAATGAGCGACTTGAAATGCTAGCCAAACTAACTTTTGGTGATATTCTCAGTTGTTGCCTACTTGGCTTTAATGCCCTGGTTCCCTGAAGTGAATAACATGCACACTGTTCACGTTGGCGATATATTGTCCTAGGAGAGGCTCTTTATACTAAACTCGACCCAAACATCGATTTGTGGGTACATCGATGGTTGTGCACCAAATTGAAGTTCGAGCAAAACACCATGGATCCAGATAAGTTACCCATCAAATGACAAAGCTTACTATTGTTGCTTGTCATGGAGCACGGCCACTTGGCATGAAAAAATTTACCAAGCTCACGTATGATGAAGGTACCTTAAAGGCTACAAAGACGTCAAGTAAACTTTCGAAGGACTCTTGCTTAACTTGAATTCGAGACTGGGTACGTTAATAAGGCGGAGCAGAGGACCAATTAGTGGTAATGTATAGACGCCGGTATGGCGAATATAATGAGCGGAAAATATAGTAAAGCAGCACAGATTCTGGCGTTATTACATTTACTCCCAATCAAACTCTACACGTAGATGATAGATTACTACTGATTCGTCATTCTCCTAAACGATGAAACAGTTTGTTTAACATGATATACTTCGAGCAGTTGTATCGTTCGATGATTTCTCGACTTACGAATGAAAAGGAGATATTACAAAGTGGCAGTTGTCGTTATATTCATCATAATGCGTATGCAAATAGGGTCTAGGTGGCGACGGGGTCATCGGCCAGCGGCGTCGGCAGCGAGCTCGTGGGGACGGAGTTGGGCGTGGCGTACGCCTTCTGTTTCGGGGCGTGGTTGTCCAGCGCATGGTGGCGGCGCGGGTTGCGCAACTGCATCAACTTCATGTCCACCGGCACCTCGCCCAAGTCCATGATCGTCAGCATCGGCTCGTACGGGGGTCGCGGCTGTCTCATCTCCCAGTCGGGCAACAGCCCCACCGAAGTGTTGGCTTTCTCAAACTGGCCCAACCCCAGCAACCCGCCGGCGGTGTGGCTGCTGATGTTCGGGTGGAGGGTGGCGCCCAACAGCGACTGCGAGAGCGTGAGCAACGGCACCGTCTGTTCTGGAGGCACCTCCAAGTCCAGCAGGATCAGCAGCATCAGCGACCGCCGCAGCATGTGGCGCCGGATCGGGGAGAGCGCCGCCATTCCCCGCGGCAGGTGGATCGGCAGCGACGGCAGGTTAGCGATGTCGCCGTCGGCGCTGAGGGTGAGGGGGGGCGCCGCCAACGGCGCCAGGGTGTCTTTTGGGCGCTCTTCGTCCAACGAGTTGTGGGTGGTGGGGTTGGTGCTGGGGTCGCTGATCTGGCTGCGCTCGGTGCCCCCCAGCGACCGTCGCGGCTCGGGGCTGCTGGTAGACTCTTCGGCACTCAATCTGTGCTCTAAACGCAGGTGTTTGTCATGGGCCATTGAGGCGCGGAGCATGTCTTTGAGTCCCAGCACTTCCGGGGCCACCGGCGCCGCAGCGTTGCCGTTGGCGCCGGCCAACGTGGCGGTGATCGTCGCCAGCGACCGTACCCGCGGCACGTCCTGAGAGTGGGATTCGTCGATGCGCAACGGCAGCAACAGCGGGTCGCGCTCCTCGTAGGCGGGCGGAAGCCCCGCGGGGACGTCGATCGCCGGCGGCGGCTGGTCGGCCATGAACGGGGGCGGGTTCATCAGCGGCTTGCGCAACAAGTGGATGGGCCGCTGGATGGGCGTCTGGAGGGGCGAGAACGCCGGCTGCGCCTGCAGCATGTGCAACGCCGGGTCGACCAGCTGGGCGTCGGGCTTGTACAAGTTGGCCTCCAAGTGCATGTCGGCGTCGCGCTCGATGGGCTCGTCGTTGTTGAACAGCAGGTTGATGTGCATGAACTCGTAGGGGGCGGTCGAGTTGGCGCTGTCACCCAGGCTCAGCCCCTGCTGGTGGCGGTCAAATAGCAGTCTCACCGCCAGCGCCGTGGAGCTGCGGAACGCCAGCGACAGCGACTCGACGGGGACCACCCCCGGCGACATCGGCGGCGTCGGACAGTACTGCGGGAGCGACGCCGGCGGCGCGGGGACGGTGCCGTTATCGTAGGCGGGCAAAAGGGTGTTGCCGTGCGCCGCCAACGGACTGAGGATGTGGATGGGGGAGTCGATGCTGATTTCGTAGTGCTTGCGCTTCTCGTCGCGGGTGGGGTCGCTGCGCAGAATCCGCAAGCAAATCTTGATCCAGTGGTGCACCTGGATGTTGTCGAACAGCGTGTCTGGATGGAGCGCCTGCCCCGGCTTGTTGGGGAACTTCAGCGGCACGTACAACTGGAACTCGAGTTCGCGGGCCAAGATCTCGTCGTCGCCAGGAGCGAGGGGGCCCGGGTCCTGAGGGTTTTTCCCGAGAAGCAGTCGCCCTTTGGAGGCTTTGTGCTCAAGTAAAAGGTACTTCTTCTGCGGTTCTAACCGGTGGACTTTCTTGTTGCTGCAGTAGTACTCGAGGTTTTCGGTGATGTAAACCCGGATACGGTGGAGCTGTACTTTACCCCAGAGGGGGACGAACCGGAACGCTAACGGGAGGTACAGGTCAAGCACCACCAGCTTACCACCAACGACAATCTCGTAGCGCAACTGGTCCTCCCAGTCACGGGTAATGACGATGGGCTCGTTCTCTTCCAACAGCATCACCAGCGGCGTCCGCACGATGTTGACGGGGAGCTTAGCCGTCAAATTAGGCTTAAACGCCCCCGCGCGGCCAATGGTGGCTTCTAAAAAGTAGTGGACACTGCCGAAAGTGACCAGACACAGTTCGGGGATCGCCGGGTGCACCGGGTGTTCGAAGTTGTAGATGTAGTCACCGGGGGAGAACAGCCCCAGGTCGCTGCCCAGCGACAGCGCCAGCGCCACCAGCGTCAGCGCCAGCATCAACGGCGCCGGCGACAACGGCGCCAGCAGCTCCGCCCGCGACAGCTCCCCCGGCAGCGTCGTCCGGCGCATGAACGCCGGCGATAGTGACCGGGTGAAGCTGAAGGGCAGGTCGGCGTGATTCGCCAGCGGCAGCCCCGCTCGCAGCAGCGGGCGCACCAACAGCTCGCCACGGTGTGTGGTGCCGTTGGTCTCGCGGTAGAAGTCGGCGCCGTTATGGGCGCCCACGGGGCTCCCCAGCTGGAGGAAAGGCCAGGTGTGGTTGACAACAACATTAGTTTCCTGGTGCTGCAGCTTTTTCGGCGGGATCCCCTCGGGCCACTCGGTGCGCTGGGTGCCTCTAAAGTTCAACAGGATCAGCTTAAGCTTGGTGTGCTTTAACACTCTGACGACGAGGCACCCCCGCAACAACGTGGGCGGGCGGTTTTCGTACTCGTGGGGCTCGAACCCCTGGACGAACAAGTGCTTTTCCGCCGGGACGATGAAGATCTGGAGGGACAGCGTTTGCACCAAGGGTTTGTCGGGCAACTGGGGGATCAACGTCAGCGCCAGCGGCGACGACGCCGGCGCCCCCGGCAGCGGCGCCAAGCGGGCCGCGGGGAACAACGGGCTCGAGATGTCCATGGGTCGTAGCGGCTAAAGAGACCGGTATAAGACGGGCGAGCTCGAGAAACAAACGCTTATATCAAAAGAGCTCGTTCCCGGGGTAGGCGGTGTGGTGGGGGGATGTGGAAAAACCAAAATCGATTGCTCATGCGCACCGAGGCAGCTTCGGCCCGGACAATGGGCCTGCGCCTAGCAGACAGCGACAGCGCCCAGAGAGCCGTGTGCGGAACTCCATGCACACTCCACAAAACAGTGCAGTAAGTGGTGTTGTGAAGCCCATTACTAATGGCGCTGGTTAGAGTAGAGGGTGTTCTAAGTGGTTTTACGCGGTGGGTGTCGATCCCGGCAGAGCTAGATGGCTTACAGCGGGCGGACATACAGGCGTGCCGCAGGGTGCGGTGAGCGGTGAAAGCGCCGCTTCCGTCGCAGCGGTGCGAGCGCAGTGTCGGTGTAGCGGGGTTTTCAGCGCCGGGCAGGATGACTCGCCCAGACGGGGCCTGGCAGCCCTTGGGTTAGGCGCCTTAATCACTAGGGGGAGTGACAGCAAACCACGCGGGTGCCACAGCGGGGAGGGCTGCGATAACCGGAAAGTAGCGAGGGGGAGGTGATCGGCCATAGTTGCTTTTGTGTGGAGAAAGGTGTCATCGCGACATCGCCCCGACGGGGGCGCCGGGCCCGCTCCACCCCCGGGGATAACCTATTTACTGGAAGGTGTGGTTGTGATGTTTAGGGGCTGGTAGAGCGGTGGGGTGGTAGGGCTGACGGGTGGGGAGAAACGGGGTGTCTTTGGTTATCGGAGCCACCCTACATGGCTTATCGCAGAGGTGTCACCGTTAAAGTGGGGCGCTAGCGGCGCTCTGGGGCGTGTGGCGCGCACAACTTGACTGATAGGGCGACTGTAGTGGGTGCGCAGTGCTGCTGGGACAGGCGGCCTAGGCGTAGGCGTAGGCGTCGGCGAAGAGTCAGGCGATCCACGTGCCTGGAGGCGAAGCCCCCTTCTTCGGGGCTTAAGGGGAATTTATCATTACTGAACTACTTTAAAGCTGAATATCTGAAACAGTACCCCGTGTCTATTGTTTACTAAATGGCTGAGATATGGCGGCGTTATCTCGTAGATCTTGGATGGATGATCGATCGTTTCGGGAATATCAGCACAACTAGAAAAAAGAAAATAGTGAGAGAAAAAAGAAAACCTACGATAGTGATCTATCGCCTGGTTACCGTGCCCTGGGCTGATTACGACCTCCCCAACGAATGTTGTGTGTCTTTTTTTTTTCGAGTGAGGGGGAGAGACGAAGGACGAAAAAGGAATAACACGAGAAGTGCCGTGCGGGTTAGAGTTATTCCTTGCCATAGAAGGGGCGGGGGGGTACAGTCGCCGTATGTCTTGCCGCACAAGCGGCTAAAAGTTTATCCGAAACTTCCGTAGTGTAGAGTTTTACCTGGGGTTGACTCGTGTGAAAAAGACACTAACTTCTCACTATGGCCAGATAGCATTAGAAGAACTGATGTGAGAGTAGTGGTAGACACTATATCGTTAAATTCTTTGTACTTTTCACCTATTCGGATCCTAAAATAGGGGCAGAGTGGAAGTTGCCGGGGGGCTTATTTCTTAATTTTTATTTTGGTTTTGGAAATTTGCTATCGCAGTCGGATCATTTCGATTGCGCCTGCCGTTCCGTTCTTTTTTGGTAACCGCCCAAATGGTAGCGCGGCGCCTCATCGCTCCCCAGTTTAATCAGTACCGGTTATCACACGAGATGCACCCTCGCTTACTACTACGAACACCGGCTGTCAGGTTATGGCAGTCCCACCGGACGCTCCGGGCGTCGCCCCTCAAACTGTTCGCTGAAGACATGGACGCGTGGATGCCGGTCAACACCGTCAAAGGGTGGGTGGTGATCCCCCAAGTGTGTCTTCTCGGACCCCACACCGTCGACGAATTGAACCGCCATATGACTGAAGACCCTAATTTTAACCTAGATCAGTGGATCAACTCCACGTTTGCCATCGCCCCGAAGCTGGGACGCAAAAAATGGCAACAGATGGCCCTAGAGTTGAATGCGAACGAGTTTGATGGCCAGCAATCGGTGATGGAACAACTCCGGAAAAAACTGGGTAAATTCCAACGTACTCGAGACGAGAACGGTAAAGCGGTAGTGTATGGTACTCCGACATTGCAGCACGGGTACTACTATTATGTGGTCAAAAACCGCGACCCTAAGGAGCCGTTAAAGGACGTTCAAGCCCGCTGGCGTGAATTGGAGCCAGCCGAGAGAGACCTGTGGGTCGAAGATTATAAGCAGTTACTCGCGCTGGGATTCGACGTCAGTGGCTCGAAAATCATCACCATTGAGGAGAGGGTGGCGGAGGATGAGAAAAAGAGAGATCAGCTTCTCCGCCGTCAACAAGCAAAAGCAGCCTCAGCCGCAGCCGAGAAGGCGCCCTCGGATTAACTTCTGTATATATATCAATATCGAGGCTTTGTGTTGTGGTGGCGGCTGACCCCACCTGCCTCGATGACACCTAGGGTTACCGACTCGGACTCGGAGTGCTTAATCCCGGAGTAGGTGAGAGGCTCACCCAACCTCTCTCACGATAAAACAAGAAAATCAACACAGCATTGGTAAAATGGCACTTAGACTATAACCATGAATTGATAATGCTTATCTGAAATTAAAGAGTGTATATTAATAGTGGGAGGTTAGCCGCTAGGGGTGTCTCAGTTTTATTTTCGCTGCACCGATGTTTTAAAAATTCACTACGCGCGGAAGCGGACGTGAAATGCCGTAGATAAATTCTAAGTTAGCTCCCAACCCCATTTCAGATTTAATCACGCAAGCGGGGATGAGTGGCCACCAACACCTACAACCATATCAACACATTGTAGGAAGTTATTAGGACACCGTCGTAAGCGGCCGACCTCGGTTGATCGATTGTGACGCCTGTGATCACGTCGTTAGCGACCTCATCCACCGTTTTCCTTTTACCCGAGCAGTACCCCGGAAACAGGCTAATCGTCACGTGAAAGCAACTTACCACACAGGCATCTACTGCCACCAGGGAACGGCTTACCCGACCACCAATGGCTCTAATTTCACCGTAATCAACCAAAATGTGGATAGTAATCTTCTCTAGTTTCGTGTGGTAGTTAATTGCTCGTGGTCTCGGCGTTTTGCTCTGGCTATCTCCCCTAAATTGCCGCCATGTGATTCCTCGGTTGTAGGCGCGCCGCCGACACACACCCCCAGAATAAATAAAATCTACTCCGGAGAAGAGAAAAAAAGATTTGAATATTCTCCAGAACTTTTCCGTGGTGATGTCGTTGCAACTCATTTTGGACCACCCCACATTCAACAAGACCCTCAGATTTTTGGACACCACCCCTAAGCGGGAGAAGACCTACCGGTTGGTCGCCTACCTCTCTCGGTTCTTGTCTTACTACTTGCAAAGACAAGGGTTTTCCCCTGAGGCGGTCGCCACCTGTATCTCGGTGAAGAACAATGTCTCCACTATCAGAAAAGCTATGAGATTCGGCAAGCCGTTGTGGCACATCAGAGACGCCTCCAAGGTGTACCGCAACAAGAACTTGGCCTTCAGATGGCTGCAGATCTTCCGCAACTTGTTCTACGCCGGCTACTTGACCTGCGACGGGCTCGTGTTGCTTAAGGCCATTGGCATCATCGACAAGGGTAAGCTCCCCAACGTCGGCACCTGGGCCGCCCGCTTCTGGTTGCTCGGGGTCATTTCCAGTTTGCTCGGTGGCATCCAAAAGGTCGTCAGCTACAACAAGTTCAAGAAAGAATTGAGACAAGAAGAAAAGGACTTGGACAAGCTCAAGGCCGTCAACGAAAACTTGTACGTCGCCAAGCGCAAGATTGTCTGGGACTTGTTGGACGGGTTCATTGCTTTGAACACGTTGAAGTACTTGAACTTCACCGAAGGCGACATCGGTTTGGCCGGTGTCATTACGTCGCTCATGGGCTTGACCGATATGTGGCGTGCCACCGCCTAGGCGGGGTCTGTTATGCGAGTTCAGACGACTGTGTATACTATATTATATTGCAAACTTCTAGTGACGACCATAAACAAGTAGCTACCACCATTGGCCATAATTGGTCATAATCATTTCTATCTTGTCTCAATAGATGACATTTCTATACGATTCAAGTTCCAGTGGTTTCATTGAGATTCAGATTTCATTGACAGTGTGACTCCAACAAATCTTGGATCTCTTTCAAAGTCAAGTTCCAGTGGAAGTCATCTTAATGATGATTCATAGTTCTTTACTTTACTGAGTCAGATTCGACTTTCCCTCGGCGAAGCCGTGATAAAAGCCACGCCAGTACCATTCCATTGCCACTCGTTTCACCTCCTGCTTAAACTTATCGCCATCTTCCACTCCATCAAGAAATTGGAGCAACTCCAGGTTGTCGATCGTCCCCACTACTTCATCATCGTTAATAGCAGTAGGTGGCATTACCTTGTCGTTACCAGTGGAAGATGACGGATTACCAGTAAAGGTAGTAGTTGTGGCATTGTCAGCATCTTTATCTTGAGTTGTTGTTTGTGGCTTGGACACCACGACGCCAATCTCCGGGTGTTGCTGGTAGTATGAATCCCTAAGGTCGTTCCATGCTTCGCGAATGGCTCCACTCATCCCGGCGGTTCGTCGCGCACCTCTCGCACTGATCGCGCGGAGGCTCCATGGATGTAATTCAGTGAACCACAAATATAAATTTGAGACATCAACTGAGAATATCAGTTTAGCATGAAACACTAGGCCTATTAAACAACAAACAAAAGAGTTCACTTATGGCATTGAAAAAATTCACGCAATTGAGTCTAGTATACAATGTTGTCTCATAAAAGAATCAAATCAGTGATATTCACCCAATGCAGCGACGGTATCAGTATGCGGTGCCAGGCACCGAGAATATGTTTGCAGTTGCCTCCAAACCCCGTTCCAACATTGCCTCACGTATGGCATGTATACCCACGTACCATTACCACTGGCTCTCCAGTACGGTGGCATCATCTCGCGTGCGAACGATTGCAGCATAAACATTAGGTATAACTCCCGGCTTAACTCTAATACCGTATTGCCACTATAAATAGCTAACTACCGTATTATGAATCACCATAAAACCTTGTTTTGGTTTCGTACCTTTTATTTACTAACACGCCAGCCTGTAGCTGATCCATTGTTTAGTGTAACCAATTGTCTAATGTCTCAATGTACGTACACACGACACGTATCGCAAAACAATACTTCTGCGGGGGAAAATGCTTGGAACGAGCGACCGGCAAGCTGACGTCGGCGTTGCATTCCAGATAGCGCCGACGCCGCCCCCTCGGATATTAATAGTGTGGCGCCAGATTACCCGAACCACGTCCATTTCTATAATTGGGAAGTCGTCATATCGTCCAATGTATACCATTCTCTTCTCTCTTTCACTGTTTTGTTTCGCCTCTGTTTTATATCTGTTTCATTCTACCCGTGCTGTTGTCTAATGAATGTCTATTAATGTTTATGATTAAATGCTTACTTTGCTCTCCTCCTTCAACTTCTTCAACCACTGGACGAATTTGGACCCGCGCTTCTTCTTCTTCTCGACAGAGTCGGCCTGCTTTTGCGCCTGGGCGTGGGTCTGGGCGAGCAGCTCCAAGTTCACCAGCTTCGCCTTGATGTGGCGCGTTTGCGACAGCGTCTGCGGGCGCCGACGGGGCACGTCGATGTTGCTGGTGGACTTCGCTGGCAGCGTTGGGTATCGCGCCTGGGTCCGTTGCGGCGGCGTCTGCGGCGGCGTCGGCACCAGTTTCGGCGCCGGCGGTGTTGGTACCAGCGAGACACTGGTCACCAGTCCCGAGAGCTGGGGCGTCGTCGGCTTAACTGGCGGGCGCGGCGTCGGCGCCTCTTCCAACATCGTGCTGTCGGTCAGCGACAGCAGCACGTTGGCCAGCTCCGACACCACGATCAGCGGCGTCGCCAGCACCACCGTCAGCAGCGGAGCCGCCAGCGGCGGCCGCAACGTGTACTCGCCTTTAGGCGTAGGCGGGTCGTACTCGGTGATGTCGGTGGCCAGGTTGGAAATGACCTCGCCCGTGTGGTCCAGGTGGATCAGCACCGGCGACGAGCTGTAGTTTTTCGACAACCGCAGCGACCCAAGCCCCAGCATCGCCATCAGCGACGTTGGAGTGAACTTAGGTGCCAGCGCGAGCGGCGCCGGGATCGGCGGTGCCATCGGCGGCGAGTGGCGTCGAAGCTCAACAAACCGCGGCACGCGACGGTCGGTGCCGGCGGCCAGCGCCAGTTTGAGCAGCGGCAACAGCGCCAGGTGGCCGAGAAACCGGTCCTTAGGGGCGAGGAGCTGCGCCACTGGGGGAGCGAGACTGCTGTTGGGCGTAGAGCCCCCCAGCTGCAGCGTGGTGCGAGTTAATGGGATCAGGTCCAGCAGCGCGTTGCGCATGGCGTTGGAGATGCGGTTCAGTTGATCGTAGAAGATGGAGTAGCGCGGGGCCATGGCGCCCAGGCGGCGCCGACGGTGAACCATGGTGGGCGGGGGGGTCGTCGACCCCTTGACGGAGTCGCGGCTCAGATTAGCGCTCCACACCGGCGCCGCCTGCGACGACAGCTTGGTGAGCGAGGTCGTCAGCGACAGCGCCAGGCCATGCAGATAAACGTCTTGGTTGGGCGGCGGCAAGTAGTACTCGTCGACCAGCGCCGCGTCGTCGATGCTCACTTCGTGGCGGGCGTCGGCATCGTCGTCTTCTTCCTCGGCGATGGCGTCCTCGCGGTGGCCGATGGGCGACGACGTGAGCATCAGCTGATTCAGCAGCAGCGTCTTAAAGAATGGCAGCGCCAAAAACACGTCTTCAGCCGCGAGGGCGAGTGGAGCGCCGCCGCTGAAACTGGGGCCGCTGGCGCCGGTAACCAGCGCTGCTGATTCCAGCGCCCTGAGGATTTCGTCCAAGTCGATCGTCCCCAGTTTCGGGGTTAATGCAGACGCCGGGGGCTCGATGTAGCGCGGGCGCTGAGCCAGCAGCGATGAGCGCGTCCGGCGGTGAGAGCCGGGGTGGCCGAGGCGGATGGGCAGGTTGAGCGCCAGGGTCAGCGCCAGCGCCGGCGCCGGCGCCATCGGGAACAGGAACTCTGAGGGCTTGGTGGCGAAGTCGTCGAGGTTATTAAATGGTTCGTGGTCGCCGTCGGTGGGCGGCGGCAGTGGCGGCGCCAGCGCCGGGGTCTTGGCGACTGGGGGCAGGAAAACAAACCCCTGGGCGTCAAAGTCGCCCAGGATCGCCGCCAGGCGGCGGTGGCGGTGGCGGCGGACGCCGGGAGAGAGGTGGGTGTCCATACCTGAAGCTCGCTGCCAAACACTGGGGAGGGGGTACCGATGACCGAAAAGGAGTGACTGGAGTGGGCAGGGAGATTCGGAACGACGGGTATATGAAGTGGGGGGGCGGGCTTTGCGGGAGGCAACACTGACGGGTTGGCTATAGGGCTCAGCAAAGGGGGGTCGGTCCGAGAGGCTCTCCAGGCATGTAGTAGAGGCAGAACTCGCCGCGGGTGGGAAGTGGGCGCTTGAAATAATCCGCGCTCCTCCTCCAAATTTAGATTTTGCCGGGGGGCGACAAAAATATTCCGCGACCCCGTTCGCTTGCAGCTGGGGGCGGAACGAGTAGCAGGGTGGTGCTGGGGCCAGTGAAACGCCCCCCCAGGGTGGCTGGAGGTGGCCTCAGTGGTATGTGGCTAATCCTTGATGGTCTGCTGTTGTTATTAGCTTAGTACCACCTTCTTTTGGTGCTGTATTTGGGCCCCTCGTGGTCGGATATATCGTCGCGACACTGAGTGCATTGTTGAGTAATTTTGGGTTGCCACCGCGTCGCCCAGTAGAGGCAGCACACGCGTTGGCCGCTCTGCCCCCAAGCGTAAATTACGGGGTGTCGAAGATAATAAAAGTGCCAAAACTAGGTGGTTGCTTACGGCACTCGGTGGCTGAAGGGTGAGGGCTAGCGAAATACTCGGGGAGTGGACCCTTACATCCTAGCGACGCCGGGCGATGAGTACACCTTACACTGCCAGCAAATGCTAAATTTTGTGGCGACATTCGTCCCCCACGAGATAATGATGCTGTCTGCTGGTGTCGCTTAGATTAGGCTAGCGCATTTGTTACCCCCCAGCTGTCTCCATCACAACCCGTACCCCCTGTTTTGTCGCTGTTAAGTGGGGCGATGCGTGGCGCTCAAGCCAGGCAGGCAGGCAGGTATTAGCGGTAGCCGCGGAAGGATTATTTTGCGGGTTAGCGTCAACGGTCTTGGAGGGGGGTGGACAGTTGCTGGATATATTGGTTTGGTGCCATTAGCAAAAGGGTTGAGCGTCCCTGTCCTCGTAAACCACATTTAGTGGCCACTGCGACCACGCGCTGGCGACCCTCGTGGCCATCACCTCTCACAGAACCGCGCGGCTGCTATCGTGTGTACCGCGGCTAAACACGAGCCCTGGCTGATTAAAATTAAAAATACACCGCTGAGTATATTAATCACATCGGAGTCGGGGTATAATTAGAAGGTACCAGGGTCGAATACGAACTTTACCACAACACACGGCGTCACCCGTCCCAGGGCCTCCGCTTCCGGTGCAGTCGCCACTTTCGGGACTGCCGAGCCAGCGTCAGGCAGTGGACAATTTCTAAATCAGTTAATTCCTCATATTAGCTTCATTCCCCCCCGCCCCTCCCACCCAAACAATTGACAATAGAACCTAAACGGCACTGATGAAAATCTGGGCAGGCCGACACTAGCCGTTTCATGTCCAATTTCACTTGCCCCTCTATCGGATAGATCATCGACCATGACGTACGACTCTTAGACGCACGCCGTACGTCGCTGCCGGCATTGCTGCTGCTTCTCTCTGATGTCAATTGGCCAAACGTGGTGCCTGCAAAGCGGTCCACCCCAAATAACCCTTTGGTGCCTCGATACAGACGTCGGCTGACAATATCCATCACTTGCAGAAATACATCACCCTCGGCTGCGTCAACTCGACATTGTGTTTCCCTTCCACTTAGCCCCGGGCACAGGGTGCGTGGATGTAGTCCTCACGAAATTTACCCAAACGGGAGGAGGCGCGCGTGTCTAGGGGCAGCCCCTGGTGGCTAAGATTTTTAAGCCAACCTCATCGCGAGCCGCCCTTTAGCAGGTGGCGATGTGGGAGTACGTGGTTCTAATGGAGAAACCTTTATTGACGGCAATAGGCGTAAAACTAAAGTATTCTTTTGTTTGGTTGACCACTCTATAGGGGTTAATGCCCGCAGTCGGCTCGCTGCACGGTATTGTCTGCTTGAACCCTGGAGACCCTTGCCGGTGACGCTTTCGGTAAATTTGTTGCGGCGGCAACGGCCACAAAACCAGCGCTCGTGTAGCCTAAAGGTGTCGGACCCCTGCTTTTCTTTCTAATCAATTGAATGCACCCGCCGCCTCGAAACCGTTGACATTCCCTAAAGTCCCTTTCGGGATTGCTACCGGCGGTTATTGGTGCGATGTCGTACCGCACGCCTATAGTTGTCGATTTCTAACTTGCCACTCCAGCGAGCACGCGACTTTTGTGGTGAATCTCGTACTTTATCTTTTATTAGGTGGTGCCGGCCGGGTTTCTTTTTCACGTGCTAAATAACGTCACTTCCGCATGTTTTTTAATAATGTCAAGAGAAAAACATCTCCACATGAAAACTTCCTCATTCAGTTAGCAGCTTCAGCAGGGGGTGGCACCTCTCAAGCAATTACAGTCGCGGTCAGCGGGAACAAGGGGCAAAGCACGCTCAGCCAGCATTCCAACTGTACCTGGGGAAATAAGGTTCAAGACGAGCCAGAGAAAAAAAAGTCGTGAACTGACGACGCATATCTACCTTAAACCTACAACCACCCACAGATTCCAGCTATAAATAAAATGGCTGGCTAAACTTCGCGAGCTAAACTAAGATCAGTATGAGAATCTATTTCCATTATGTCGTTACTCTATAAAATTACTTCTTGCCCTTCTTTTTGGCAATTCTTCTTAACGCCCGCGATTCGTTCTTAGACACCCCGTCCACCATCTTATACTTACCCTTAATCCCGCGAGGCCGGCCGGAAAGCCCCCGGTTGGAACCAGACGCCTTCACCACCGTCACCTTGGGCTTAGTCTTCTGCTTCTTGGTGAACTTGCGCATCAATCTCGAGATCTCGTCCAGCTTGTCGCGCTCCAGCATCGCCAGGTCTTCGTTAATAAGATCCAGCTTCTTCTTGAGCTTTTCCAATCTCCGCAACGCCCGCATCTTCTTCCGCCCTTGAGCTTCCAACACCTTCTTGATGGGACGAGCATTGAGCTGCTTCTGCTTCTCCTTGATGGCGTTGGCCGCTTCCTTAGTGATGGGCTTAATGATCTTCGAGTGACGCTTTTCGTCCTCAACAAACCATGACGGTAAGTTGTCGTGGTCACGGAACGAGTACTTGTTGATCCCTTCGTTGATAAGGTCGTGCTTGTTCATCTTGCCGAGAGCCACCTGGTGAGCCAACGTCATCGCCTCCACCGTGGCCAAGTCCACCTTGTCGGCGTGCAGAGACTTATCGTAGTGGTCGTCAACGTCCTCATCCTCCAGGTCAGAGCCTTGAGGACCAGCTTGGTATTCGCGCTCGCCGTCAACCACTTCAAAGTCCAGATCTTCGCTGTCATCGGCATTTTCCGTGGTGGTCTTGGAGCCGTTACTGGTACCGTTGGCAGTCAATTCCGTGGCCGTAGCAGTAGCAGTGGCCAGAGCATTGTCCTTGCCCTTGGTCATTTGTGCAAGCAACGCGTCATCGTCAACCCCGTTGAACACGTCGTTGGCAGCAAAGAACATCTTGGCATTCTTCGAGAGATTATTGCGGTGGTTGGCGTCGACAATACGCTGGATGTGTTCGTCGTCGTCAGAGTCAGAGAAGTCCAGGTCGTCATCTTTCAAGCCCCGGTCATCTTCTTCGTCCTCCAGCTGGATCCCGTCCCACGCCTCGTCGTCGTCGTCACCACGAGCCTGCTTGGCCCGGTACTTGGCGTCGCGCTCGGCCCGACGCTCCTTGTATTGGGAGTACATGTCGTCCAACTGAGCTTCGAGCCCGTCGAGCTCATCCCCCAGGTTGGCCTCGGCGGCGGCGAGGTCCTCGTCGATGTGGATGTCGTTGTTGAGGTTGACTTCGGCGTCGTCAAGCACCATCCGTTTTTTACCCGCCAGCAACTTGTCGATGATCCCCGTCTTCTTCGCCGTGTTCAAATTGAACAAGGTCTCGGCACCGATGTTGGCCGCTTCTAAACCAATGTTCATATCGGTCAACATATTCATCTGGTTACGGACGATTTCCTTTTGCTTAGCTTCGTTGGCATGTTTCTTCTCCCGACGACGCTTTAATCTTTGCTTCTCTTTGAGTTCTTGAAGTTCACGGTCGATCTTTTCCTCTTCATCTAATTCAACTTCCTCAACTTCCACCTTTTCCTCGACGTCAAGACCTAACAATTCACGCGCCTGTTTGCGGAACCGCAAGATCTGTTTAAAGTCCTTTCTCCCCAACACTTTAAGATCCTTTAAGCACTCTAAAAGTTCAGGGGTACAAGTCTTAAGCTTGCGGAGTACTCGCCACTGTACCACGTCTTCATCCTTATTCTCTTCATCTTTAATCTCTTCTCTCAGCGGAATCACAAGCTTATTAAGTCCACCCAACTGATTAATAGGGTCATCTTCACGGATGAAATCCATCATCTTTTTTTCATGGTACAATAAGTTGTCGCCTTCTTCGTACCCGGTACGATGACGCTTCTTCACTTCGGGGTTAAACACCTTAGCTTCGTTGTTAACGGTTTCTTGACCCAACTCTTCAAATACTTCCTTAGGGTCCAACAATCTCGGGTCAAGCTTCTTCGGCGCCTTGAACCCCCGACACACCACGAAGATTTCTGCGGAAACGTTACGCGACGCCGGCGGCTTGGTGGCCTCGACTTTGTCGAATAACTGCTGGAACACCCACATCAAGTTATTGTAGTCCCGCGACCGGAAAATCTTGGTGACAAAAGTACCCCCGGCGATCAAGTTTTCCACCGCCAATTTAAGGGCTTGCAACGTCAACTGCGACTGAGTGAACGCATCTTGCACCCACCCAAGACCCACATTGGGAGCACCATCGTGCAACACGGTATCGGCCTTCCACGTCTTGAGATGACCGCGCAACTTAGACCGACAGTCTTCAGTAGTGATATCTGACTGGAAAGTGATACAGTTGGGGAGTGGCTTGATGGGCACGATATCGACCCCGATGATGAGCGAGTTGATCGGACACAACAGCGACGCCACCTGACACCACGACCCGGGGGCGGCACAAAGATCGATGACGACCTTGGATTTCTCGAGGAAGTGGCCGTACTTCTCGTTGATCTGGATGATCTTGAACGAGGACCGGGCACGGTACCCCTTCTCCTTGGCAAGGTAGTAGTACTTATCCAAACGCCCCTTGGCGTTCTTTTTCGATATCTTCCCCATGGCCCGCTACAGGATGAGATGTTCGCGCCGCGATGAGATAGAGGCCTTCGGGAGAGCTCGTCCTGCAGGTAAATGCAGTAAAGAAAACCGCAGTTCTCGTCGTTATCAAAAGGAGAGGTAATGCGTCACGTGAGAAATCGACCCATACTCTATAGTTGCCGCCACCCAATACCTGCTCCAAATACCATCAATTGCGAGTGATTGTGCAAATTATCAATTATTCCATTGAATTGAACGTTGCCACTACTCATTTAATCGGCAATTGTTTTTGTTTATATTCATTTTTACCATTGTTTCCCTTGATTCAATTTGAGACATGTCGTCGGTGCTTAAAGGAACACCCAAGGAATTGTTAACTAAGTGTCGCCAGTTGATTCAACCCCTCAATGCCAATTTCCATAAAGGTATGGCTGGTATCATCACCGTGATCGGCGGGTGTGCTGATTATACGGGCGCCCCCTATTTTGCTTGCCATGCTGCCGCTGCTACTGGAGCTGATCTCAGCCACGTCATCTGTGAACGGCGAGCGGCTCCTGTGATTAAAGGCTATACTCCTGATCTTATGATACACCCATATCTTAGAGACTTAGAAGGCCTGGGCCTTTCTGATGAAGATATTCAACGCATTGAAGATACTGACTTAGAAAAAGTTTTAACCGATAACCAAATCCGTGACATCATCGATAATCGAGTGATGCCTCGCCTCGAGACGTTGCTTCACCGACTGGACGTGGTGGTGGTGGGCCCGGGGTTTGGTAGAGACAAACTCATGTTGGCACTGTTAGTGCGGATTATCGAGGAAGTCAAAGTGCTTAATAAACCAGTGATTATCGACGCCGACGCCTTATACTTGTTGCTGCTTTATCCTAAGCTTGGCGCTTATAACCGGGCGGTTCTCACCCCGAACGTGGTGGAGTTTGCTCGCCTCGCTAAAGCGATTAAAGTCGACGCCGGCGACCCCGACCAGCCGGATCTGGTGGTCACTGCTACCCAAAATGTCAGTCGAGCCTTAGCGGGCGCCATTGTTGTTCGCAAGGGACCCTATGAGGTCATTGCCTCGAGTGAAGGCCATCTCATCAATGACCAAAAAGGGCTGCCTCGTCGTGTCGGCGGTCAAGGCGATACCCTTGTGGGGATTACGGCGACGTTACTTTGCTGGTCAAACCACTATATGGACCTGAAATGGGGTAATAAAGTCGAATTCACTCACGACGAAGCCAACATCTTAGCGATCTACGCCGCCGCCAACATGGTGAGAGTAGCCTCAAGAAAGGCATTCGCCAAGTACGGACGAGCCATGCAAACTCTGAACGTCCACCAGTTTGTCGGGGAAGCCTACACTGAGATCTTTGGCGACGCCGCCACTTTGTGATAGCAATACATGTCTTTAGGTTTTACAATTATGCAATTCGCAAGCGCCATGATCGTCATATGCAGAACCACGTATACCTGCCAACATCACTCAATTGAATATAGCGTCGAACCCTGTCAGTTTTTCTTCCTATACTTTGTATTTAGCAGCCCAGTATTCTCTCCGTCTCAACAATTTTCTATTTTCTCGTGAGTTGTTTCTTATTTGTTTTTGTGTCTTTTTTCAACGGCGGCGCCACCCGCCGCATCTCCACAAGCGCACGTCAACCGCAGTCGCGACGTCTCGAATAATCCCCATGAATGGCACCCTGACGAAACGCCCGCTCGAAGGCGACCACGCCGACGAGCCGGAGCTGGTGGCGCTGGTGGAGGTGAATGCTATCGTCGCCGAGCCCGAGGAGAAGCGGATAAAGCTCGAGGACGACGACGTGGTGGGGCTGGACTCGGCCGCCGACGACAATACCGCCATCGTCCCCGTGCGAGATCCCGACCTCTTCTACACCCCGCTCCGTACAGGGTTGGTCTACGACGTGAGGATGCGGTACCACGCCAAGATCTTCACCCTGTACTTCGAGTACATCGACCCCCATCCCGAAGACCCGCGGCGGATCTACCGTATCTACAAACGACTTGCTGAGGCGGGGCTCATCACCGACCCCAAGCTTGCCGGTATCGACGATATTGGTCCGTTAATGGTGAAAATCCCCGTCAGAGAGGCTCTCGCCGACGAAATTCTCCAGGTGCACCTGGAAGACCACCTCAAATATATCGCGCTGACGGAGCTGATGACCCGCGACCAGTTGCTCGAAGAGACCGAACGAGGCGACTCAATCTACGTCAACAACGATAGTTACATCCTGGCTAAGCTCTCGTGCGGAGGTACCATCGAAGCGTGTAAAGCAGTGATCGAAGGCCGCGTGAAAAACCTGTTAGCCATCGTGCGTCCTCCAGGTCACCACGCCGAACCAGAAACTCCCGGTGGGTTTTGTTTATTCTCGAATGTGGCGGTAGCAGCCAAGAACATGCTCTCGCGATTCCCAGAGCTGGTGCGCCGGATTGTTATCGTTGACTGGGATATTCACCATGGTAACGGCACGCAAAAGCTGTTTTGGGACGACCCCAGAGTTTTATACATCAGTCTTCACCGTTACGAGAACGGTAAGTTCTATCCTGGTACCAAATACGGTGGAGCGGATATGGTGGGCGAGGGTGCCGGTGAAGGTTATTCATTAAATATCCCTTGGAACCAAGCTGGGATGACCGATGCCGACTACGTTTATGCGTTTAATCGGGTCATTGTCCCTGTAATTGGTGAATTTGACCCTGATTTGATCATTGTCCTGCTGGGGTTCGACGCTGCTGATGGTGATATCATCGGTGGCTGTCACGTCACCCCCACCGGCTACGGAGCCATGACTCATATGCTTAAAGGTTTAGCTCGCGGAAAGATTGCCGTGATTCTCGAAGGTGGTTACAACTTAGAATCGATTGCTAAGCTGGCGCTCGGAGTCGCTAAAGTACTCGTGGGTGAACCCCCTGATAACACTATCAGCACCCAACCGAGTGCCGACGCGGTGGAAGTTGTCGACATGGTGATGAAGATCCAGCTGAAATACTGGAAGTGCTTGCGTCACGGTATTCCTGACCATTCGTTTGACGATGTGTTTGATGTTGGTGTCGAGAACGCCGGTGAAACTAATGTTAACCAAACCGCACCTCCCTTGAATGTTGCTGACTCGGTGCGTCGCAGTCAGCACTTCGATCTCAGTCAACGCTATGGGTTTGTCTCGGTACCGATTGTGGCTAACTTGGCGGTGGACGAAATTGGCAAGGGTTTCTTCACTTGCGATTTGCCCACCAACTTGGATGAGGTAGTGCTCGCTACCAAGAACGTCTACGATAGCGAAATTTTGGTGGTCAACATTCACGACCCTCCTGAAGTGTGGGCCAATATCAATCCGGTCAACGGTACCATTGAGCCTAACCTGCTGGTGGTGTTGCTGTACCCTATGACGACGCTTATAGATCGGGTCAACAAAGAAGTTGAACCATCATTAGCCCTGACGGTGGGCTATATCGATATTGACATTCCGCTGTTCCCGGTGACGCTCCCTGGTCCCCTGGGGGCTCTGACACAAGCCAGCATGCTGACATATAACCCGCAAGTATTTGCACTGGATCTCCTAGTGTATTTGTGGGACAACTTCTTCGCTTACTTCGGCCTGTTGAAGAAATTGGTGTTTGTCGGCTACGGTGATTGTTATCAGCTGATTGTCCATTTGTACGGCAAGCGGCCGCTGCTGGAGATCAAGGACTTGGTCCGTGCCACGGTGGCGTTTGTCAACCGCACCCCGCTTAAGCTGTTGGTGCCAGTAATGGATGAGCTGTTAACCGAATGGTTCTATCAAAACAGTGTGATTTTTACGCTGAGTCAGAACCCGTGCTGGCAACTGACTAAAGACACTGAAGAAAAACGGCCCCGGCGCCGGTTTGGTCGGGTGCTTAAGCTGAAAAGTGACGGTCTCTTCGACGTGGTCACGGAAAAGTTCGACGAAGGGTGTGACTTTTTGTTAGACGCCATAGAAGAGTAGAAAATATTGTACCAGTATGTACTAATGATAATGCCCAAAATTCTCAATTACAGAATTAACTGTTATGGTACCAGTCGCGCAATGTTACCCTGGCACCAAACAAAGTTCACTCACCAAACAAAATTTAGCTCACGAATTGACCACCAGATCATAAAATAATTCACTTAAAAACACCATTAATCACCTCAATCACTTAATATGTTGTTTCAAAATTTTCCACTTTCGATTGCCAAAGACACGTCCACTCGCATTTTCTTCGACACCTTCCGCACACATCGACATGGTATACACGTCGCCCTCGGTGGTCATCGACAACGGCCTGTACAAGACCCGGGCGGGGTTCCTGCTGGAGGATATCCCCCTGGTGGTGTTCAATTCGAACTACGTCGTCGACAACGGCACCGTGCTCTTTGGCGATGACAACATCAACGCCCACCCGCAAGCTGAGGTGATGACGGTGATGGACAACGGCGTCATCTACGACTTCGAACGCATCGTCCACAACTGGGAGTACGTGTACAACACCATCGACAACGGGTCCGGGGTCAAGCCCAACGAGTACCCGTTGGTGTTGACGGAGCCTTGCTGGAACACCACCAAGGACCGGCTCCGCACGTGTCAAATCGTGTTTGAACAATTCCAGGTGCCGTTATTCTCGTTGATCAAGACCCCGCTAAGCCAGCTTTACCACGCCGGCAAGCTGACGGGGTTGGTGATCGACATCGGCTCCAGCGTGGCCCTGGTGACGCCCATTTTGGACGGCATCATCCAGACCAAGAGCGCATTCCACTCAAAGTACGCGGGCGACTTTTTGAACCTTCACTTATCGGCTTACTTGGACACCAAGTGTCCGTTGGACTCGTTGTTGCCGGCGAAATACTCGACGGCATCGCCTTCGTTCAAGCAATACTACGTGCTGCACCACCTCCTCCAGGACTACAAGATGTTGTCAATTTCGTCGTTATACAACCTGCAACCCCTCAACTACTTGCAGTTGCCGCTGGGTGACCACATCGCCGTCAATGATGCCCCCAACGTGCTACAAAACTTGTTCCAACCGGGTGTAATGCAAGTGCCGGGAGTGGAGATTCCTCAGCCTCTGGTGGATAAGCCTCACACCCACGGGCTCACCAACTTGGTGTTCCTTTGCCTTAAGCTGTTGGAGTCGGCTATGTTGCCTCTGGATAACACTCAGGGAAGCGCCAAGTTCGCCCGGTTCAACGAGACCTTCAAGACGTTGCTCGCCAACGTCTTAGTCACTGGCGGTACCTCATTGGCCCCGGGGCTCAGCGAGCAAATCCTCAACGATATCCGGGCCCTTACCCCGCAATACTTCCCCAATTACGGTATCAGTCCCTATGCCATCAACCTGGTGTCTCCTAACCAGGCCAACGACATCAACGACACTTGGGAACGCCAGTTCAGTGCCTGGTTAGGCGCGTCGAACTTGGCGCTGATGTTGAACGACCGTAATGAAGAATCTAACCTGGTCAACATCGCCATGGAAAACTGGTTTGTCACCAAGGCCGACTACGAAGAGATGGGTGAAGACTTCATCGTCGAGAGATTTAAGTAATGTGTGCTAATAGCTTTTTTCAAAATAATGTATTATACAGTGGATAACTTGATTCTGATTTTGGGGTAGTTACCTAACTAGTGCATTTTCCGATCTCTTTCCCTTCGGTATGTTTACTAAATTGACGTTTATGCGATTGACCCCTTCGGCTTACTTACTAATGGAGGCTTTTTCCGGAATCTCGACCGTCGTCGGCTACTCTGTTACCTACCCTGGTCCCGATCTGTGTGCAGGAAATCGCCATCGGAGTTGCAGCTGCCCCAGCCGATAGACCTCGGACCTCGCGTTACCCCACAGTGTCTTTTTCCCCATAAATACTTCATCGACCGGTGAACCCGCCACCCCATCTCCAGCAACCATGCCTGAATTGACTGAAGTGAGAAGCCCCATCGACGTGGCCAGCTTGGAAAAATTCCTTGCTAACATCACCCCTGGCGACAAAGTGACGGTGGGGCTCAATGTCCCAAAGTTCACGGCGCCGTTTACCATTAAGCAGTTTAAGTTTGGCCAATCAAACCCTACGTACTATTTGTCTGATGCTAATGGCCAAAAGTTCGTCCTCCGGAGAAAGCCCAGTCCCAACGATAAGTTGGTGCTGAAACTGGCCCACGCCGTGGAACGGGAGTTCTTCCTCTTGCGGGCGATTAACATTTTGAACAGCGAACAACCTGACCCGGTGAAACAAGTGCCTGTTCCCAAAGTGTGGGTGCTCTGTGAGGATGAACTGGTGATTGGCTACGTGTTCTACGTGATGGAGTTCATCGAAGGGCAAATGCTTCGCAGTCCCGAAATGCCCGAGATCGAGCTGGTCGAAGAGAAGAAGCAATACTGGGACGCCATCATGACCACCGCCGCTGCCATCCACATGCTTGATGGTGACAAGTTAATTGATAACCTCCCCAAGGAACACTTCCCTCAGTTCCACAATAAGGAGAAGTTGAAGCTGTCGCTGTATTTCGCTCGTCAAATTAGAACGTTGACCGGGGTCACCAAAGGTCAATCGAAGATTGTCGAGCCTATCCCTCACTTCGAAGAGATTTGCCTGTGGTTGAGTCAAAAGGCCCCTCGTGACCCTGCTAAATTGACCCTCACTCATGGTGATTTCAAGATCGATAATGTATTGTTTGACCCTAAGACCAAAAAGATTGTCGCTGTATTGGATTGGGAATTGTGCACCATTGGTCACCCGCAATTCGATTTGGCTAACTTCTTACAACCCTTCTCAATGCCGAACCACCTCAACAACTTGTTTTACCAGCCGCTCACGACGACGATTGGTAGAGAAAACCCTGAGTCACACAAGCAGGTGGTGGAATTGTTGAAGTTGTATGAAACCAAATATGATGGTAGCTGGGATCCTAAAGACCCCACCAATAACCCCGTTGATTTGAGACCGGTGGGAGATGTGTTTGGCTTATTAAGATTGTGCGTTATCTCCCAAGGTATCGCCATGAGAGTCGAAAAGGGGGTGGCATCGCTGGCTAATGCCCAAGGGTTCGCCCTGTTGTACCCGTACTTGGCCGATCTTGCTATGGAGACTATCGCCTCCAACAAGTCAAAGTTGTAGTCATATTAACCATTTATCTTTGAAATATTCAGTATGATTAATGGAGCTACCAAATGGGGGGTCGAGTGCGTAAAAATGCAATTGTAAATAAGGAAGTTTATCTCCCGTAATAAATTTACTTAACGCAACTACGTGACTATAAAATAACTATATCTGTTTGCATTGTTTTCTTTGCGTGTCATTACTAGGTGACGATTATCAATGTCGGCGACTCGTCGCCTCATCGCACTATGTCTGAATTCGACCCGTTGACTTCCAACACTCGTCCAGCCACGGACGCCTTGATCACCGTGAGAATCATCAAGTCATTCCCTTACCGTAATGTTAAGAATTACGTGATTCCCAAAATCAACCTCAAAGAGACCACCCCCACCCAGCTTTTGGAACAGGTGAAGCAAGCCATCAACACTCAGGGATCGCTCAGGCCCTACCGTAACGTCGAATACGACACGATCAAGGTGTACTACCACCCTCATGAAACGAAGTCGATGAATCTCGTCATCAACTTCGATGACGATGACACCAAAGTGTTGACTTCTAATGATAAGAAAAACACCAATTTATGGGATTTGGGTGTCACTAACGAAACCGAATTATCGGCGTTTGTTTGGGAAGACTACCAGGAGTATAAGAAGAACCCCGAAGACAAGTGGATTTAGACGAATATCGTACAAATGCATTTTAATTCCATAATCTCTATATGAGTATGGTGCCGCCAGGGCACCCATATATTAAGAACCACACTAACCAGTCATCAGTGAACCAAAAATAGATGACCATAATTATGTCACCGTTCCTCCAGGGCCGCTTTTCAAGGCCTCATGCCAAAAATGCCACACTCGACCCCATCGCCGGTACACAGTCAAATGAGTCCACAGGGCAAAGTAGATCCCGATGCAAATGTAAATACCCATGATACTGCCACTTATGAAGATTCGAAACATGGCGTAGATCAAGTCACACAATCCGAGGATAAGCTTCATTAGTCCGGAAACGTCAGCGAAATCAATACCTGACGTAAACACTGGTGCGTAGTCCTCAACCAGGATGATCACCAGTAACGGTGATCGATGAAAGAACAGAGCGTAGACATCCTGGACGATGTTATCCCAAATGATTTCTAGGTAGCCCATGCGTGTACGTTAACCGATGGGGCACAGGCGCGATAACGGTGCGTGTTGGTCACGTGGTGGCATCATCAAGTAAGTTCCGATATAACAGAAACTGGTGGCCTTATTGGCGCTGAAACGGGGTAACAAGTATCCACTCTTTTCAAGCAGGTGTCAATTGCACGTCACAATTTTCTGACTCCAATTGACTCAATTTCTGGCTTTGCTATCAGAAACAAATTGTATTGGTGGTAGCTGACTAAAGCACAGTAGTGATCTCAACTATCATTGATGAAATTAATCAATTTTGTACGTCAATTGTTTTCAATTTTGAAGAAATGGTTAAGGCGGGTATTCTGGGTGATGGCACTCCATACTCCGGGAGACCACTACAGATTTACTTACTCGCAAGCTTGGCTTCCTGCAGGACTGCACCAAAATTATTGGCCAATGAACGCAATGCGAAAAAGAAGTCTCACCTGGCGTCTGAAAAATTTAAACCCTCCGTTTACCACTCAAAAGCGGAACGCTATGTTCAGATCCATTCCCGTACAAAAAGTGGTGGCTGCTGGTGTGGCCGCCACTGGTGTGACTGCTTCGTACTTGCTTTACAAGGACACCATGACCGCTTCGGCCATGACTGCCGCTGAACACGGGTTGCACCCTCCTCACTACGGCTGGTCCCACAACGGGATGTTCGACACTTTCGACCATGCTTCGATCAGAAGAGGGTTCCAAGTGTACCAAGAAGTCTGTGCCGCCTGCCACTCGCTTGACAGAATTGCCTGGAGAAACTTGGTCGGTGTGTCGCACACTGCCTCCGAAGCCAAGGCCATGGCCGAAGACTTGGAATACCCCGACGAACCCGATGATGAAGGTAAGCCCAGAATGAGACCCGGTAAGTTGTCTGACTACATTCCCGGCCCTTACAAGAACGAGCAAGAAGCTAGAGCTGCCAACCAAGGTGCTTTGCCTCCGGACTTGTCGTTGATCGTCAAGGCCAGACACGGTGGTTGTGACTACATCTTTTCCTTGTTGACTGGTTACCCTGACGAACCTCCCGCCGGTGTTTCGTTGCCCCCTGGGTCGAACTACAACCCTTACTTCCCCGGTGGTTCGATTGCCATGGGTAGAGTGTTGTTCGACGACTTGGTTGAATACGAAGACGGTACCCCCGCCACCACTTCGCAATTGGCTAAGGATGTCACCACTTTCTTGAACTGGGCCGCTGAACCCGAACACGACGAAAGAAAGAAGTGGGGTCTTAAGGCTCTCATCATCGTCTCGTCGTTGTACTTGCTTTCGGTTTACGTCAAGAAGTTCAAGTGGCAACCCGTCAAGAACAGAAAGATCAGATTCGACCCCCCCAACAAGAAGAACTAAGCTGGAGGTCTTGGTAAACTTCCCGTTTTAAAACTTTGACCCCCATTACCGCATAGTGGTCAATGTAAATACGTCATTTATCATATATGAACCCAATAGAGATTCATTAATCGACATTGGCAATGTTGTCGAATCAAGTAGACCCTCCACAAGCCCATCTCATCATATGCTGCAAGCGCACCTGTGTCTGTACTCTCAACTGGCCAATTGGTGGGTGGTTATTACAATGCATGCAAGAATTAATGATTTACGAGATCCGGCCATTTACCGACCTCTAATTGGAACAGTAATTAGGAGATCAACACTGACTTCATGGGCTACTGTTTTCTCTAAGTTCTTGATCAGTAGTCGCCGATATCGATCACAAATTAGTGAAAGAAATTTTCACTACAATTCCATAGTCGGCACTTAATGCTATATTGATGGGTGTTTTTAGCTGACATATATCCATTGTTGCAGCCAGCAAAGGGAAATTGCATGTTTTCGGAATTTTGAGGGAATTTGTTAGTTCTCAGCATTTTCAGTGCTTTGTAGAAAAGTGGGATCGGACCTCCAACAATGAAGTTTTTTCACCCAATCCTCACTTACAATTTGACGATGATGTTTACTTACACAAGCAGTGTGCTTGATGGTGACTGATCACACGAATTACAAAAAGCTAGCTGCAAGTTTTTAAAGAACGCAAAAATATAGTCCACGGCAGGACTCGAACCCGCAATCCCCACCGCCGGAAAGTGATACCTTACCATTAGGCCACGCGGACATATTTTGAAAATTTCAAAATCCACAAATTGTTATTTTGTTTAGGAGAAGTGAGATTATGATATTTTACCTTCAAACCACTCGTTCTTGAAATATATTACATGAAAATATAATAATGAAGTTATATTTAAATGTTTATACAGTTTCTGCAGCTCAATATCTATTACACGTGACGATACACTGAATTTCATTGAGACATTCATAGTTAAGTGACGCTTTAAACTGATACAGCAATTTAACTGAGGCACCAAAGGTTGATTAAAGTTTCAACCAGCAACGTATCGGGGGGATCACGTTCTCAATAATGAACTTTTCTGATGGTATTTACATGTTTCATGAAAATGTTGATAAGAAAAGTTGTTTCTGTAATAGAAAAACCATCTTACGAAAGCAAAGTGAATGACTTTCAGTTAATCATGGACTTTATGATAATGATGGAACGTGTATTTTTCATTTATCACATCGAACACGAACTAGATCATACGCATAGTCAATATCGGACACGAATTAGATCATACACAGAGTCATTTCATTTCTAATCAGAAGATCATTAGTTCAAAGTTTCGAAATGACTATGACCCTCCAAACCTGAACGCTTACGTTGCCTTAGCATGACTTCATCCCAACATGAATATTGCCCAGGTCAATACGAGAGTTGGAGAATGTAGACACTCATTACTTACATTTTCAATTTGGGCTAACGCCGAAGGGTTTCACAAGCCTGAATCCATATGGCTTGTAGCATATACCTGAAGGTTCACCAGTTTGGTTACTCTACAATAAAATTTGGCGATATCGAAAGAGATCAATTTCAAAATTGGTCATCAGTTCGTAAGTCCAAAAGAAAATTTTGTAAGTCTGTAGCCCTCTTTATAGTCATGATTTATACAGCACAGGTTTCAAGCCTACACTCTCGGCCTCCTTTAAGTGATCAGATAGTTACAAATACTCGCTATCATGACATAGGGCAACTAAAATTCCATCTCTCTCCAAAACCACGACCTCTCGCAGATCTTGAATTTTGTTTCTTGAATATCACCGAATATATTCGGATTGATTTCATAAAGAACTAAGATCTCTTTCTAATTTTCCAGATCCACTTTGCACTTCTATCTATCTGTAAAATGAACTATTTTAGAAGACTCCATATCAAGCCTTCCACTGTTGTGAAGAAAGATAGAATTGAAATCGGCAAGACGAGAAAGTAAGAACAATTTACAAATCTTTGTGGAACAACTGAAGTAGGGCTCTCAGATAAAGAGAAAACACATCACAAGTCCACGAAGTATCGAACCAAGTTCTCTTATATTGTAGCTGTTTCAGCAAATTACATCGTAGCTATATGTGGTTCAAGCCATTCAATCGAGAAGCGCTTCTATTTTCTTTTTTTTTTTTTTTTGAAATCAAAAACCGGACTGAAAGTTTGTGGTCTACAATTTCTGCTCCATTCTCCATTTATTTTGCACTTAGCTGCGTATACTGCAAAATATATCAGCTAAGGTTGACGACTTAGAGTACTCAACGGTCAAATGGTTTCAGAAGTTGAAAAAATCTCAAAAACGACAATTATCAGTTTTTTTCTATATGGTCCAATTACATATTGGACAAACCCGAAGCCCCCTTAGTGGAAACCCCTTCAGCCCAACCAATTTTTGGTTCTACCCAAGCCCAACCAATCTTGGGTGCTATCCAGGAATCTGCCGTGAATGATGCTAACGGCGTCCACAGAAAGAGAAAGACTCGCAACCAGAACGTCAAAGCCTGGAAAGCAAGACAAACTTCCACTACCAAGCCAGTGCCTGATGCTGATGGATGGACAGTTGTCCCAGGGCGGGCGTCGCCCCCCGTTGAGAAGCGCCAAGCTTCCCCCTCTAGAATGGAGAACCCATTCGGTGCTTTGTCTGAAGACGAAGCGGACCCTACCGACGATGTCGCTGAGAAAGTTGAAGAACTTCAAAGACCAGACTGGACTATGCCAGTTGGCTCTGCGAGTTACGCATCTTTCTCCCCCTCTATGACTCAAACCTCCTCCGGTCCCCTGGCCCAATGGCGGTCTGTTTCGCAGACGCTGATTTTGCCAGGTCAGAAGCCGGTACTCCATGATGAAGATGACGACTTATATCAACTTGCTTCGCAGTCTTCGAGTGTTCATGCTCCCCCAGGGGATCGTGCCATTCCTATAGACTCTGAAGCCCGGTTGTGAATAGTCTAATCTATGCCTTGTCCGCTCTTCGGATTGAAACCGATTATTGGTCAGGATCTCGAAGGCGCATGATGATTTTATCAAACCTATATGACGCTCATTTGACCTTTTTGATTGCTTTGCTATCTGTGTTTGTACAAGGAGTACATCGACTGAACTGGTGCCCATGCTCATGACTATGATTTGTAATTGGCTAGCATGCTTCTGCGGAAGAGATCGGGGTTCGATGCCCCGTAGAAGTGGGCGATGGAAGCTAGCTATAGTTGAACAACTTCCTTAACCCAATGTACCCACCATATGGTGGATGGTACATCCAAGTTTTCTTTTGTTACTGGCAGATATCTATACTGTTTTTTTTCTGGAGTATAGAACTACTTGAGGAACTCAAGGGAGTGTGTATGAAAGTTTTCCACTTAGATATTTTTAATGCCCATGTTATGTTATTAAAAAAAAAAAATGTCCGCGTGGCCTAATGGTAAGGTATCACTTTCCGGCGGTGGGGATTGCGGGTTCGAGTCCTGCCGTGGACTATCCTTTTTTTCTAACGTGTTAGTTGCCGTATGCAATAAATTGAGTTTCGTTTCACAAACGCCTCTCTATGTAACTAAAGATTGATCAAGGAAAAACTGACATAGGATTACAGTCTCCAAGCATTATTTTTTCCATGCTTTAGCCGTTCAACTAGACGAAGGCGTAACAATGAGCCAATGGGTCCGGCTTTCTCGGAACCAGGGCCTGCGTGCGTATAAGGTGATATTTTGCCGCACGCAGCTTCAAGTGGAATCCTGCTTCGCCAATTAATTTCCATAGAATTTTTTGGAAGAAAACCACCAGTGTACAAGACTTCCAGAGAATTTTCTAGAATCTTCCACTAATCAGATGGAATTTTCCATGGGTTCCGCAACCTTCTCTCCCCTTCGATTTGGTTCCTTACTGAGAATCCTGCACAATGATACAGGCCAGGGCTGCCTGATGCAAGCAATTCTGCCCAAGTATATAAATTCGTTGCCAATTAACCCACTAGCCCCCCATCTTATCCAAAATGGACGAAACCCAATTTACGGATAATGCACAAAGAATCATTACCCAGGCGCAACAGATCGCCAAGGATAATAACAACACTCAATTGCAGCCACTCCATTTTTTGGCTGCAATGATCCCTACCGATGTTGAGGAACAGCTGACATTGTACCTCAAGACGCTTGTCACGAAGGCCCGCATGGACTGGGGAACGCTTGAGCGTACTGTGAACACTCACCTCCTTAAATTGCCGCTGCAAAACCCTCCTCCTGATGAAATTCGTCCCTCATACCAAACCGGGCAATTGTTGCAACGTGCCGCCAAGATTAAGCAGCAACAGAAGGATCAATACATCGCCCAAGATCACATTCTTCTTGCTCTTTTTGATGATGATCAGATCAAGGACTTGTTCAAAGAAGCTCAATGCAACGTCGAGACCTTGAAGAACGTCGCCTTGGAGTTGCGGGGCAACCAACGCATCGATCTGCGCACTGCTGACACTTCGGGTTCTTACGAATTCTTGAGTAAGTACTGTGAAGACTTCACCGAGAAGGCTCGTGAAGGGAAGATTGATCCCGTCATTGGTCGTGAAGAGGAAATCAGACGTGTGATCCGCGTGCTTGCCAGAAGAACTAAGTCCAACTCTGTTCTTGTTGGTGAAGCTGGTGTGGGTAAGACTTCAATTGTTGAAGGGGTCGCTCAACGGATCGTCGACGGCGATGTGCCGCTGGTATTGGCTAATGCCCGCTTATTTGCGCTTGACTTGGGGGCGTTGACCGCTGGTGCCAAGTACAAGGGTGAATTCGAAGAACGTGTCAAGGGTGTTCTCAACGACATTGAAAAGTCCAAGGAATTCATCATTTTGTTCATCGACGAAATTCACATGTTGATGGGTGATGGTAAGCTGGATGCTGCCAACCTTTTGAAGCCGATGTTGGCTCGTGGTGTATTGCACTGTATTGGTGCCACCACCTTTGCTGAATACCGGAAATACATTGTCAAGGATGCTGCTCTTGATCGTCGTTTCCAGAAGATTGATGTCCCTGCTGCTACGGTTCCGGAAACCATTGCTATTTTGCGGGGTATCCAACCTAAGTATGAAATTCACCATGGTGTGCGTATTTTGGACCTGGCTCTTGTGCAAGCTGCTCAATTGGCTGGCCGTTACTTGACTTACAGAGCGTTGCCTGACTCGGCTGTCGATCTTATTGATGAAACTGCTGCTACTGTTGCCGTGGCGCGTGACTCCAAGCCCGAAGAATTGGACAACTTGGAGCGTTCGTTGCACCTCGTCGAAGTTGAGATTAACGCCTTGGAACGTGACAAGGACGCCGACAAGCACTCCAAGGAACGGTTGGACAAGGCCAGAAAGAACAAGGAAAGTCTTGAAGAACAATTGGGTCCTTTGCGGGAGAAGTTCAAGCAAGAACGTGCTTCTCACGACCAATTGATCGCGGCTAAGAAGAAGTTGGATGAGTTGGAGATGAAAGCTCAAGACGCCGAACGTCGTCACGACACTGCCACTGCCGCTGACTTGCGCTACTTTGCCATTCCTGATATCCAAGTGCAAATTGAAGAGTTGGAAATCAAGGTTCAAGAAGAAGAAGCTAACGCTTCGCCTGAAGCCTTGTCGCGGAATGTCGTGGGGCCGGAACAAGTTTCTGAAACCGCTGCTCGTCTTACTGGTATCCCTGTGACGAAGTTGACCCAAGCCGAAAACTCGAAGTTGATTAACATGGAGAAGGTGTTGCTGTCTGAAGTTGTTGGTCAACCTGAAGCTGTGAAGGCTGTCTCCAACGCTATTCGGTTGACTAGATCTGGTTTGGCTAACCCTAACCAACCAGCCTCGTTCTTGTTTTTGGGGTTGTCTGGTTCGGGTAAGACTGAATTGGCGAAGAAGGTCGCCGGTTTCTTGTTTTCGGATGAGCATGCTATGATCAGAATTGATTGTTCGGAACTCGGTGACAAGTGGTCTGCTTCTAAGTTGATTGGTGCAGCCCCCGGTTACGTTGGTTACGAAGAAGGTGGTATCTTGACTGAACAATTGTTGCGCAAACCCTACTCTGTGGTCTTGTTTGATGAAGTCGAAAAGGCTGCTCCCGAAGTTTTGACTGTGTTGTTGCAGATCTTAGACGACGGTAGAGTCACTTCCTCGCAAGGTACAGTGGTTAACGCCTCCAATGCCATCATCATCATGACTTCGAATTTGGGTGCGGAATACATCAACGCTTCTAAGGGCACTAAGATTACTGATGACGTCAGGGAACAAGTGATGACCGCTGTACGTGCGCACTTCCGTCCTGAGTTCTTGAACCGTATTCAAGCTACTGTCGTCTTTAACCGTTTGTCCAAGAAGGCCATCGCTAAGATTGTCACGATTCGTTTAGAAGAAATCGAAAAGCGCTTTGCCTCTAATGGTCGCAACATTCATTTGGAGCTCGATCAAAGTGCCTTGGAATACCTCATCAAGTATGGTTACTCGCCTGACTTGGGTGCTCGTCCTTTGAACCGTTTGATCCAATCAGAAATCTTGAACAAGTTGGCTGTGTTGTTGCTTAAGGGCCAAGTCTTGGACAAGGAAACTGTTAAGGTCACTGTTGGTGGTAAGGGCCTCGAAGTACTCCCAAACCATGAAGGTTCTAAGGATGATGACGAAGACATGGATGACGACTGGGACATGGATGATGAAGCTATCGAAGACGAAGATCTCGACTAATCAACTTGAACGTAATAAAGATATAATGAAACTAATAAAAGATATAATGAACTTAGAAACCTTTCGGACAAAAACTGTATACACGAACTGCTGGTTGGCTTTCGATCATTTCAATGATGGTACAATTGCTATCCATATCGTATCATTATCATTAACTAATTCTTACATCGTAGAATACTCGTAGCTTACTCATTATCAGTGTCAATGTCGACGCCATTTAATATCATGCCCTTTCTGACAATGGCTTTGGATAATGCCTGCTGTAAGCTAGCATCTAATAAGCCAAGGTTAAGCCATTCGCGAGTTAACTTAACTGCCAGATCAAGATTCTCAACGTCATTCAATTGCGGTACCACTTCCATCACCATCAGACTCACCGCAGTGAACAGCAACATGGTTAAGTCCGATACAGAGTCAAGCTTGAGGTAGTTTAGGAGACGAAGTGCTTGGTTGATGTCATCGTTCTTGACGTGGTAGACAACTAACAGCAGAACAAGAACAATAAATTCCTCGGTCAGCACCAATCCAAGCGACGCGATTAACAGCCGGTGACGATTAGGTACCCTTATCTTAGGAGAAGCAATAAGCTCTTCCTCATCATCAGACCATGCTTCATCGTCAGTCAATTCGGGACCTTCGACAATTTGCTTGAACACAAGAAGATTCTTAGAAACACGAGCTTGCATCTTGTCGGCTAAAGCAGGAGCAGTGGCCAGATTGACCACCGCTTTGAACAAATCGAAATACTTTTGCAACAGCGACAGCAGAGTGATCAACTTGTCTAACGTGGCAACATCTGCCAAGATATCCTTGAGAAGTTCGTCCCGGTCATTCACGTCGACAATGGCCTCAAGGAACTTCGAGTTAAGGTCATTTATAAGCTCCAAAACTCTCCAATTGGTCAAGATTGCAAAGTAATCACCGGCAACTTCTTGGAAGTACTCAACATACTTCAATTGATTCATGCCCTGATTGATACCAGCATTGAGCGGGCGTCTCAAAGCAAGGTTTGTCAAGCGAGTCAAAAACAGCTCCAGACCAAGCATGGCGAGACCATCAATCTTATGGATGAGCGTCGCCAACTTTTGCACGTGGGGATTGCGGCCACGATATTCCAAATGCAAAATCATTTGGCCCTTAAGCGATAAATTGGTGCTCAAAACAGCACTCCAGGCGGGGAAGCGCTTAATCAATAAACGACCAATAACCAACAGCAAAAGACAGTTCTCAAACAGAGTTTCTGACATCAGCAACAAAAAGTAGTAACGTACAAGGGCTTTGTAAAATTGGCTTTCAGAGAGGTTTGAACGGCCCGAAAGCACAGCCATGATTTCACACAGCTTTGAAGAACTCAACAGCTTAGGCAAACGCACACCAAGGTGCACCAAAGTCCATTGTTTTGCGAGTGAAAAGTCCAGGTTCTCGTGGTTTTCCAGTCTGGTTTTCTTTTTCGGTTGAGGTGCAAACAATGGTGCTACTAGCAGGTAAACCGCCATACCCAAAACAACTAGCTTAAGAGCAGTCCAAGCAAAACTCTTGGGCAGACTAAACGCATAGGCCAAGAACGGAGCACCGGACATACCTTTGTAATCGCCGTTTCCCGAATCGCCAAACATTTGAGCGCCAGCAATAGTAGCCATGCCAGCAAGAAGCATTTTGTTTGTGAACATTGGGTTCGAAGGTTGCGCCTGATACACTTGGGGCTGTTGAGGAGGAGGCGCCTGCATGTACATCAGAGTTTGAGGCGGTTGTTGATACATTTGCTGATCAGGGTAAAAGCCAAACCCGTGAGGCGCTTGTGGTTGAGTCATATCAGTGACGGGAACCATTACAGGCGGTGCCATTTGTTGTTGGCCACGCAAGTCGGCCTGCTGAATCAAGCGTTGCAAAGCTAAGTTCTGCTGCTTGAGAATTTGGTTCTTGTTTTCCAAATGCTTGATATATTCGGTGGCTTTGGTGAGGACTGAGGCTTTATTCAACTTTTGAGCCGGCGTCAAGCCTTCAAGATCCGCGACAGTAACATCTTTAGAACCCGCAGCAATACGAAGAGCTGGAACAGCATCTCTCAAAGCAACAATCTTCAGATTGATATTGGTTCTGTATTTCTTCTCGATCATATTGTGCGAGGTCTTATCCTTCTTAGGCTTCGTTATCTTGTTAGTGGTCGACTTTGGCTTCACAGGGAGATCTGCTTCAAGTTCCGGAGAACGGTACATCTCATCCTTAACCAGAGATGCTCCAGGCAGGGTGTTGGCCAGCAGCAAGAGCTCAGTATGGCTCATTGGCAGAACATTCAGGCCCGTCAGAACCAGGGTCCGCGAAGCAAAATTCTGAACGGTAGATGGGTCCACTGACTGGAAAGAATCCGTGAAGGCGTAATTGTTCAATTCGTAAGATTGCGGTGCCAGTGGCGCCATCAATGAACCATCAAGCACATCGTCGCTGGTAACTTCGAGCATCAGGGGTGGAATGCGCTCTGGGTTGAGTGTGCCCAGGATGGCATCAATAAACGTATCAGCAGATTCGAAATCGAAGAACTGAGGTTCGAAATCCGCCATTTTCTGCTTGAAGCAACAGTAGTGGCGGTGTCACCAGCTTTTTAACTGGTATATATTAATGGAGTGGAATCAGGCCATTTTGAGTGCACGTATTGAAGTATATGCAGGCTGGACGCGAGCGGCGCAAAAGCAATTCGCCTCAAACTAGAACCTCTCGTCTGAGCGTCAGCGCCAATTTTCGCAACCTAACGAAATTTCTTCTGAACACTAACATCTTTAAATTCTCGAGTATTATTCGAGCTGAAAAAAATGAACTATATGCCAAGTAATTTCTCGTATTGGACGCAGCCACAACGGATGAAGCTCGATGGCTAGATCGTCTCTGGTTTGTAGCCCTGTGAAAATAATGAGCTGAGTTGAGTTTCGATCATCTGCGCGCCGCTTCCGAGTTGACACGACGGTTTTCGGTGGGGGAGCTCCTGGCAGGGCAATGGCATCAGCAACCAAATATAGCCCCACTCAGCTGGAGCCGTTGTTACGCTGCATCTGAATTATTATTTCACCTCTACATATATGCCGTTAGTTTCCCACCTGTCTGTGCTTCGCCTATGTGAGCCTATCTTGTCATTCAAATTTTCGTGGCAGGATGATGATGAGAAACTCCTTGCAAATCACGCAGGCGAGGCAACAAAAATCGATTTAGCCGCAAGTGCTCTCTAATATGGAATCTAACTAAACATAATGACTGAGGCTATTGACTAAATCCCCACCTGGATTGCCTTTAGTTCTTCAAATTCGTCTAAGCTGAGCCACGGCATTTCCGGAAAAGAGATTAGCCGACTATTTTCGCCACGTGAGCGTTAACTATTGTTTAACCAAGACAACAATGGCGTGTCGACTTCTTCAATACTGTCAACGTAGTGGCTACTGATTCATCTTTGACAGTTTTTCGCCCACATGGAGGAATAGTGCGTGCTTCCGTGACCCTCGCTTTTGCTTTCATATGATTATTTCACTCTATGAAAGATTTGAGGCAGTTGGAAGAAATCTACAAGTCAACGCAATCTTACGATAGTGAAATACCTCATTGCAATGTTGGCCGCTTTGAAGTTAGGCCAAACTAGTATACTCGTGGGAGTTTTTTAGCCCCGCCCCGCTCCGGTATCGGTTTGCTGCTTTCCAATAGCCTTAATTCGAAAGAGTAAATACCACGTGCGTTCCGAATTCTGCTAACGAAATCGCATAATGGTGTGGTACCAGGACAAGCATCAGCTTCATCTTGGGGATGGATGTCGGTACCACGTCCAATTCGATGCCTCCAAGACAGCTACCCCACCGTCAGTGCTCTATCTTCGCATCAAGAACACTGAGCGACTGGGCGTGCGGGCTGTTCATCTTTTATCTGGCCCATTCACCTTCTACTGCCATGTTGTCCCGGTCAATTACGATCACCGGGTTAAATTCAACCAAGGCGAAGACCCTGAAGTCAAGTTCAAGTATCAGGTGAAGCCAGGTAAACTGTTTAACATGAAGCTTTTACTCAATGCAAACTCAGAGCTTCGAGACCGGCCAGGTGTGTATCAATGGGACATTGATATTTTGCTGATGATTGTCATCTCAAAAAGACCTACGGTGACTTACGAAATGGTGATCGGACCAAACCCTGCTGAGTTGAAAATGGTTACCCTGATTCTGCTGCAAGTAGAACTGGCACCCAAGTTGGAAACGGATCCCATCACGGTGAAGAAACTCCACACTGATGAAATATGGGCTACACCTCCTCGAGATCCAAGTAAAGACATCCACCTCGTCATTCTTACTCATGGCATCTTCTCCAATGTCACCGACGATTTACTCTATGTTCGCGATCAGATAGTTGAGCACGCTACAGATAATGTGTTGGTTCGGGGCTATGAGGGTAATCGGGGTAAGACAGAACGTGGTGTCGAGCGGCAAGGACGCCGCGTAGGCGCCTACGTGCTTGAATTAATCGACAGCTACCATGGCCGAATCACAAAGCTTCTGTTTATTGGTCACAGTTTGGGTGGCTTGGTTCAGCTATATGCCATCAAGTATATGTTGTTGTCTCGTGGTGACGATTATTTCACCAAAAATAACATTGAACTCGACAATTTCGTGTGCCTTGCACTGCCATTGTTGGGAATTTTGACAGAAATGAGTTTCATCATCCTGTGGTTCTTGGATTTAGGGTCTTTAGGGAAAACCGGGCGTGATTTGACACTCGCTAAGAAGCACTCTTTATGGGGTGGCGAGGATGACACCACGAGTCGACCGTTTTTGGAGACGTTACCTGACGAACCCCTTGAAACTGCACTTCGCCTGTTCAACCATCGAACTGTTTACGCGAATGCGGTTAACGATGGCATCGTTCCATTACGTACGCTGGCGATTTTATACCTCGACTATGGTGCTCTTGGTGATGTCAATAAGATCAAAGAAAATCAACAACTTGATACAGCCAAACATGATGTCACTAAAGTTACCACAAACGACGAACATCAAGTTGAGGAAGTTCCATATGAATCATCTCAAACTGAACTGCAAGATGCTACGCTCGAAGCTTCTCCTATCAAACGTCGTTTACGTCATGACATGACGAGAAAGGAACTTCGAGTATTAGCAATGAGCGGCAGAGGCATTGACCCGAACTCAGACGACTCTTCTGAATTCACCTCTGATCGAACCGATGATGATGAAGAAGAGTACACATTCAATATTCCACCCAAAGCTTCGCTGGTTCAACTGGCTCTTAACTCTTTGATCAATCCAGTGCCGCTGATGCTGTTTGTCACTGATCCGTCTTCACGGGATCCCGTCATCTTCCACGACAAATATTATTGCTTCAAGGAGACTCCACAGATTCCAGAGTCCAAGACAGTGATTATGAGCAGAGTATTCCAGAACAAGGATTGGAAGTTAAAGAAACAAGTGAAGATCGCTCTGAAGTACCATTCTGCGGGATGCACCTGGCGTAAGGTACTTGTAAATTTGCCCCCTGATGCTCACAACAATATTGTCGTAAGACGTCGTTTCGCCAACGGCTTTGGTTGGGGTGTGATTGATCACATGACAGAGAATTTATTCTGTAAAAATGCTGGACTGCTGCCGCCGCCTGCTAAGCAGACTGAAGAAATTTCCAACTCCCCTCCTAAGTTGTAGTCTACAATAGGATTTATATGTAATGGTATCCCGTTGTATGATTCTTGTTTTGTTTCATTATGAAGTTTTTAACAATCTTATTCGTGGTGATGACAGTTGATGCTAGTAAGATACTTAAGTATATCAAGTCACGAAAAGACATACTATATGATCCCGAGGTTCAGTATGCCATCAATAACCTGTTGGTGTTTTTTGATTCTCAATGGATGGAGTACCGTATCAAGAGTGCCAACAAGACATTGTACGAATCTCCAGTTACTGAATGCTTCAAACTGGAATTGGATGGAGCGGTGACATACACGATGAACCATGGTTTCGGAAATAATGGCCACAATGAGTTTGCTGTTATTGGCCAATGGCTCCGTGCAACCCTCAAAATCAATTCAGTGATTGATATGTCAAAGTCGTGGGGTTTATCATCGAGTATTGAGTGTCCCTTCAAAGCGATGTCAGAAGTACAAGTGGCGGTGGTACGGGAACTGTATGAGTACGAGTATGAGATCAAGTGGTTAAAGAACGGCTGGAAACGTGAAGGGAAACTGGCGATGGCTGGGTACGCGATGTTGCAGTGTAGAGACTGGTGCTCAAATAGCTAATGTACATGAACTGGACACAGTCCATAGCCCTTCTTATTGAACCAATCCTTGATGCATTTATAATGAAACACGCAAAGGCACTCAAGTCTCCCCACTTTGTCACCAGGTTCTAGTTCCTCTAAGCAAATCACACACTCCGAGTCAAACCCCTTTTCCGAAGGCGCTGGCTGCGAGGTGGCTTCGTCAACACGTTGATATTGTGGCAGAGGGATTGGGGGAATATTGTAAACCAACATTTGACTTGACCTTTCGGGACTTTTACTGAAATCATAGCCTGCCAAACACTGGCGGATGTGTTGTTCCTTGAACGCCTCGAGGTCACCCGTGGTATTGAGTCTCCGAAGATTCTTACCACAAACGGGGCATAGATTATCAGTATCTTCAACGGGACGAGGGACACTCAGCAGCGCCAGCCCCAGGTGGTCCGTTACTCTGTTGGAGGGCAGAAGACGCTCCACTCGAGGCTTGCAACGATCACATGTCCGGTATTTCTCCCAAGACACTGAAGCCATAGGTCCCGATGGTGTCGCCACGTCCAGTCCTGCTGGGAAAGCGATAAATTGATCCAGGCATTGGTGGCACACAACCTGACCGCACCAGCGGCAGTGGTGGCGACGAAAGGTAAAGGTGAAGGGCTCATTGCAAAGCCCACATTCAGGGGCTTCGGAGTCTGGTTGCCAATCAGCAGACAGCATTCGGTAAGTGGTGGTAAATTGGAAGAACGCTGGAATGTGGCGAGGAGTTCCGATAATTGTGTGGATCGCAGGGTGAGCAGATAACGCCGGGAAAAGAAACGAACCGTGACACCCACAGATTTTCGGGTAGGAACGTGATCCGGCAGAATAAGAAACTACGAATTGTAAATACGGCTACGAACCAGCATACTCAGTGACAGGAGTCATTGAATGTCGGATACATTGGTGAATATTGGTAATTGGGACAGTTCTCGCACGATGATCCCCCCACACTACACTTAGAGAATGTATGCGCGTAAATGCCACCAATTAGGCTAGCCAGTGCAATTAGGGATGGATAAACGGTATACGAGAATTGCACAATAAAGGGAAGTTCAACGATAATGATTATGATTGTGGTCGTACCTTCCTGCGAATTTAGTTTTTTTGATGTAACTTGGTGGCAACAGACATTCTCAGTTTGGAATGATCAGATATGTCACCTGGGCTGATCGCATTTCGCTCGAGAGGGTCACTAGTGTGAGTGAATTAAATATGCGAGCACCAGGGCTTCCAACACGAATCGTCGAATTCATCGCTATATCATTCATTATCTAACATTGCTATTTATTGTTGAAATGCTTCGGCCAAGAAAGCTTCTTCTTCAGCGGCATGCATCTTCTTGTTACCAGCGGCAACGGAAGCAGAGGGGTCTCTACCAGCGTATCTCAAGGTCATACCCTTGTGGTTCTTGGTCTCTTCCAAAGTAGTGGCCAATCTGGGGACAACGTAGGCGTAAGCACCCATGTTCAAGGGTTCTTCTTGACACCAAACCAAGTCACTGATGTTAGGGAAAGAGTCCAAAGCATCTCTCAATTGAGCGAAGGGGAAGGGGTGCAATTGTTCCACCTTGATGTAGGTGGTGGTCTTGTCACCAAGAGATTCACGCTTCTTGTGCAAAGCAGTGAACACTTGACCCGAGCACAAGATGACACGCTTGATTTCTTCCTTAGGAGCAAGAGAGTTGCCGAATTCTGCAGTTTCTTCGATCAAGGGTTGGAACTTAGATTCGCCGGTGAATTCCGACAAGTTCGAACGAGCGAGAGGGTGTCTCAACAAGGACTTGGAGAAGAAAAGACAAAGAGGCTTACGGAATTGACGGTGCATTTGTCTTCTCAACAAGTGGAACAAGTTGGCGGGGGTGGTGGGGTAAGCAACTTGCATGTTGCAGTCTTGGTGTTGACGCTGAAGCTTTTCTTCCGAGGGGAAGTAACGAGGGTCTTCGTTACACAATTGCAAGTAACGTTCCAATCTACCCGACGAGTGTTCAGGACCTTGACCGTCGTAACCGTGGGGCAACGAAAGAACCAAACCCGATCTTTGCTTCCACTTCGATTCAGCACCAGAGATGAACTGGTCAATGATGACTTGAGCAGTGTTAGCAAAGTCACCGAATTGGGCTTCCCATTGCACGAGAGCGTCGGGCGAGGTCAACGAGTAACCATATTCGAAACCCATCACACCGTATTCCGAAAGCGACGAGTTGGCAATGTCAAAGGCACCTTGTTCAGGAGAGAGGTTGGCCAAGGGAGTCCAGGTCTTTTCCGACTTTTGGTCGTGCAAGACGGCGTGTCTTTGCGAGAAAGTACCTCTTTCAACATCTTGACCCGAAACTCTGACGTGGTAGCCTTCGAGGGCCAACGAACCGAAAGCAAGAGCTTCACCAGTGGCCCAGTCAATACCTTCACCGGTTTCAACCGACTTCTTACGTTGGTTCAAGATACGCTTCAAGTTTCTGTGAACTTCGAAGCCTTCAGGAACTTCAGCGGTGGCAACACCGACCTTGGTCAAGGTTTCGGCATCAACAGCGGTGGGCAAGTGAGGCAAGATTTCGGTAGCCAATTCCTTAGGCGACTTGAAGTCTTCCCAAGGAGCAGTAAGCCATTCACGAGTGGTAGGCTTGTAGTCCTTCGACTTGTTGAACGACTCTTCCAATTGGTTCCACACCCATTGCTTGTGTTCGTCAATGTCTTCCTTGGTGAAAGTACCTTCTTCGAGCAATTGCTTAGTGTAGTGGTCCAACAACGACTTCTTCTTGGCGATTCTGTCGTACATGAGGGGTTGAGTGAAAGCAGGCTGGTCAGTTTCGTTGTGACCGTGCTTTCTGTAACCAACAAGGTCGATGATGACATCGGAACCGTACTTAGCTCTCCATTCGGCAGCCAAGTTGAACACGAACACAGTGGCTTCGACGTCGTCGGCGTTGACGTGGAAAATGGGGGCGTTGATAGCCTTAGCAATGTCCGAGGGGTACAAAGTCGAACGAGCAAATCTGGGGTCAGTAGTGAAACCGATTTGGTTGTTGACAATGATGTGAATGGTACCACCAGTCAGGTAAGCGGGCAAGTGTTGCATACCAATAGTTTCGTACACCACACCTTGACCGGCAAAGGCGGCATCACCATGCATCAAGATGGGCATGGCCTTCTTGAAGGGACCGACGTCGTTCTTGTAGTGTTGAATGGCACGAGTCTTACCCAAGACGACACCATCTTCGGCTTCTAAGTGCGAGGGGTTGGCGACAAGCGACAAGTTGACGGTCTTACCCAGGGTGGTGGGTCTTTGGTAGTTCATACCCAAGTGGTACTTGACATCACCAGAACCGACATCGTCAGCGGTAGCCGAACCAGTGAATTCAGCGAAGATCGATTCGTTAGGCTTACGGACAACGTTCGACAACATGTTCAATCTACCTCTGTGAGGCATACCAATAACAACGTCTTCAACGCCGAAGTCGACGGAAGTGTCAATAAGAGCCTTCATACCGGGAACGACGGCTTCAGCACCTTCCAAACCGAAACGCTTGTCGTTGGGGAACTTGGTGGAAAGGAAGGTTTCGAAAGAGCACGACCAGATGACACGGTCCAAGATTTGACGCTTTTGGTCGGGAGTGAACTTGTAAGGTTCAGGGATTTCAATGCGTTCTCTCAACCAGTCACATTGTTCCTTGGAGGGGATGTGAATGTATTCGATACCGTACGAGCTGCAGTACAACTTTTCGCAGGCGGCGATGATGTCCTTCAACTTCATCAGCTTCTTACCGGCTTCAGCGAAGCGGGGAAGGATACCGGGACCAAGGGTGATTTGCTTTTCGAGGTCTTCAGGGGAGAATTGGTAGAAGTCCAAAGTCAATTCCTTGGGTCTGTCGGCGTTGGCACCGAAAGAGATGTCCAAGGGGTCAATCTTGGCCAATTGGTGACCTCTGACTTGGTAAGCTCTCACCAACAATTGCACCTTCAAGTGGGTGACGACGTCTTCCGACAAAGGTTCAGCACCGGGGACGAACGACGCGGCGCCACCGGCGGCGGTGGGCACCAAGGTGGGAGGGGCTTGGAAAGCTTGGCCGGGGGCGACCTTGCCGCTTTCCATGTTCTTGAAGTAGGCGTTCCACGACACGTGGACCAGCGACGGGTCCTTGCGCCACTGGGCGTACATTTCGTCAATGTAGTTGCCATTGTTGGTGAGCAAAAACAGGTCATTGGTCGAAATTGACCGACACAACTTGAGCAGGGCGGCGTGCTGGGCCTTTAATAACTTGGCCCTAGGCACGGCAGTTCTTAACGCTCTGATCATGGTAAAGAATCCGTAACTAAAATTTTCGCGGAAATCGGCGGTCTTTTATTCTGTGGATGCCGTTGCCGAATTAGGGCGCCCCGGGGAATATGTGTCTCCAAAAACAGATAACGAAAGCGAGCGAAAACACCAAAAACATTGGCTACGGTGATAAATGTGACTACCAATGATTAAATTAATGCTTTTGCAAGTAAATGGTATCGTTTAATTGCTATAACTCAGTGTACCAATGGTAATAGCGACGTTGGACCCGAGGCTATATGCACACCTAAAGCCCGGGAACCACCGTTCGGAACGCAACTAATAGGTACGAACTCACTCCGCGATCGGCGCTAATTGACACGACTACAATAGCATTAGAAGATTCAAACCGTTCGGAATGTTTTCGTCAAATCTAACTCGTAAAACATGTATCTACTTGGACTGATTGAACCTTGGTAAACCCTGATTTTCCCCCACTTCGGACTCCCCCGACGGTCCAATGAAAACGGCGATGGCAACCTCCGCGTCTCCATACAGGTCCCATCTCTGACCAAGTCGCCGCCGTGCACCCAAAAAAAAAGTGTCATTGCTTGCTGAGCCATCGGGTGAGGGGAAGGACGACTCAATTCGGAGCGTGGCAGCCAATCAGACCTGGGCTCCGTCCAGTGTTGGAAATACTACGGCGCATGTTGCCGCGAGCATGACATGGGCAAAATCCCTCAAAATTCAAATCAGTGGTGACTGAGTTCGGAAGAGTGCGAATATTGCGGGGGCAGGGGTGGTGTCTCGGTTAGGGCTTACCGGCTAAATTAGGTGTATACATAACAATGGTCTAGTTCATAGTTTCTCCGCTTCATAATTAGCTTTTACAATTCATCGTATCGTTTACCACAGCGTACGGCGATAGTGTTGGGTGCCCCACGGTTTTCCGCGCATCTAGGCTGCTTCGCCGTTTTGGCATTTTAGAGAGCCGGGATTGGCCGGGGCGCCATCTCGGAGTTGACAAACTCCGCGAGGCCACCATCTATGTGCAGAACAAACGTCTGGATCGGAATTTTTCTTTGAGTCATCACTCATTAGTCATATGTAATGCTACATTGAATCCCCGGGGTTGTGTCTAAGGCTTCCGGGTCACATTTACGAAACTGGCGGCAAAAAAGCCAATGCCGCCGTCCTCTTTAGGCGTTGCCCGCACGCACCCTCCCGCGAGCTCATCGGCATCACACCCATGCACCCCCTTCAACTCATCAGCTAGACCCCGATGCGGCCACGTACTAAGCACATTGTCACGCTTCTCTAAACGCCACCCGGATTCCCAGAGCTCCCGGTCATTAAGCAACTCCGCCACCACCTGCTCATTCTCCTCGGCATGTACAGAGCATGTCGAGTAAATCACCCGCCGAGCTTTCGGGAATGACATCGCATGCTTGACAATCTTAAATTGGAATGCAGCCAATTTGGCAAGACGCCCTTCGTCATGGGTTTGCTCTTGGTTGTTTGACCCTCTACCAAAGATCCCCAGGCCCAGGCACAGCGGATCGACGATGAGCCCCGTGACATTTGGGAAATCCTCGGGTTTAGTCGCCGTAAAATCGGCATGAGTAACATGGATAGCATCTTTATTGTCGGTGGCCCGTTGACACATCATTTTTAATGTCTTGACCCGATTATCATCACGTTCAAATGCGTACACTAAGGTGCGAGATAAAGCGGCGACGTGGGTGGTCTTGTTACCGGGCGCCGCCGTAGCATCAATGATTTCGTCATGTGTGTCAGCTTGACACAACAAGTGCGCCGGGAAGCACAGTGCTCTATCCTGGATAATGATGTGACCATTCTTGTAGGCTTCAGACTCAGTTATGCGCTCACGAGGGTGTACACCATACAAATTCTCAATGTAGTCATCGGTATAGATGTATCCGGGTGCTTTGATATCCTGCCATCGACTAACCAGTTCCAATTTCTTAAACTCGGCGGTATTAAATACATCGTCAGGGGTTGCTTTCAATGTGTTGACTCGTATCCACCGCACGGGAGTTTCATCATCATTTTCTTCGGTAGCCAATTCCGTTAGCAGCTTTACTTTATGTTTGATCTTGAGTCTGGTCACTTCGGCCGCAAGTCGGGTCTTATGGCGTAACACTTCATCCTTGAGAGGATGCTTCCCCAGTTGGATTCGTCCCTGGGGTGAAAATGCCAAATCATAGACAAGCAATAAAAGTAACAGAGCCAGGCATTTTCTTTTGATGTCCTTTTGGATACCCAGTTTCTTAATCACTTCCTCAATGTAAGGCTTCAATTTGAGGGTATTGATGACGAGGGCGTACACATGTTTCGGCAGCAGACTAAGCTTTGCCTGGAATACACGCAGTTGGAGTCCCGAGAGTCCCCCCTTGATGAACTTCTCAGCCTCAAAGTATAGCTTCATTATGGTCCTCGCGATGAGATATGGTGCGCGACTTCGACTCCTGGAGGTGAAACTATATTGATGAAAGTGAAAAACAATTAAAACCACGGATAGTGGTTTTGTTACTTTCTATTACATCTTATGATGTCCCAGTCGAAATTTATTGTAGTTCGTTCGAAATTCGCAATGATTGTGATAATTTGGATTGATTATAACAAACCCGAAGAACGTGTTACCCGATTTGCTTGAGCGTACGCTATAAAGAAACTACAACTTGATTACTATGGAAGCACCTGTCCTATTAGATAAATATCATTCAATTTATTGAGACTACTAGGCGACGGATAGACTGAACTACATCTTTGTTGATATATCTCAATGCGATATCAGCTGCAGCTCGATCAAAGTCACTCACGTCACCAAGTGCACTCCACGAAAGTATTTTGAGTGTATTTATAAATGCCAGACCTTCGATTGGAGGGGAGGAAATGACACAAAATCGGTCAAAGACAGCCGACCTCCGATTAGATCATATCGTACAGCAGAAACCAATATATGCCCGTGGTGTTACTCTCAAGGGGCGGGAAAGAATCTGACACTCGCCACACCAAGATGGCCACTATCTTCAACGTCCACGACATAGATAACGATCTAGATTTGTGGGATCACATTATATTACTCAAATACTACTAAGTGAACTACGCAAAAGGTTGTATATTTGAACGCGTCGTTGTTGTGATATTCATGAGTCCTAACCATATTTTTAGCTGGTCATTCTAAACCTTAGGAAGAATTGTGGCATTCACACAAACTGACATGGGTCGTTTGACTGTGTCTGCATTATGAAATTTGCTATCAGAAGCCAGGGAGACTCGCCACGAAAGAGACTCACTAATACCGTTTATCACCGTTTGACCTCGTAACAGGCCCCTCGAGCGCCACATCGGCTCACGAAGGCCCCCGTTCCATGCAGCGAAAATATTTAGGAGGCCCTGCAGGCACTCCTATCGGAGCGAGTGGGGGGGGCCTTTCGTGTTTTACTGAGGTGTTCTAGCAATAAAATGAAGGAATACACCGAGAAAGGCTACCTCGATTATAGCCGAAACATCTTTCGTCATTTAGCGACAAGCGGATCGCGTACTTACGGAATTGAATTCCCGATTTTTGTGATAATTCCATGTCACGTGGTAATACGAGCCACGCGACCCGTAAATATTCGAACACACCCACTCGTTTTCACTCTATACACTTTATACAATAGACGTGCCTAGCGACGGTTCGGGTAAATACTGGCAGAAGCGACGATTCATCTGGGATTATCCCTATTGCTGTGATTTTGCGTAGCTCCGCGCGGGGAACGTTCCCCTCCAAATTTCATTTTGCTATACTTCCGTATTTAGACTCCTTTAGTCCGTGGTCATACGCAGGCCGTGTAGTATTTTTTTTTGCTTTTGATTGCGATAGTCGAGTTCGCTTCGACCCCTGAGCCACCACAAGACGTAGACCAAGAAATTATAATCTAGCCGAGAAATTTTGACAGTTTAGTGTTCTGAATCGATCTTGGTGGCTACAGACATCGCCATCTTTCCCGCTCGGTTGCTGGAGTTCCGGGCCGTTATCGCACGGCCTATCGCGGCGCGGCCGATGGTGCCGCATGTCTGCGTGGACTCAAAATCCCCATTTCACCAGGTGTGGCATCGAGCAAGCCACTCTTCGACGAAGCCCCTAAAATTGCTGATAGCGAAATACTGTGTCAGCAGCGATACGAATAAAGCTTTAGAAGAATCAGGTTTCGCCCGAATATCGTCGAGAAAAAGACGAACGGCGCAAAGTATCGTTCGGTTTGGTGCACCCGTCCCCTGCGAGTGACGCGCGGCCCCGCAAGCGCGAAATAATATGTGGAGAAGATAGTACGGGATGAGGTTTGACGGGTGATAAGCTATCAGAAATCCGCCGTATAAGCTACAAAAAACGGCAGCCCACCGTGCACTATCATAGGCAAGTCTTTGATACCTTCCCGCCTCGGATTTTGCTGTGGCGTTTTTAATTTATTTTTCCATGTATCTATGTCATCCCCACATACTCTACGTCTGGCGATTACCTACGCACGGCGGTACGGCCCCATATGACTGATAACCCGCCTGAAATAAAAAATCACCTTTCCAAATACATAAAACCCACAAAGATCCCCGATCGTTTTCCCACCGTAGCTTTGATTCACCATGGCTAAGTTGGACCGGTTTAAGAACTGGTTCAAAACAGATGAGGTCTCCGTCGACAATGAACTGCTGCTGCTTGACGAAGAAAAGCACCCGGGGGTGTCGCAAGACGTTGCCCTCGGCGTGATGGCTCTGAAGACGTCGGAGTTCGACCCGACCACCTCCAACATGGTCGAACAGATCATGACCGATGATTACGCCCAGGTGGTGGTCGAGGACGACTCGCCCTACCCCGAAGTGCGGGCGGCGATCCCGTCGACCGATGACCCCACCGTGCCCCAAAACACCATCCGGATGTGGGTGTTGGGGTTGATTTTCACCATGATTGGTTCCGCCATCAACTTGTTGTTCTCGTTCCACGCGCCGTCGGTGTCTATTTCTACGCTCGTGGTGTCAATTTTGGCGTGGCCGTTTGGCTGGTTGTGGTACATCGTCGTCCCCAAGAAATGGCGTATCGGCAAGTGTTATCTTAATCCCGGCCCGTTCAACGTCAAGGAGCACGCGCTTATCACGATTATGTCGAATGTGTCCTTCGGCGGTGGTGCTGCATATGCCACCGACATTTTGTTGGCTCAAAACCGGTTCTACAAGCTGGACTTTGGCTGGGGGTTCGACTTGCTCTTGATCTGGTCGACCCAATGTATCGGGTTCGCCATGGGGGGGTTGGCCAAGCGGTTCGTCGTCTACCCGGCGTCGGCCATCTGGCCCGCCAACTTGGTCACGGCCACTTTCTTGACTAACTTGCACATCAACAAAAACTTTGTTGCCAACGGGTGGAAGATCTCGAGATTGAAATTCTTCTTGATCGTCGGGATCGCCGCCTTCTGCTACTACTGGATCCCTGGGTTGATGTTCACTGGGTTGTCGAATTTTAGTTGGATTTGCTGGATCAAACCCAACCTGCCCATCGTCAACCAAATCTTCGGTTCGAGTACCGGGTTGGCGATGATCCCCAACTCGTTCGCCTTGGACTGGTCGCAAATCATGGGTTACATTGGTTCGCCGTTGATCCCTCCCGCCGCCGTCCACGTCACCATCTTGCTCTCGATGGTGCTCATCTTCTGGGTGGTGGTGCCCGGGTTGCACTACCTGAACATCTGGTACGCCCAATACTTGCCCATCTCGTCGTCAGGGTCGTACGACAGATACGGTGACGACTACAACGTCACCAAGGTGATCAATTTGAAGACGTTGCAATTTGATGCCGAAGGGTACAAGAACTACTCGCCGCTTTTTTTGTCGACGACGTTTGCCATATCCTACGGGATGTCGTTTGCTTCGATTTTGGCGACGATCGTCCACGTTGGTCTCTTCCACGGTAGAGAGCTTATCGATCAATTGAAGTTGAAGGAAAAGCCCGACGTCCACATGCGGTTGATGCAGAAGAATTATCGAGAAGTGCCTGAATGGTGGTACATCATTGTCTTCCTCATCTTTTTCGGGATGTCGATTGCCGTCGTCCGGGCGTGGCCCACCGGGATGCCGGTGTATTCATTGGTGGTGGCGCTTTTGATCGGGGCGTTCTTCTTGCTCCCCGTCGCTCTTGTCTACGCCCGTACCAACATTGCTGTCGGTCTTAACGTCGTTACTGAATTCATCATCGGGTACATGGTCCCCGGTCGTCCCTTGGCGATGATGATGTTCAAATGTTTCGGTTATATCTCGAACAACCAAGCCGTCACTTTTGTCCAAGACATGAAGCTTGGTCACTACATGAAGCTTGCCCCTCGGACTTTGTTCTCTGTGCAACTTGTGGCCACCATATGGTCGAGTTTGGTGCAAATCTGTGTGTTGCGGTGGGCGTACGGGTCGATTGACAACCTTTGTGACAAGCACCAAAAGGACAAATACACCTGTCCCAACGGGAGAGTGTTCTTCAACGCCTCGATTATCTGGGGGGTTATCGGTCCTCAACGTCAATTCTCCCACGGGCAAATTTACTGGGCGTTGTTGTTCTTCTTCGTCATTGGGGCTGCGTTGCCGGTTATCCAATGGTTACTCCTCAAGGTGTGGCCGAAGTCGCCGATCAAGTACATCAACTTCCCGGTGTTCTTCTCCGGTACCGGTAACATCCCTCCCGCCACCGCCTACAACTACCTTTCGTACGTGCTGGTGGGGTTGTTCTTCAACTACTGGATCAAGAAGCGGTTCTTCCACTGGTGGTCGAAGTATAACTACTCGCTTTCCGCCGGGTTGGATGTGGGGACGGTGTGGTCGATGTTGATCATTTTCTTGACCATCTACTTGACCAACACCGAATTCCCCAGCTGGTGGGGTAACGACTACACCTCCAGCACGATGGACCAGATGGGCACTGCCATCAGAGAACAGCCCCCGCCCGAAGGGTTTGGACCCTCGACGTGGTCTTGGTAATGACTGTATATACATGCAACTTAATAATTTTAATGAAGCCACCTTTGAGACGATTAGTTACCGCCACTTCCGGTGCCGGAACCGCAATGCCGACGCCCACAATCAGACGCCGTCTTCTAGATTTCGGGCCGCATGCGGCAGAGCGTGTCGGAAGCATCGGCTCCGTGACACTCCGTAACGCCCCCTGGCGACCATTTCTCGTCAACCGCGAATCCGGTACACTTACATTTAATTGCTTACCCCCATCACCAGCATACCCGCCGGTCGTTAAGTGAATACTGCCATGGCGTCCCGCACTCAAGTTCTGCCATCCGCCGGTACCCGCGCCGATCCTCCCGAACTGGTGCTGGTGCTCGCGAACGAGGTGCCGGCACCGCCCGCGGAAACTACACTACCGAACCATCACTCGCCCCAAATGTCAGAAACCTCCACGGAAGAGATTCCTGACGACCAGGTGTTTCGTCCCGTGAAGGACGAAAACGGCAATCCCACCAACAACCGGTTCAAAGTGAGCCGAGACTTGCCCGATGACTTGGACCAGTTCATCGAGGTCGCTCTGCCCAAGACGGGGATTCTTTCGTGCTTCAAAGTCTACCATCGTCAATCACAAATCGGCAAGAAGAAAGGCGGCGACGGCCCCGATCGCCGCAACACCGTGCTTCCCGATGGTTGGTTTCAGTGTCTGGTAGAGCACGAGGGCACCATGTGTGGCGAGTGGTTCTATTTACCGCACACATTTAGAGGCAATTGGCGCCACCTCAAGGCCCACGTCGATAAACAACACCCCGAACACCACGTGGCCCAACCGAAACGCGTGGTTGAGCAAACCTTCGACCCCGTCAACGACGGGATGGACTTTTATGTCGCCGACTTCATGGAAGAGTGCGGTGTGCTGCCACTGATCTTCCTGGACGCCCGGTTCCGACGCCTTTTGCGGCCCGAGATCTTGAAACACGTCCCCAATGAGCAACGGGCGACCGAGATACTCGAAAAGTTGGGCCGACAACGCAAAAAGATCAAGAAGCTTGTTTAACTACCCCGGTTACGAAATATATGGATGATGACAACAATAGAAAAATTGTTTTAATATAGTTATGGAATAGACTCTCAATTACAGATCAATTACAGACAAACACAAACAGCTTTATCGGTCGATAGTACTCCACAACATCCCCTGATCCCGCACATTGTCTACACTAATGTTAATTTCCATTCATGAAATCCCGATCGGGTGATTTCAGTCAGAGGAAGGAACACTTGCGTGATTTGTTTCCCATGTATCCGCAAGTTAATCAATTGACCATATAAGACAATAGTATTGCCCGACATCGTAACACTACGACGAGGTAGTTTTAGCTTTCGTTTCCGTTGATTCCGTCGTATATAGAGCACATTCATGTACGATAGTTGAGTTGCGTGGAGTCATTAACGGTATGAAATTGAATCCATAGTGACCTCGAAGAGTTTTTGTAATTCGAATTTTTGATGTTTATCGAAATCCTTGAATTCTGTACTTATCACCAACTTCGTACGCGCCCGCGTTTGTAGCGTATGCCCCCTTCCCCACCAGCTGAGACTCAACCAGAAGCTCAACCAGAGCTTCCTGAATTTACATTTGCGAATGTAAGGAATGATATTATTTCAGGGGTCAAGGCTCTCATCTATGACCCGAGGTGTCTGCGTCTAGTGGCTCCCCTCGTGGTCGTCTTGACTCTGTTGGCTTGCAAGATCATCATTGCCAAAGTTCCTTACACGGAGATTGACTTCTCCACTTATATGCAACAGATAGCGAAGGTTAACAACGGGGAGATTGACTATCTGGAAATCTACGGAGACCTGGGACCCATTGTGTACCCTGCTGGATTCATCGCAGTCTACAAAGCTATTGCCCAGCTCACTGATGGCGGGGCCGATATCAAGCTGGCACAGCAAATTTTCAGCTATGTTCTTATATTTACGAACTTGCTTGCGGTACTTACTTACGTGGTATCGTATGTGCCTCCCTGGACGATTTACTTGTTACTTTGTTCCAAACGGATATTCTCAATTTATGTCCTCAGAATGTTCAATGATTGCTTTACTACCTTGGCAATGGTAGCAGTGACGTTGATCTACCAACAAGCAGCTTACCAGTACAATCAGCTGTCGCTCATTCTGTTTTTGTTGGCGGCTGTGGGTATGGACGTATACCTGATGGCCGTGTCGATCAAAATGAACGCCTTGTTGTATCTCCCAGCAGTTTTATTGGTAACTTATTTTGTTGTTGGTCAACTGACGTTGAAGCTTTTACTAATCCTGGCCATTTTCCCTTTCATTCAGTTGATCATGGGATGGAACTACCTCGTGCCTTTACTCAATGATAAGTACGCCGTTCACATTCGCTGGAACTATATCAATAATGCGTTTGATTTCAAGCGGAAGTTTTTGTACAAGTGGACAGTCAATTGGCGCTTCATTGGCGAGAAATGGTTCAATAGCGACGTTTTTGCCAAAATACTTTTGCTTCTTCATGTTGCAGTGCTTTTGTGGTTTTTACTCACACGCTTCCTTAGTCCCCAGCTTACTGGGGAACCTCGCGTCAAATTGATCACCCAAGCTCTTAAAGGTGGCGCCACTCCCTCAGCAGTAAACAAGTACTTAGACCCTGTCGCTGGGCCTCGATTGGTTATGTTGGTGTTTTCAGTTACCAACGTAGTTGGTGTGATGGCTCTGCGGAGTTTGCATTACCAATTTTTGCTGTGGTATTTATGGCAATTGCCTTTCTTGTTGTGGTCTACTGGGTGGCCCATGCCAGTGTGCATCGTGGTGTGGGTTGCCCACGAGTACTGTTGGAATGTCTTCCCGCTGACGCTGATGTCCTCTGCTTTATTAGTTACCATCTTAGGTGCCATACTTACTGGTGTTTGGTTCAATCCACGGATCTGGGGTCCCCTGGAGCCCATCTCCACTGAGAAGAAGGAGGAATAGTTTCATTAGTATTTATTAAGACGATAATCCATAATTAGCTACCAGTTTGTGATGTTTTCCACTTCACCGAACACTGAATTACCTCCATTATCAACGTTCTTGACTTGAGTCTCCCATTGGGGGAATAACTCCACCTTACCCAGGTTATCATCATAGTATTCCGGCAACTTTTCCTTCAAAAAATCGGTACACCATTTGTCAATTTGTTCAAATTCCAACAAGAACGCATCGTGGCCTTCAGGAGAGTCCAAACGCTTGAGCACGGCATTGGGAATACTTTCACCCAACAACTCTTGCTCACTGAAGGTGAAGAGACCATCGGAAGAGATACCAATGATCAAGTGGGGTTGGGTAAGGGTGCCAAGGAACTTGGGTAACGGGTCTTCAGCATCGGCGTCAGAGTTGACTTCGATTTGACCACGTGTGATATCGTGCGTGTCCAACTTTCTTGTTATCAGGATGTAGCAATTCGCGTCGAAACGGGAGATAAATTTGTTACCTTGATAACGCAAATACAGCTGAGCAGTGAAATATGTTTGAGGTTTGGGGACACTGTCACCGTTAGTGGTGGGCAGCTTCGGTTTATGCGATCGCGAACCTTCGTTGTGAATCAACCAGTTTTCCTCATCTTTAGTTCGCGGGTAACGAATCCCAGTCTCCTCTTCTTGACGTTTCCGTTCAGCAGCAGTCACAGCTGTCAGAGCGCCTGCAGGTTGCTGGTTAGGCAATTTACGGCCAAATCTCGTTTCGAACGAATTACGAGAACGGTAAGTCAAGAGTGCCGCCATTCTCGCAGCTGAAAGACCCAGATCGGGTTTCGCCCCTTCGTTTTCAAAATAGTAGCCGTCATCATAGTTAGGGTCTGAGAAAATACACTGTCTTTGCGTTTCGTTCCACGAAATACACCACGCCAGAGCTCTGGCCAGAGTGGCAAGAGCAATTACCAGACGAACGTAATCGTCATTGCGATAAGTAGCCAGGTATTCCAAAGCTAACATGCCCCCCATGGACCCACCGATGACTGCGGCAATCTTCTTAACCCCTAAGGAGTCAAGGATGAGACGATGAATTTTGATATCGTCCTTCACGGTGACCAAGGGGAAAGCAGGACCATAGGGTTGATTTGTAGAAGGGTCAATCGACACGGGAGAGGCCAGCCCATAAGGCAGACCCAAGAAGTTAATGCAAATAATGAAAAAACGCAGGGGGTCGAAGGTCTTATTGGTACCGAGCAAAGGACCCCACCAGTCCTGAACATCCAGTGACCCAGTAAGAGCATGACAGATAAGAATGACGTTGTCTCGATCAGCATTTAGCCGACCCCAGGTTTTGTAGGCCACGGGGAACTTTTCAAGTATTTCTCCGCATTCGAGTTTGAGCGAGGGGATCTCGACTATCGTCTGTCCCGGTACCATTCCAGCGAATGCGTTTACCGAGCGTTCTTTGTCGGTAATATCTTTATATGAGGTCATATTGTGTAATGGAACCGCTGAAAAACTCTCTGAATTGGTGTCGATCAATAAGGACGGTGCACCAATTGGTCCAACTGTGGCTCCAACTGTGGCGGTATGGGATATGCGATGGGGGTTTTTGCTGATAAACTGCTAGCCGTTCAACAAACGAATCCCGGTATAACCTTAGGCAGTTTTGTTTCTCCGATGAGTTTCAAGGGAAATCAAATTTGGTGATTCTGGTTTTTCGGACCCCCAAGCAGACGATGGTATCACCTCACGTGTCGGCGAAAATTTCATGTGGAGAAGCATTATACCGAGATCAAGGCACTAACTCCGGAGTCGCTTAGAACTGTTAAATGTCGTGTTGTTTACGATAAGATTTAGCTTGGAAGTATGGTCTCATTCGTGATTTTCGCCGGTACCGGCTCGCGTTGACGCCGGAAAGCCCATACACTCAAGCTACGCTATCTGCACATCGGGGTTTGGTTGTAGCTCAATTATACAGTGCATGATTGACTTCGCCAACTCGTACAAGACGGTCGATTGGTACTGTCAACGAGAACAAGTGTTTCCGAGAAGCTTAGCTCACCATTGTGGAATATGGAAGCTACCACCAATAGCTCATAACTAGTTTCACTAACGATATGCAATAACACTTCAGCTAGTTAAAATGATGTTTTCTCCGAACGCAACTGCACGAAGAGATTCAACTAATTATCTTTTTGTAAACAATCTTGACTTTTCTGCTTTGTTGTACACGTAGGTCAGTTGTGTCTAATTGTAAAAAATTGATGTTAGGCAGCTTACTTGGGGTCGATCTGGCTGGATGTCAAAATGAATAGAGATGATTTATGGTCCCACCCTTATGAACACGTAAAGTTATTCATCTACTCTTTGAATCGTATCTTGAGCTTCTCCTCTTATCAATAGTCTCTGCTCAAACGTACAATGTACCATGCACCCCTTGCTTCTTGCACAACTAATGTTTAAACACTTCTGACTTTTCCTCATATCACTTTCACTAAATCAAGTCGAATATTTACGCGTGTGCGCCGAGTAGATTTCAAGTTATGTTTCTAGGTCATAGCTTATTATTGCCATATTCACGACTGGTTCGCACCCCGGATATTTACCCCACATTTCGTTGATCATACGACGCAAAAAGTATTGAAGGGATAAAAAAAAATCATGACCGCTGAGAGAGATGTAACCATGATTGCAAACAGCCTTGAAGACTTGAAACTCAATCTCAAAGTTATGCTTGAGCGCGTTGAAGCACTCGAGAGTGTCTTATCTATGCGGACATTACCGATCCCTTCAGCCCCTTGTACTTTGCTGCTACCGTTGGAGATCATTGGCCTTATACTTGAGAATCTTACCCAGCGTGACGTTTATCCATTTCTATCACTTTCGAGAGGCATTAACTACGTGGCAAGAGCGCGATTGCTTCGGCAAATTTGTGTTGTGGCGGAAGGGCAGGTACCTAATCTCCACGAGTCAAACGAGGACTTGAAGCTGTGGCTGATGCTTACAACTCATCAGTTTTTCATGATTGTGGAGCTGATTAAAAGCTGGCCTGGGGTCACCGTTGTTTTGCATCAGCCTCAATTTTCTCAGGCTCTTATTAACAAAATTAAAGATAAGGTGGCACCCGCAGAGGTAATCGTCGTTGACAGCATATCGATTAGGCCAAATGGTATGCTTGAACGTCTTCAAACTGTGAAAGCTTCAAACGAAGATGCATTGAGGCAACTTAACAGTGATGTTGATACCTCAATCATGTTGACACCCGAGGTGGCCACGGAACATCTCTCACGGCTCACGTTGGTCGGCCCCAGCATTGAAATACCTAAGCTTCACTCAAAACTCGACGTCGACTGTCTCGAAATCTTCGGCGAAGTTAATGGGATCGACCAGTTCCTTAACCTTGGAGCTATCAGTCAGTTGACTGTTGCAAGTGCGTGCGTGAAATATAACCTGACAATATATCAGCTCGCCCCACAATTCAAGAACTTGAGAGATTTGTGCCTTGCAGGGTCATTCTTTGGAAGCCAGTTCATCCCAGCGTTTCCGGATACGCTTCGACGTTTAGTGGTCCATTGGATAACCGGATTTCCCACCCCTTGGACTATATCATCAGGCGCGAGCCATTATAAGGCAGAACTTGCATACCTAGAGATTTGCCTGGGCACAAGTTTTCCTACCAACACATGGCCAAGACCGTCTTTGAGTGTTGAACCCGATCCTAAAGTTGACACAAAAGAGATACTAGAAGAATTAAAGCTGGTCGATTTTGCTCAGCTTGCAATTGTTGTGATTCAAGGGCGCCGTTTCCTTCCTCGTCGTGTATTAGGTGAGTGGTATGAAACCATAGAGGTGTGAATTCCTTGAGGATTAGGGTAAATTAAATCGTCAATTAATTAAGAATATCATTCTGCATCGTCAACGCCAAGTGAGGATCTAAGCTGAAGATCCTCTCCAGTAAGTTCGTTCACTCCATCGTAATACATGCTGGAGTTCAATTGAGTATCTTCCTCAACATCCTTGAGAATTTCACCATTGGTATCAAGTATGTCTGGTGACTCATCAACGTCGGTGGCGACATTATCGTTGTCGAGTGGTTCTTCCTGCAAATACAACAGCTGTTCAAAATCCAGTTCACTCGCATCGTCATCATCCACACTCAATTTCTGGGTTTGTTGCTCCTCCTGCTTCAACCTCCTGAATTCTGCAAGCTCTTCATCCTTTTCCGCAGCGGCAATGTACACGGATTCATCAACGTCAGGGTCTCTTTCAGTACCTAAATGGATATCTTCTAGCACTTTGGGAAACTTTTCTGCTATCTCAGGAGCCAAATAGTCTTGGTTGACAATGCCGTTTTCGTATTTGGGATTGTACTTGTAGTCCTTACCATACCCCAAGTTTTGCATAAGTGAAGTTGGCGCGTTTCGAAGATGCATGGGAATTGGTGCCATTGCTAGTTCAGGGTTTTCATTCAAGAAGGCTTGTGTGGATCGTAATGCACGGTACAGTTTAGTCAGCTTCGGAGCAGAGGCAAGTTTCATGGCACAGTGTGCAAGAATTATTTCTCCTTCAGGCATGCCAATGAACTCTAACGCGTCCTTCGTAGCAACCGCGAAAGGCAAGCATGTGGAGTCACGAAGGCCGATGTCTTCACTGGCGATCACAATCATTCGCCGAGCAATGAACAATGGATCTTCACCACCACTGAGCATTTTGACCAAGTAAAACATGGCGGCATCTGGATCGCTGCCTCGAACAGATTTATGGAAAGCGGAAATAGCATCGTAATGGTTCTCGCCCTGCCGATCATACATTACATGAAACAAGCGTTGCGAAAACACTTCTTTCTTCAAAGTCTCCAAGGATATTTTGATAGCCCCAATATTGTAGTCCACAATATCATAATCCAGCCCACTAAAGAATGCATTGATCAGCTCCAAAAGATTGAGAGCAATGCGGGAATCACCTTTGGAGGCTCCAGCAAGGTATTCAAGGGCATCATCTTCAAGACAAAGTAGGTGTAGTTTATGCTTTTGAGCTCGCTCTTCGTTCACAAAAAGAAGGGCTCGACCAATAATTTTCTTCATGATTTCGGGATTGATTTGCTCCAAAGTGAAAACATGACATCGTGACAACAAAGCATTATTAAGGGTGAACGAAGGATTTTCGGTAGTCGCGCCAATGACAGTTAATTTGCCCTTCTCCAACACTGGTAGAAGCGTATCTTGTACGGCTTTGTTATATCGGTGTATCTCATCTAGGAAAAGGATGGTACGCCTTCCAGTGAGTTTATACTCATTTTCAACGGTGGAAAAGACTTCTCTGAGTTTCTTCGTTGTACTATCAGCCCCAGATAATTCGATAAACTTATGGTTCGATGTATCAGCGACAATGCGGGCTAATGTGGTTTTACCCACCCCTGGAGGGCCCCAAAGGATGAATGATGGGATTGGGTTGGCTTCTATGAGCTTTCGTATTATACCCTGGGGACCTAATAGTTTCTCCTGCCCGAAATACTCATCTAGTGTGGTGGGCCGAAGTCGATGAGCCAACGGTGTACCGGGGGCGTATTCGCGTTTAGGAGCAAAGGGTATGGATTTCAGATCAGCCAGCTTCTCTGTCGGAACTTGCGAATGGCTGAGTTCAACAGGCTTTGCCAGTCCAGCAAACGTCCTCGAATTTTCAACCCTTAGTGGTTGCGTCGACACGTTGAGGCCTTTTGAATTTGATTCCGCATCTGCTTCAGGTTTAACCTCTGATCCCTCTTTATCAACAGGTGGTTCTAGCTTTGCTTTAGGTTCATCTTCCTGACGAAACAGTCGTCGTTTCTTTGCAAGTAACTCTGAAGTAAGTGACGGGGTCCGACTCTTGCGCTTCAAGCTTCGCCGCTGAGATTGTCCCAAATCCCTTAGCAGCCCTTGGGACTCTTGCTTGTCTAGGCACAGGTTAACATGGCGCTCAAGAACGTCTTCAGCAAACTCCGAGCTACAAATAGGGCACACTGCCATACGCGCCGCGTTTTTGGTGGATTGAGCTGAAATACAATATTAGTGAGCTATGACGATCATCACCGAAACCTATGAAAGAGGGACTCTGTGGTTGACTATGAAACCTAATAGTGACTACACAACAAAATAGACGTGCTCACAATATATTTGAGGTGCTTTTGTGTAATCGTCCCGATGGGGCACATTTATAAATTTTGACTAGAGAAGCGTACCCCATCAGCAAACTTTGGATCAGGCAATTCAAGTTGACCTGCCATCGTATTGACTAAGCCACTTCTTCTTCAGCGAAGATTTTGCCAAGCCTTTGTCGATTTAGATCACTCGTCCGGAAACCTGCAACTTGTGAGCACGTGACTCTCATGAAAGTTTGCTAGCAATACCCCGGACTATAGTAGACGATAAGCTCGATATAACATTTAGTAGAGTATTTCCAGCATTTGTAAAAGGTACTATGATCCTGCAGATCTTATAAATCCCATTAGTCCTACATTTCGTAGTGGCCTTTAAAGCTATGCGGATGACCCCTTAACAACCAGGCGTCAGTACCGTTTTCGGCCTCACCACCACATTGAGCATAGGCGCGTGGCGAAGTACATCAGGTTCGCTGTCAACGCATTCCATTAGACGACGTGCTACTATACGTTTCTATCGACGCCTTTCCAGAAACCGGTACCAATCCGATCGCTTCCCTACTTTTCCAGTGCCTAAGTTGCGCATCCCGATCTTTCCTACCATTGGCCTGGGCCGCCCTTGCCCGTCTGCTCATAAGTGATTGATGAGGCGACATTACGTGAAGCTCATCAATAATGAGTTCCGTGAGCTTCAGCTTACTCCCGAACTCAAACGGAAACTGTTATTCGATTTGATCGACTACTGTGTTCTGTTAAGTGAGCGAGTAGAGGCTCATGAACTGGATCTGCTTCAACTGTTCATCCGTGGGTTCTTGGTGTTTCACTACTTCATCAACACATTTATTCGAGTTCACTTTTTGGGCTTTGACCAATTTATCGACTCCAATCACAGTGATTTCATCATCTATCTCAATGTATTCGCCTATTACGATGACCCCCAAACTTTCGTCCTGGAATGGGGTGAAATTTCTCTGCAGACTATAAAACTGTACATTCTCGATTATCTCATGGAGAAGAATGTTCTTACTTATGACGTTGAGGAATTTTACCTGTGGATGTACGACTACATTGATTATATCAAAGATCAAGATCGTGAAGCAAGTGTTGGCAATATCGATAAGTTCTCATATGAGGAAAGCGATGGTGACTCGTTCGAGGAGCGGTTCCCGAAGCTCACACTTGAAGACGCTCCTATCGTCACCGCTTTCTCCAACAGCTATCACCCTACGCCATCACCGAATGCCAGCACTATGAAGCTGGCTAGTGATACTTCGTTGCCTATCATACCCCCCCAACCAACTGTGCATAAATCCCAAGACAATCTTACGCCGTATCCTCAAGCTGAACGATTGGATGATACCCCACTCCATCCCAATCGCGAACCTACGCGTAAGGGATACCATCCCACCCGTTCGATGTCAACCAAGAGTTACACTTCACCGGCGCCGCCACCGCATCGCGTTCCTTATGAAAGAAGGAAAGCCCCTCCTCCTGACCCTCCGTCAAACACGTCGAGCGCCTCGAGCATTTCCCACGACTATCTGAAACCTCATACAACTCGACCTCCGATTCCTCAATCAACGCCTGTTGCAAACCGACAATTAGGCTACCATCCTTTTGGTAGTGCTGCGTCCTCATCGGCGAATGGGTCTTCGAATGGAAATTCGCAATCTAAGCAAAGTCCTCGACAAGTCCAAGCTCAGATTAATAACGCTCCTGTCACCTCAAATACCTCAAGAGAGCAAATACCTGCAACTGTTCAAGGACAACCTCCAAAGCCACCCCAAGGGTACGGTAATCCTGGCTCATTTGATTATATGTCAGCCTCCCCGCAGGTGTACTCAGGACCGCCGCAAGGATACCACCCGGGACCACCACAAGGATACCACCCGGGACCACCACAAGGATACCACCCGGGACCACCACAAGGATACCACCCGGGACCGCCGCAAGGATACCATCCAGGCCCACCTCAAGGCTATCCACATGCTTACCCAACTGGCCAATCTAATGGGTACTATGTTGCTGCCCCACCGCAGGGGTATCCACAAGGACCCTCTCAGATGAGTTCACAACCGATGGGTCTGTTCACTCAACGTTATGATGTCTGTGGTCTCCGAAACCTAGGAACAACCTGTTACCTTAACTCCACGGTTCAACTTTTGTTTGGTGTGGATGACATGCGGCGGTTATTGCTGGGAGATATTTGCAACTACATCCGAAAACCAAAAATGCTTCAGCAGCTTGAAAATCGCAATTTTAACAAGGATGTAATTCTTTTGGTGGATGCTACTCGCTCATTATGGCTGACATTCAAGAAGCACGCCGGTCAAGTTATCACCCCGTCGAAGTTTGTCCGCATTGTAAGCATCCTCAAACCCGATTTCAATCTCCCTAACGATCAACAGGATGCTCAAGAATTTTTGCTCTTCGTTTTGGATAGGCTTCACGAAGAATTGAGTGATACGACCAAGCTTGGTGAACATAACTATGAGCGTGTGCTTCGAGAGTATGTGCGTCAATGGGATATTCATATTTCTGAGCCGGACATGAAGGGATATCTTAGTTGGTATCGACAATTGCTTGAGCATGAGGGCACGAGTCCTATTCACGATCTTGTTCAGGGCCAAGTGCAACATAAACTCGTCTGTGGTCAGTGCGGATTTGAGTCGACACTGTACTCTCCGTTTACCATCTTGTCTTTGGCAATTCCCAGCAATAAACCAGTTGTTAATTTGTTGGAATGTTTGCAAATGTTCACTAGCGATGAAGTGTTGAGCGGCGACAATGCGTGGAACTGCCCCAAATGCTCAAAAGAGCCACATGCCAATCCTTTGGACAGTCATCCAGTATTCACACCAAAAAAGCTGGGTATTTTTAAGTTGGGCAGACGATCAAAACTGCCCAGCAAAGATCCTAAGAAGCTGAAAATCAAGAAAAGCTCTATCAGCACGAAAAAACTTACCTTTATCAAATTCCCAAAGGTTTTGTTTATTCACTTGTCCAGATTTCTGATGTTCAGTATGACAGACAAATTGGACACAGCTATTGACTTCCCGTTGATCCTAGGTTTTCTGTCAACAATCAACTACAAATTGTGTGGGGTTATCAATCATTATGGTAACTTGAAACTGGGACATTATACGGCGATTGTCAACAAGCTGACGTACCATCAACAAGATCGGTCGACCCGTGAAAACATCGATCATCCCTATTGGTGCAATTTCGATGACGGTGTATTCCATGAGAATATCCCGTTTGGCGCCAACCCCCATTATTCGCAAACCCTGCGTGACGTATACGTTTTGGTTTATGAGAGAATATAGTTATATAAAATGCATAGTAGCTTATGATTGTTGCGGGCCAAACCCATCTCCAATATCTATAAAACATAGTTGGATCATAATAAAATGCTTTGCAGTCACAAGTTGGCTCGGTATCAAACTCGAGAGACCCAGGTCAAAGTATGTGTCATCGATCTCGTTGCTTGTTATAATTTCTTGAGCAGAACTAAACCTACGTAATGTTTAAGCCATGAACACAGTATCACATTTGAATGATCTTTTTTCAACTCAGTGTCAATCGAATTCTTGGTCCACCCCTCCTCGCTCCAGTGGGGTGCGCGCGAAAATTTTCGACGACTAACCATCAGCAATCATGTCCTTCTTTGGCTTTGACACCAACGGTCCGCAGAGCGGCCAGAAGGAGGTGTATGAGTTCCAGGATACGTACGACGGTCTCGGTGACCAGTTGGACGAAACCGACGATGCGTTCAATGACGAAACGTTTGGTGTGACCCCTCAGAACATCAGAAAGGATTTCTCGTTCGGCGACGCCCCTGGCCAGCCTCAACAGCAAACCCAGGTGCCTACGACTCTGTATGCTGCTGCTGCTGCCCAGCCCATCAACGATGATCAATTCATGGAAGATTTGTGGGGTCTGTCCAACGCGCCCAAGGGTAAGCTGCCTGCCGCCGAAGGTGCAGGTGGCGACAAGAAGATCATGCTGTTGGAAGAGATCGAAGCTCAATTGACCGCAATTGACCCCTCTCAGATGCCCAGGGTACCTCAAGGTGCTCCACCTGCTCCCCAAGGCATGGCTCAAGGTTTTATGATGCCTCCCCCGCAAATGGGGTACATGATGCCACCTCAAGGGTTTATTCCTGGCTACGGCGGTCAATTTGTTCCTGGTATGCAATACCAAGGTGTGCCGATGCAAATGATGCCGCAAATGTACGGACAACCTGGTCAACCCGGACAACCTGGTCAAGCAGCTCAACCTCAGATGATCCCTCAAGGCCAACCTGGTCAAGGCCAGCCTCAACCCCAGCAGCCGCAGCAGCTTCATCAATTGCAACCTCAGCAACTGCAACAGGCCAATCAATCCCAGGCTCAAACCGCACCTGGCCAGCCCATTTCGGCGCCCATTGCTGCCCAACCCGTTGTTCAAGCGACTCAACAACCTCAATTGGTCGCTCAACCCCAATCCCAAGAACAACAACAGCAGCAGCCGGTTTTGCAACAAACTGCTCAACCAGCTGCGCAGGCACCTGCAGACCTTTCGCAATTCCCCGTGCTTGGATCCAAAGAGGCTAAGCCTTCGATTCACCAAATTCAACACCACTCGGTTGATGATTTGACTGAAGAACAGCAACAAAAACTTGCTAAGCGTCAAGAAAAGGTTGCGCGGATCATGAAGTACCTGGGTATCATGAACCCCAAGGACAAGGATTTTGTCACTCGTTTTCAACTTGCCCAAATTGTTACCGAGGATCCTTACAATGAAGACTTTTACGCTCAAGTCTTCAAGGTGATTCACCCTAAAGCGAACTCCACAGGTTTGCCGGAAGATGAGCACAACTCGATTGCTCAAGCTTACCTTGAACAACTGGGTCATCGCTTGGGTGGTCGGTATAAGCGTGCCGATGTCGCACTTCAACGGATGCAACAGCAAGTGCAAAAAGCTGTCACTGTTGCTAAGGAGCGCCCCAAGTTGTCACAATACGCCAAGGAAGGTGCCTTGGGTCGTATTTCTTTCGGCCTGGGTAAGAAGCCGAGACAACAACTTGAACTCTTGTCAAAGGCAGTTCAGAAACAGATCGAAGAGGAAGGTGAAGACAAGGATCAAGCCCAAGGTGAGCTGGCATTTGCTGAGGATGGTCCTGCCGCTCCACTTGTGGCTCAGCTCAAGAAGGAACGTTCAACTCTGATGCTGGCCCCTAGAATCCCTAACAAGCGTTATTCTAAGCGTGATATCATGCTGATTTTGGAGAACATTATTGCGCAATTGATGAATGTGGAGCTGGAACTGCGGACTCTGGAGAAGGTCGATACCACTGCTTTGTGGGAACTGTTAAGAGTTCTTGAGCAACTGCTGCTGCTGGGTGACGAAGAAGCTGAAGTTAACCCCTTCATCCAGTGCCTTAACTACAACAAGATGCTCAAGATTCTTCTGAGATTGTTCAAATTTTTGACTCGGGAGCAAGTTTTGACTATTGTCACCCTTGTTATGTCCAACCTTGAAAATTTGAATGTGGTGAAGAATGGTAGCTACACTACTTATGATGACAAGAAGGTACCGGCTTCGGTCCAAAAGCTTGTCGAAACTTACACGATGACTTTCTCGAAGGTTTTGATGAACGCAGTGCTTGACTTCAAGTTTAACGAAATCATCGGGTTGTTGGTGATCTTGATCGAGCACAATAACGTGCCTTTCGTGCTGACGACGAAGATCGGGCTTCAAGTGCTTACTACCCTTTTGTCGCGGGCGATGTTGATCATTGGTGACGGAAGACTTTCAGCTACTGAGTTGTCGCTGTGGCAACTGTGCTACGACGAGTTATTCACGCTGCTTGAACTGAGAATTGCTGCGATCTTCCCGCCCCACCTTGAAGGTGACGACGTGGATGACAACTACATTTGGCAATTCTTGGCTACCCTTTGTTGTGGCGGTAAGTTGAACCACCAGCGTATTCTTGTCGATGAGGTTAGAGACGAGATTTTCGGGACAATGAAGCGTGCGAAGGAGTTGGGCTCTCTGCCTCAAGATCACTACAAGAAGCAAGCCTTGTTGAACAACTTGAATATGTTCTTGAATGTTATGGGATTGGTGGCTGACGAGAACGAAATCAAGGAGTTCCAGGCGTGATGTAACCTGTAATTTTTATGCGTAAAATGCATTTTATAACACTTTCGCCTATTTGAGCGATAACGAATACAAACAAACTAGCTCACATACCCCTCTACCCTCCAACGGGGGTGAATGGGTTGCTTTTCAAGTTTCAAATCAATCGAAGTACAAGGTCAAGCCGACACTGTAGCAGGACACGCTGTTGCCTAGGGGGCATTGTTATGTAGCACAAAAGCTTAAATCGCAGACCGCGTTTGTGTGGGGTCGCCGTTCGCAGCGCGGCTCCCTCCTCGGAATTACGTCTCAGCCTAGACTGCGAAAGCGCAACAATAAAACAAAATGAAACGTCTTGACGTATTGGTAATAATCCAAATACAGTCTTTCAGTTGAAACAATGTGGGGGTATTTCAGGGACGCTCAGGTGTTGATCATTGTGTCTCTGGGATGACTAATTACGTTACTTAGTCATTAGCTTCATTCAATCACGTATTGAATCTGGACAATGGCTGGACAATGGCTGGACAATGGCTTGCATCGGGGCAGGACCCTTACTAAGTTTGTGAGATTTGTGGCTCGAGTTATGGTGCCCTCTGGACAAGCATCGTCAATTTTTGACTTGGCATTGTCGGAGATAACAATGCTATTGTCACTTGATGTTATGCAGAAGAATAACAATGCAAACATCTTGGACGATGACTGCGATATCGAGCCAGCTTGAGATTAACCTGACAGCGGAGCCATCATGTTCGCAAGACGCTCTGCTCCAAAGCTACACTTTTTGTCTATGATTTGTTGATAATTAATATAAATATGTACTACTATTTGATGATTAAAATTTGTCAGTGGTACACGCTTCCGGCGTCGTCATGTTGGAGTCCAGCTCCTCAAATGCTACGGCGGCGGTGACGTCAAAATCGAAAATGTCATCTACCAGCAGGACTTCGTCGTCTTCCTCCTCGTAGGGCTGGTTGAGCACCAGTTGCATATGAACGAGCTCAACGCTTTGAGCCAAAGCTGGTGCTTTAGGGTCAGCTTTAGCGACATCGGTCGCGGGCTCTTGAACGTCAGTGTCAGCAAGGTCAGTTTTCGACAGTCCCAGTCTTGCTGTGAAGTAAGCGGTTGTTCGTTTGTCAAGATTATCTGTTTCCTCACTCAGAGTAACGTCGAGAGGAGTCAGTGTCAGGCATTCATGAACCCCCTGCGGGTCCAAGGATTCGTCGCTAGTACCCAGCTCAGGCAGCCTCACAATTTCTAAAGGCACGATAAACTTGGAGCGAACCTTATCGCGAGGCAGAGGTGATGACCCCAGCCCGCGGGAAGTCATCACCCGCATAAGGTGCTTGGATTTCTCACGTTCTTGTTCAAGCAGAGATTGTAGCAGAGCAACCTCCTTGCGGTGACGCTCAACGGTAAGGTTGTACTTTTCCATGAGTTGCATGTAAGCTTCACGGTAAAGGTCCAGTGCCATCAGCGATGCCAGAGGAAGATCGCGAGGCAATTCGGGAGGCACGCTGACCGTCTGGGGTTTGATGACGCCAGAGTCATCGCTCTCACTACCAAAGCCCATCCCCACATCAACAACTTCTATATTAGACACTCCTGCGAGGTCTGATTGGTCAATTGTGGGACTTCTAGGGACCTCAACCATTTGGGGTTTGGCTGCTGACTGATAGGTTTCAACGTGGCGTGATGTTATGTCAAAGTCAGAGATTCCATCAAGGTTCTCCGCTGAGGGGTGTAAATCATGAGGAGGAAGTAATTCCAGTGACGCAGTTGAGGTTGGCGATGGGTCCTTCGTCAGTGTTGACGGTGCTTTGGCTGCTGGGAGCAGAGACGTTGGCGGCACCACGCCGCCGGCGTAGCGTTGGCTAAGGCTGCCAATGGCAGTGGGCTTCGGGGATGCCGCGGGGGAGGCTGTAGTTCCAGTATTGACTTCGGGAGATCTGAGACTGAGGCGCCTCAAGGGCATTTGACCCCGAGCCAGGTGGCGGCGGGGGATAACCGGCGACACTGTTATCGCCCCGGCATCGTCTTCGTCCAACGGCGACTCCAGCACTGTGGGGAGTTTTGGCGATGATGAGGTGAGTGACGGCATACGCGGTGGATCCAGGAATGACGTGACTGTCTGGGGCAGGCGGTCGTCGTCGGCAATCCCCGTGCCCATTCTCGAGGAAGCCGGGGTGGTTGGGGTCATTGGCATTGTCAGAGGCAGAAGCGACGGCAGAGTCAGGCTGCGCTTAGGGTCGAACGAGATGACGACGTCCTCGGCGACCAGAGCCAACGGCACAATCTCCGATTGCAGGTCGTCCCAGGAGTCGTCGGGACCCATGAGCGTTTCTTCCACCGTGGAGACGATGCGCTTGTGACGCGGCAGTGGCAGCGGCAACGGACCAAGTGACTTGCGGTCGGGCACGGGTGGTTTGGCCTGAGGGTTAGGGTGGGGCAGCCATGTCAACGGCAGCAGAATGTGTTCTTTCCCTGCCAACAAGCTGAGGTGTTCTCCCAGCAGCACCAGTCCGTGGCGACGGGCGCGTTCCTTGGGAGAGCCGCTGGTTTTCTTTTGGCTGAAGAGACCCAATATCCCTTTCTTCGCCATGGTGGAGGGCGGCGATGCAGTGACTGCTATTCGTTGCTCGGGCGGCAGACGTCGATGGTTATAAATCTCGCTTGATGCTAACCTGCAAGCCGATTATTATGATTTTTTTTTTATTTTTTCATCCATTGATGTCGCGAGGAAATCACTGCATCATTGTGCGCAACTAGGGTGACCATGCAGATATCCCCCGCTATATCGGTGGTGTGTAAATAGGTAAGGGTGAGACAGTAGCAACTATCGCTACTACAAGAGGATAACATAACAGGTTCTGGTGGCATATGAATACGTAGTGGCATCCGCAATATACAGCCAAACAAGAGCTTGTTAAAACCTCGCACCCCCTAGATCTATCTACCATCACGTATCGGCAAGGGTTATCGGAAGTCACCTTGCGAAGAGCGCAAATTTGACATCCTTACTAAATCGAATACCGCAATTCGGAACAAAGACATTCAGGCCTAATTAGTAAGTGGCCAGGGTCATGGATCCAAGGATGTGCTTCCAGAATGTTTGAGTAAGCTATGGGCTATGGTCCATTTGGACCCTTTGCTCGCTTGTATGCAGACTTTGTTTTGATTTGCAATTGAGCTCGACGCGTTTTTGCGACGCGCTCGCTGTGCGGTGGCATGTTCCCCCTGCTGGTAGAGCTTACGCCGATATGTGCTAACTTAAGCTTTCATGGCGAAAACTGGAAAGAGTCGATGACAAAAACGATATCATACAACATCAGATCGCAAATAGAGGCTCTGATTGGATGCACTTGATGTTTGTTAGACTGAGGGTAGAGGTGCCAGCCATGTTCTGGTGATCTGGAGATATCGCATCGCAGACACTAACGTAGGTTCGAAGTGAGGGTTTATCGTGAGCGCTTATCGTCGGCTTTCATTTCACTAATGGCAATATAATCGAGGGGTTCAGAGTAGGTTGTTCCTGAAATAACCCCTTTCTTGTCCCATCAACGCATAATGTGGCATCCGGTCGTTGGCAACGAGATGGTGAGGTTGACGCGACTCGCAGGCGCCTTTCTAGGAACCTCCGTCGGCTACATGCATTAAGTCTACTCAAAGTAGCACTTCACAACCGGAAAGAATCGGACTGAGTTTTGCAATAGTTTAGGGTCAGAGAGCACTGAATATCCAATATGTTTACATGCCTAGAATCAGACCGAGAAACGGTCCATGTGAGATCCGAATATAGGTTGGTGGGGTACCGCCGATAATCCGGCCACCCCCAATCAGACGGTTGCTTGCTGGGTTAAACTATTACAAATTGCCCGATGATTCTTAGTCACTGCTTCAGTATCTCGTACTCAAGCTTCAATATTTCCAACTAACGAACGGTTGAGGTAACGAAACATTACAAGGCTTGCCCTCAGCGGTGTTTACGGATAAGTTTTCTAATTCGACCTTTGACAGAGACTTGTCATGCTTTATTAAGTCAATCGGCTTGATTGTGTATACTAAAATCTGTGTGTCGCTTCCAAAGTCGAATACATCTTCTCTCTAGGCTAACTCAACAGCCATTACACCGAACGCATATGATCACTCGTAAAACTGTTGCATCACATCCACAGATCCCCAGAAGGTCCAAGCAAACGACGCTTAGTTCAATAGAAATATGCCACCACTCATTGGAAGATTTCATTTCATTTCGAGTGGGGAAGGCATTACGAGGTTTTTTGAATCTCTAGTAACCAAGCCACAGCTCTTCTATAAATTCAAGACGTTGAAAGAAAACTTTTCTATGTTTGGTGATCGGCACATGACCAACTTAAGGTACATATTGTATTTGAAACAGACACTTTACAAAAAGCACTTGTTAGTCACGCCATAGCATGCCGATAGCTCATATGGTCCGCGATTCAAGATTATATCTGATAGCATTAGTCGATATCTAGCCCTCGTCCTGAAATTGCACATTGACTGCATATAACAAATTATGCTGCATGAAAAGTTTCAACCCGATAACTTTCCCCCAGACGTCTTTATTAACGACCTGTTGTGGCATCATTATTTTGTCACGTGATTTGTTGCAGCCAAATCACCATTTCGGTCTCACGACTGTAGTCTCGGAGTTCCGTTATTTAGACTGCACGTTGTGCCCTCTGCTCATCACCTGGAAGCAGATGGAAAAGTTTTTACATAGATCTACCTATCTTTGTTTATATCTTTTATTACACACTTGCTTCCCCCAAGCGCTAGCTTACCAACCCCTATCAACTGTATTACACTTACAGCATGACTCCCAAGTCCTCTGACCGCAAGTCGGGGAACCAATTCGATAACCTCTCAGGTTATTCTGAGGATTCTGGCAATGCCGATTCTCATCACAACCAATAAGCACTACACACAATATGCGGTTGTACGAATCTCAGATCTGCGATGAGAAAAGGATACCCTTAAAAAAAAAAAAAAA